CAAAAGTGGTGGACATCAATCCTCACCTAAAAATTGGGGGCCCGCCCTGGTACGACGTGATCTGAGATCGGCTGGGGACGGGGGAATTGCCAAGTGCCTCTGCTCCTCAGCGGTTTTTGAGCCAGTGGGTGGGAGGGTGGGTGGGTGGGGTGGGCGAGAGAGTGAGGAGCGGAATTCAATCCATAGGTCTCCATTTTATTTTTTTGGAAGGTTGAAGCCGAGGCGAACAAGGCCGAGGCATTTCTCGTTCCATCTCTTGGACTTTTGGACTGATGGATTTGAGGGACCTGAAGGGATGGATCTGAGGATCAGCTGCTGGAGGAGCTGAGGCACTTGGGACGGACCTTGGCCCATGGAATTCAATGGATGGCGAGTCAGCGCCTTTGGGTCGGCCAAAGGGGATGGATCGTTTCGGTCTCTTTGCTGGGGAGTCCGCGCGAAGAACTCGGCTGCGGGGGGGTGCTGAACACTGAAGGGGTCGATTTTTGCGAGCTTTTTTGTTTTGTGTTTGTTTTGTTTTTCTTTTTCGGGGGGTCTGCAAAATGGACCAAGTGCGTCCATATCACGAGTGTCGTCAGATTAACGCCGGGCGAGAAGAAGGGCTGATGGAGTGTCCAGCTTCGGCTCGACTACTGGGAATGCGCTCTTCCTGCCTTACGGAAATTGGGGGGGGGGGGGGGGAACATAATTAGTTTGGACCATTGTCTTGCATGATCGGCTTCCCCGTCTTCCTAGGTGCTACACAGAGTAAAAGCTACATACCTTTACCGGCAAAGCGGGCCCTTCCCTTGAGCCTTCCCCATGGTGTGGAAGCGAGTTCTCTAACCTGACTTGACAACACAAAAACCGATCCGGTTCTAAAAGGCGCTTCTTGGATATTTGGGTCCCCTGGGGCAAGTGATTAAACTTGAACTTGTCTGCAGTTTTCTCAACATGTGGGGCTGGTAAAGGGAAGTCGCAAGGAAGCCCATCTTTTTAGGGGACCGAGTCCTAATTTGAGTTAACCCCCATGTTAGGAGCCTCCATGCTCGTTTCAGTCGAGCCCATGTTGTCAGCTCGGGTTCGAGCGCGATTTCTTCGCCAGGCGAGTGCTTGTGAACCTCGCCCGGCGCCCGGAGATGGTGCGGGCCCCCATCGCTTGGTTGGGGATGTTTGGGGGGGTGGCGGGATGGGTGTACGGCGGACACTTAGGGTCTGTACTCCAAGAGCATCATTTTGATTTAGTTGAATTTTGCGGGCTGTGGCTCATGTCCTTGGGGAAGGAGGGGGGCGGCTCCCGCATGCTCCCGCCGCCCCGCCGGAAATTTGTGCAACAGCAGCCTAGAGTAAAGTGTCAGTATCAATCAAGCGGAAAGGACACGACGACCAAAACAACCAGAAATGGAGATGATGAGATAGGAGTGTTGCGAATATGAAGTCGAAGCATCCCCTGAACCCAACAACTCAACTCCCCATGACATAGAATTATGACAACAAGTTGCATGCCCGGCTCACATGACGCCAATTGAAGGTGTTCTGCTATCCACAGGCCGCAAAAGGAGCACGTCCGACAGAAAAGCATCAGGCCAGGGTGGTTTCGAAGCCTAGAACCCGTCACTTCCACCTGAGAGCGGGTTTGCCGTTTTTCTAGGCCAAAAGCCTCGGTACGCCCAAAATAGAAATCATCCCCAAACCCATCCCGAAGCCTTGAAATGTCATTTCAAGCCCACCTTGAACCCATTTGGCTTGTGAGGAAAACTGGGAAAACCTGGACGCAGGTTCTCCCAGGTTCTCTAGGATTCGAATCGAAAGGCTGATCTTCGAATCGGCCGAAAGGGTGCGTTCCCACATCCACCCCATCATTCATCCATCCAGCCATCCCATCCCACATCCATCCATCTACACCCTCATACGTGATCCAGAAACACCCTGGTTTTTAGGTTTTGCAACCGCGCCGATCCCGAGGGACCGGGCCTCCGAGATTCGGGCTTGGGCTGGCCCAACCGCCAAGCCACACAAGAAAGCACGGGCGCGGAGCACCTCAGCGGAGAAACGCCCAACACCAGGGGTGGGGGGTGGGGTTGGGGGTGGGGTGGGGTGGGTTCGGGAGTCAGGTGCTATTGCTCCGCACGGACGCGCGGAGGGCATCTTCTGCCCGGGGCCCCTTTTGGAACGAAGGAGCGCGAGTGTCGGATCGTGTCGGTGTCGTTTTTTTTTTTGGTTGGAGTTGGTTGTTTCGGCAATGGGCGGCTCAAGTCGTATTTTGAGGTGGTACCCGTTTTTCCTTTTTTCTTTTTGGGTGAGAAAGGACACCATGAGGACACCTGACGCCTTTTTTTTTTGTGGGGGAAGGGGGGGGCCGGTTCCTCAAAAAAACACACACACACACACACATGTAGGCTTTAATTGGTGGCTGCTGGTGGTAAATGGGAGCCCGCCGAACACCTCGAAGCCATCAATGCAAACTTCAAATCAGAGGGAAGCTGAGTGTTTGGGCGCGGCTGGGTGTTTCCCGGGAGGCCAACACCCATTTGATGCGGGTTCCCAAGACAAAGCCAAATGAGATCTTGGATCCTTTTCAAGCGAACTCGGCCACCCGTTTGCTTTACCTTTTTCCCAAGGCCCAGGGCACAAAAACAAAAACGAGGGGATGGGGGGGGGGTGAACCACAAGGGTCAAGAATTGGTATCTGCCTTTCTTTGCCTTTTGCTTCCCCTCAAACCACCTCAACCCTCGGATCTCCAGCGTTCCCCCGGCCCGACTCGCCCAGATGCCCGCCATGCGCCACGTGCGGAAGTTCCTGAGCTTCATCCAGAAGGCCCCGAGCCAAGTCAGACGGGCGGGTCCCAGCCGGACGGGCCAAGAGCGCTTTGCAGATTGGGTTGGACCCAAGCCGATGTGTTTGTTTTAAGAGAATTCGGAAAAGGGATGTTCAAGTTGGATTGACACAAGTTGACCCAAGTGGGTGACTTGTGCAAGGGAGAGCTACTGTACGAGGTGGATCCCGTGGCTCTTGACAACGCCAAGCGAATTATTCAAATTTCGGAGTCGATCCCTAGGGAGGTTTTTGGGTGTGAACAAACCTGCAAGGAATTCAACGTGCCCTTTTGGAGGGAAGCATTTTTCCCACCAACCCATGCCCATACCTGTGAATTCCCATGAATCTTTCAACCATCGAACAACCTCCATTTGCTTAAGACTATTTTTACTTTTATTTTCCCTTTTTGGTCTTAAAGGGAATTCATCTCTACTGGATTATTGCTATTTTTCCTGGGGCCTTTCCCAAATGGAAGACAAAGAAGACACACGTCACGGGCTGCCTGAAAGTCCCCATGCAGCGGACCAATTCCCCGGACCACTTCCCCGATCGATTCGCGTGGGATTTGTTGTCACCAGGCATTGTCATGGAGGGAGATCTCCGGGGAGAGCCATGGCGTATGACCGCGAAGAAACGGTTGATACTAATCACTTTAAGTTGGGGTTGCCCCAACTTGGAATCTGACATTTTCAGATTCTGGTTCACATTGCGACCTTAAAATGTCAAGTAAGCGCCCACGGGGTTCCCGTGAGAAGGGGTGTTTCCCAAAACGGCCTTTGTTTCAACACCTGTGTTCCTTCTACTCTTATCCCTTTCTAAAATCCCATGGGTTCCTGGACGCCTCTTCCGAAAAAAAAAAAAAAAAAAAAAAAAAAAAAAAAAACAAACACCTCCCAAAGCGGGCCTTCCGGAAGACCAACAGCGCCTCGCTGCTCTCAACTGCCAGGAGGTGGGCACGGAGTGCGTGCTGGTGGGCCGGGGCAGCGCCATTGTGCTGGCCCGAAGGCCCAGGTCGAGAGCAGATGACTTCCATTTTTTTTTTTTTTTTTTTTTTTTTTTTTTTTTTAATGGTTAAGTTTTTTTTCTTCCCCTGTTGGTTTCAAAGGGAATCGATTTCACTACTGGACACATTTTTGATTATATATTTTTTTCCAGGGGACTGAAGCACATGGAGGATGATCGGAGGGGGAGGTTTTTTTTCGCCTCGCCCCTTGGAGGGCGGGGGCCGGAGAAAAGGGAAAAACAAAACGGGGGCCGGAGAAAGGGGGGGAGGGCCGAAGACCTTGGACCTTTCTGGTGGAATAGCGGGGGCCGTGCTTCGTTGGACTTCGGTTCTGCAACGAGCTCCTACGCGCTAGGGGTGTGGCCTCGCGAATCAGTTTGGACGTCGGCGCGTTGGAGAGTGCCTTTGAAGAGGGCATCGAACGCAGCCATGGCGGCCTTGAACGACCAAATGCATATGTGTGCCGTTGAATGCCAGTTGGCTGTGGCTCAGAGATTGGGTGGGAGCACTAGCACACCCAACATCATGTCTCGAAGCCAGGGTTCCCTGAGTTTCCGGACTGTTTATTTTTTTGAATACCATTTTGGTGGCAAGCAATAAGTTTTGATTTTTGTGGCCAGAACCCCTTCCCCCCCCAATCAAATTTGCAAGAAACCACCCCAAGACCCCAGAAACTCCGACATACCCCAAAAGTGACCCCCAGAACAAAAGACGCACCTATAATCAACCATTTTGGGGTATGTACTTTCCCCAACGTCCCAGTGGGGTTCCGCAGCACCGGTCTCAACATGAGAAATCCGGTCTCAACATGAGAAATGCGGGGCATTCGGCGTTGCTTTGCCTGCACTGCTTTTGCCATCCTGGCGGTTGGAAAACACAAACCACCATGAGTAGCGCCGGCGTAACCTGACAGTGACACTGGCAAGCGCACATCCCTACCGGAAGAAGGCTGGGTATGTGATCCGGCCTTTAGATGAGCTGATTTAAACTTATGTCTTTAGATCTTGAATTGCGCCTTTTACTTTATCAAACATTGTTACTCGGAAAATAACGATTTCGGACGGCAGCCCGGTTGATGAGGACCGAGGAAATGTGGTCGACCTATAATTACGAGATTAAATATCATGTGGGCCCCCGAGAATATCTATTATTTCGGGGGTGGGGCCGATTCGTCTGGGCAATCATACGGGGCTCTGCCTTTGTGTGGCTGCAGGGCATGGTTGCCATGAAGGGGGTTGCTGTTCTGCGGAGGGCTACACCCCTTTGTTGGCAAGGGTGTGTTCGGGAAATGAGACATCAGGAGCCCAGTTGGAAGAGGATGTCGGGTGTTTCCTTGAGAGTGGCGCTTATCTCCTCCCTACCCCCTGCAAGTTAACATGGGACCCACACAGGAATCATTTTCAGAGCAATCTGCAGTTGGGAAGTTCTTTGCATTCATCTGCAGGCTAACCTTCCAAACCCACTGAGACATGCGGTGTGGCCTGGACATGGGGTTGAGAATCTGGCGATTGCTGCATGTGTCCACTTTGTAGTACCCACAACGAGCAAACAGGTGCAAAATGGAGGTTCCAATCATTCACCAGTTTTTGGCATGTTGGGCATTTGCGTGCGCCTAATTTTTCTTGGCATGCAAGCTGCAGCGAGTCGTGGAGCAGGTTGACCGTCGCCTACCCCGAAGTGAAGGGGCTGTTTGTTTTCCAGGGGGCCCGCAAAATGGCTTCGGGTTTCGTCCAGAGAAGAAGGGAAGTGCCAACTCCAAACAAAAGACACATGGGTGTGGCTCAAAATGAAGCAACTGGGGTTACGCGCGGTTTAGTCTACCTGTCCACTTTCCAGGGCTCCATTTTGGCCCCCATTTTCATCATTTTTGAGCCACACCCACATCCATAAGTTAGAAATGGTTTTTTTCCCACCCCGCCCGAGGTGCCAAGCACACTGCTGGGCCGTGCGGTGCTGCGTGGGGATCCCGAAGTCTGGGTGGCGGGGACTTCGCTTATGGAATGCCTAGGGGGGGGGGTGGTCCGAGGCTAAGGAACTCTATCAATACCTGGGGGCTCTCTACCCCCTGCCCCACTGTTCTACTTCCTCCCTTGGGGATTCCGTAAAAAGTTGCCGTTTTAGAACCTCAAGTGGCGACGGTTTCAATTGGTTGAGAAACGTCAGGCCAACAGACCGCCGATCTGCGGTTTGTGCTTGCCCAGGTAGCACTTTCACTCAGCCAAAGCGGAACCCCTGCTTGAATTTGATTTGGGTGTATTCCCTTTGTGGGATAGGGGCCGATGATGGTGACACCTCCCCTAATAGGATGGGTTCTACTTGGATCCGCGTTTCCCATGACCAACCTCTTGCAGGTTTCCCCCAGGTTTTGAAACCTCAAGTGGCAGTTTCAACAGAACCCACCAGTCAATTGATCACCTTTAGGGGAATCCAGTGAATGCCTGGGCTCTCCCTCTCTAAAGGGAAGCCAAAAGGAGAGTTTGTTTGACTCAGATGGACGCCGGCAGGAAGTTTGGGTTTAGGCTTTGGCTGAAGAGATCTCATCAAGGCTAGAGGTACGGTTGTTTTCAGGCCCTGAGGAGGGTTTGCAACTCCGACTTTGTTCAAGAGGACAGCAACTTCGACCTGGAAACTCTGAAGCAGAAATGCGAACTTTTGAAGCGCGCGATTGTTTTCCAGCAGTTGAATAGAAGGCTGATTGCGTGGCCTCAATTTGAACCAGAGGCAGTTTCGCTTCTTGGGCAAACACCCCCCACAACCAACTCCTGTCCCGGTCTCTTCCAAGTTGGGCCTTCTTTAGTTAGCTCCAGCACCTCCCCCTCCCCAACCCCAATCCCAATCAACCGTCCCTTAGGCCTGGTGCAGTTTGTGCAGCGCATGCTGCCGGCGCCCTATCCCCAAGCCATCGTGGCCAACCTGGCGCCGGCCTCGGAGCGAAAAGGTGCGAGCGGACGACGTCCCCCGGGCGGTTTGGTTGACGCGGGCTTGGGGCTCGTAGGCAACGGGTTCCCGGCCATCAGTTTAGACTTTTGGCTGTTTGGGGTTTAAGTTAATCTTTTAGCAGGGGATCTAAGGACAGCCGAGTTTAGTTTTCTCCATGTGTGGCTTTTTTCATCCTGCCAGGCAAGCGTAGCATGCTTGTCCACCAGCATCTTAGTTTGCCCCTTGTGGTTTTAGCGGGCACATCTACTGAAGAGGAACATAAGTTTTTTTTCTCCCAGCAGACTTGAGCAATTGGATGCAATCGGCAGCGACGGATGAATCCCCAATTGAAAACTAGCTGAAAAGCTGCCAAGGCCAACTGCGAAGTGGCTTTGTGCTGCAAGTATGGGCCATGAGAAGCAGTCCCTTTAGGAGAGCTATGGCATTCAGCTGATTCAGAGCCAACGCAGCGACCAGAGCTATGGCGCGTGCTTTCGGTGGCAAAGAAGGACGAAACACCCTTCGTCGTCATCCAAAAGTAGGCATTTTGGGAGGCCGGGTGAGGTGCCCGGTCAGAAATTCGCTTTTTGGATCGCACCGGATCGATCCGCACCTAGGAGGAGGCGGATAAATTCCTGGGGTCCATCCCCCTGGAGCTGCCGGAAAAGGCCGGTGCTTGGTTCATCCTGGGAAGCCCGGCTCTTTGGCCAAGCTCCAGAAACTTGAGACCAATCTTACCTGGGAGGGATGGAGGGCCCTGGCAGCTCGGATCCTGAACCCGGCAAGTGGAGCAGGCACCAATCTTTGGAAGTAAAACGCCTCTGTGGGTCATGTGTCCAGCGCCCTTCCTTGGGGATCTCCTCTTGGTCCTTTTCGAGGTCACAAGCGGCGGACCTCAGACAGCCGATTTGCTCATTTTCGGTGAACTTGACAAGCTGAAAGGGGTGCCTGTCTGGGTATGAAAGAGGCTAGAGAGCCAACGAGCGCGGGTGCGATGGTGGAGTTGTGAGGTCTGACGTCACTTTCTGAGTTCCTGACGTTCTGGGAAGAACATTCTACTGGCAAACAAACAGTTTGGACTTCTTTGGGCGGTCAGATTGCTCCAGGCGCAGGTTGTTTGCATTTTTCAAAGTAGGAATGTCATCCCACAAATGAATAAATAACAGCACCATAATAAACAATGAACAAACAATGAGTTGGTTGCAACCAACCTGCAAGGGGAAACGCAAAGCAGGTTGCTTAGGCTACATTGGCTCAAGCATGTGGGTGTCTTTTTCAGGCCACACAACCAAATTTGCCTGGGTTCCCTTTGGCTCCCCTTTAAACCCACTCCAAAAAGGGGTACCCTCAAAAACAGGCGCACCCAAATATATGATACGCAATGAGCACAGCATTGGCAATTTGAACATAGTCCAGGGTGGCCACGGTTAGGTTCGGTTCGGTTCGGTTTCTGAAACCTTTTGAAAACCTTTCTCCGGTTAGTGGCGGTTACTCATAACCTTCCAAAACCGTGCCGGTTTGCACGGTTAATGCAGAACAGTAAGATAAGGCTCTAGGTAACTCAGTCTGCTTTCGCCCACACACACACAGACACAACCACACACACAAACAAACAAACGAACCATGCCACTGACTGATGCTGAGCATGTTGTTCCGCGCACGTGGCCTTGGGAAGCATCTCTGCAGTCAAAGCTCAGAAGCGCAAAAACCGCTCATGGCCCGCTTTTTTGCTTGCCAAATTTCAGCGGTGTTTCGTGTGTTGCGAGCACTGCGGAAGCAAAAATCAGAACCAGAAGCGGCCAATAATGCGGGTTTGTTGGCTTGATGCGTGCAGCAAAGGGGCCTCAGCTGCAGTGGCCTGCTAAGCGCGCCAAAAGTTCTGGCAATCAGGCTGGCGGGGCGTTGGGGAAGGGCAGGGCAGTCCCAGGGCAAGGCGGCAAGGCGCCGGGAGAGCAAGCCCCCACAGTGACAGCGGGCAACTCAGTTTTCCTCCCGTTCGGCCCGCGAGAAACTGTTCCAATCCAAGCCGGGCTGCGCAAAAAAAAGCAACCCACTGACCGTCAGTAAGTTGTTTTTTTTCCGCGCTGCTGGCGCAGCCAGGCTGCAACAGGGTGCTCGGGCAATCCTGCGGGAGCAGGGGGAGTTGGTGAGACAGGTTGATGCTCGGACATGGAAGTATACGAGGACTTTAAACAAAGTTTGCGAGTTTGACTCCCCCTGCTGCCGCTTCGGAACGGGATCCCGTGGCGGTGCTGTTGGCGATGCTGTCTGCGCCAAAGCCGAGCAGCCCAAAAAAAACAAATCACTGACCGCTCGTGGGCCGCTTTTTTTTTGCTTGCCAAATTTTAGCGGTGTTTCGTGTGTTGCGAGCACTGCGGAAGCAAAAATCAGAACCAGAAGCGGCCAATAATGCGGGTTTGTTGGCTTGATGCGTGCAGCAAAGGGGCCTGCAGTGGCCTGCTAAGCGTGCCAAAAGTTCTGGCAATCAGGCTGGTGGGGCGTTGGGGAAGGGCAGGGCAGGCCCAGGGCAAGGCGGCAAGGCGCCGGGAGAGCAAGCCCCCACAGTGACAGCGGGCAACTCAGTTTTCCTCCCATTCGGCCCGCGAGAAACTGTTCCAATCCAAGCCGGGCTGCGCAAAAAAAAACAACCCACTGACCGTCAGTAAGTTGTTTTTTTTCCGCGCTGCTGGCGCAGCCAGGCTGCAACAGGGTGCTCGGGCAATCCTGCGGGAGCAGGGGGAGTTGGTGAGACAGGTTGATGCTCGGACATGGAAGTATACGAGGACTTTAAACAAAGTTTGCGAGTTTGACTCCCCCTGCTGCCGCTTTGGAACGGGATCCCGTGGCGGTGCTGTTGGCGATGCTGTCTGCGCCAAAGCCGAGCAGCCCAAAAAAAACAAATCACTGACCGCTCGTGGGCCGCTTTTTTTGCTTGCCAAATTTCAGCGGTGTTTCGTGTGTTGCGAGCACTGCGCGGAAGCAATCAGAACCAGCGGCCAATAATGCGGGTTTGTTGGCTTGATGCGTGCAGCAAAGGGGCCTGCAGTGGCCTGCTAAGCGTGCCAAAAGTTCTGGCAATCAGGCTGGTGGGGCGTTGGGGAAGGGCAGGGCAGGCCCAGGGCAAGGCGGCAAGGCGCCGGGAGAGCAAGCCCTTACAGTGACAGCGGGCAACTCAGTTTTCCTCCCGTTCGGCCCGCGAGAAACTGTTCCAATCCAAGCCGGGCTGCGCAAAAAAAACAAACCCACTGACCGTCAGTAAGTTGTTTTTTTTTTTCGCGCTGCGGCCAGGCGCAACAGGGTGCAAATCCTGCAAGCGGGGAGTTGGTGAGACAGGTTGATGCTGGACATGGAAGTATACGAGACTTTACACAAAGTTTGCGAGTTTGACTCCCCCTGCTGCCGCTTTGGAACGGGATCCCGTGGTGGTGCTGTTGGCGATGCTGTCTGCGCCAAAGCCGAGCAGCCCAAAAAAAACAAATCACTGACCGCTCGTGGGCCGCTTTTTTTTTGCTTGCCAAATTTTAGCGGTGTTTCGTGTGTTGCGAGCACTGCGGAAGCAAAAATCAGAACCAGAAGCGGCCAATAATGCGGGTTTGTTGGCTTGATGCGTGCAGCAAAGGGGCCTGCAGTGGCCTGCTAAGCGTGCCAAAAGTTCTGGCAATCAGGCTGGTGGGGCGTTGGGGAAGGGCAGGGCAGGCCCAGGGCAAGGCGGCAAGGCGCCGGGAGAGCAAGCCCCCACAGTGACAGCGGGCAACTCAGTTTTCCTCCCGTTCGGCCCGCGAGAAACTGTTCCAATCCAAGCCGGGCTGCGCAAAAAAAAACAACCCACTGACCTTTTTTGTTTTTTTTTTCCGCGCTGCTGGCGCAGCCAGGCTGCAACAGGGTGCTCGGGCACTCCTGCGGGAGCATACGAGCACTTCAAACAAAGTTTGCGAGTTCGACTCCCCCTGCTGCCGCTTTGGAACGGGATCCCGTGGCGGTGCTGTTGGCGATTCTGTCTGCGCCAAAGCCGAGCAGCTCAAAAAAACAAGTCACTGACCGCTCGTGGGCCGTTTTCAGCGATGTTTCTGTGTCGCGAGCACTGCGGAAGCAAAAATCAGAACCAGAAGCGGCCAATAATGCGGGTTTGTTGCTTTGACGCTTGCTGCCCTGCAAACCTGGGGACGGTTCGGTTTCTGTTCGGTTTGGTTCGGTTCGGTTTGTGGTTTGTTTCCGGGTTTCTTGCGGTTTTGAAAACCGGTTCGGTTAACCGGTTTCCGGTTCGGTTTTCAACCTTCCTGATAGTCTTTGGCAGAGTTGTTGTTTTTTTTTGGGAACCTACAGCTGGCATCAGCTGGCCCTTTGGACGCAACGGCAGAGAGAGAGAGAGAGAGAGAGAGAGAGAGAGAGAGAGAGAGAGAAAGAAAGAGAGAACCTAAAGAGGCAATACTATTTGTTTTGATAGTATTGAACATATTGGATTTAGTATTGGGAACCAAAGATTTATTGGCACCTCCATGTTTACAAGAGGGGCGATCCTAGGGATTTCAGCCAGGCTGAGGACCCCTCGCACGCCGGGGGTCCCAGACTCCTTGGGGCGGAGCGATTTGGGCGTGTCTTTTGTGGGTTGCCCCGGTTTCTCTTTTCAGCGAAGCCAAAGGAAAATCATAATTTTGACAAAATGGTAGGCTCCTTTCTGTTTTGTGGCTTGGATTGGTGGCTTGGATTGGTGGTTTGGAGGTTAGTGGTGGTGTTCCTTCTACTCACTACAAGAACGAGGGGTTCAAATCCCAAACCATGCAAATCACCAACTCGGGGTTTCCTGATTAGTTGGGTGTCCAACCCATGTCAAATATGACCATGGAAGGGGGGCTTCCGCATCCTGGTGCCTTGTTTGGCGTGGATTTTGCTCATGCCAGCCCAAGGGCTCTGCTCCTGGGGTCGGTTCGAACACGATTCTTGTGGGCGGGGTCGTGGGAACAGGGCAGCAAGGGCCAATTGATAAGAAGATACCTTTGTAGCTGTCCAAAGGTTGCTTTGGACTTTAAGTGCAGTAATTCCTTCCCCCTTCTGTGCAACGCTTGATGCGCGTTCGAGGCTCTGGATCTCAACACTTTCCGCTTCTCCGTGAACTCGGACTTGGCCGAGTCGGCCGCAGCCCCGAGAGCCCCGGGAGCCCCGGGAGCCCCGGTTTGCACCATCCCGCTTCACCAGGCCAACAGGAGCTCATGCGGGGTGAAGGTTTGCCTCCCCGAAATGGGAACGCTTTACTTTGGCCCCCGCCTGCTACCTGGGATGTGGTTTCCCTTTGCCTTCATAGCAACCACCGCTTGACGGACTTGGGGGTGTCGGGCCTTTAAGCGGGAAGGCAGGCTCGCTTCCTGAGCTTCCAAGACAAGCCACAAGTTCCAGACGTTTTCGGACCAAGTGGGGTAACCCCAACATCCAACATGCCTTGTGCAGGGGTGGCGGCCATAGAAGGAAAATTCAGGCCAACTGATTATTGAATTACGTTGAGCACATTTCGGTTGAGAGGCCAAAAGCAACGCATCCTGTTGGGTCGGGGCAGCCAGAAAGGCGGGGACTTCCCTTGTTGGTTCCATGGTCATTGGGGCGTTGGGGCGTGGAACGGCAGAGATCCAAACGCGGAGACCGTGCTCAACGGCAAAGAGAACGCGTTTCTGGCGGGCTGGGTCCTTGAGGTGTTGGCTCCCCAAAAAGATCCCCTCAAACATTTGCGGGGGGGGGGGGGGATTTAAAGGGGCGGAGGGGGGGGGGGTTGAGCATCACCCGTTGGACCTGGGCGATTTTGGGTTCAGCTTCTCGGATCCGCTGGTCCTCTTCCGCGGCTCTCAGCCGGCTCTCAGCCGGACCCGGTTTGGAACATCGCGTCGCCGAAGCGTTTGAGGTGAGCTTCGTGTTTCTTGTTTTGTTTTTTTGTTCGGGGTGACGTTTTAATGGGAAACATGGGACACCCAATGGCTTGCAAGCTCACCCACGAGTGATTCGCGCAACTGCTTCGTCAAACTTTGGGTTTGGTATGACTAGTTGCGAAAGCACGCGAGCCACTGACACGATTTCTGGTGACCGACATGGGTTGGAAGACCGGTTTCCTATTTTCCCCCTTGGGGCTTTCCAAGTTGTCCCCTGTCCGGGGCTAGCATGTTGCAGAAGTCGCCCCATATGTTTGGATGGCCTTAGGCGTGGCTGTTTTTTTGTGGGGGAGATGGAGCTAACAACAGCCACGGACACCAGAGAGAGGCAACATTGCCTCACTGTCCAATGCCCAGGGCATGCCTGCAACAAGGGCAGCCTAAAGCCGCCCTCCATGATACACATGATGCGACTGGAAAACGATCAAAGGGCCATCCTGCACACAAAACCTGGTTTTCCCTTTTCTAGGCCAGCTGTCTCCCCTTGCAGGTTTCCTGAAGGATCCCTGGCAGACCCTTGCCCCTCCCCCCCCCCACCCCTCCTCCCCCTTGCCGCCCCCGGCCGCATCCGGCCCCGAGCCAAGAGCCATGTGGCCCGACGGCCGGGCCAGCCTGGAGCTGCACGCGCGGGAGTGCACGCACGTGCGCTCCGCAGGCGCGGTGCTCCGGGCTTTGATGCGTGGGCGGAGGTCCCTCCGGATGGAAGCTTCTGGGGTCTGGTCCCATTTTTTTTGTCCTGGGCCTGGGACGTCCATTTTTTTTGATGGGGCAATGCTTGGACGTGTTTGGCCGATCTCAAAGAATGTGAGGCGAGGATCATCCAAAAGGCGCAAGGCTTCAGGACGATGCCTGCGAAGAGGAGTTGTGTTTTGCAAGTTGGGGGCAACACAATCCCGACCTAGAAATGATGCCCGCTAAAGGGTGCGCCAATTACCATTCGAACGACCTATTTCTTGTTGTTGTTTTGTCGTTGTCCTTTTATTTTGTGTGTGTGTGTGTGTCTGTGTCTGTGCCTGTGCCTGTGCCTGTGCCTGTGCCTGTGCCTGTGCCTGTGCCTGTGTCTGTGTCTGTGTCTGTGTCTGTGTCTGTGTCTGTGTCTGTGTCTGTGTCTGTGTCTGTGTCTGTGTCTGTGTCTGTGTCTGTGTCTGTGTCTGTGTCTGTGTCTGTGTCTGTGTCTGTGTCTGTGTCTGTGTCTGTGTCTGTGTCTGTGTGTGTGTGTGTGTGTGTGTGTGTGTTACTACCCGGATGATCAGGGTGCCCAGCCCTGATTTTCACCTTCTAACAGTCCCAGGTGGGATTAGAAGCAGTGGCAGAGCTTGCTTAAGCACCACCCAAGGTTCCCCCAAGGTGGGGGAGCCAAAAGGAGAGTGTTTTGAACACTGGCGGTTCGCAGATCATGGCTGGTCTTTGGAAGCAAATTAGTCTCCCAAACTTGCAAAAGTTGCTTGGGTCCCTCAATTTCCTGCATTTTGGACCTCCAAGAAGCCGTAATGTTTTAAAGCACCAAACTTTAAGGGGGAAATCCAGCAACCCCTGTTTTCTTTGTTGCATTTTGCTTGGAGTTAGGACTTGAACTTTTTGCCAACCAACGGGTTTTCCATTAAACCACTAACAGTTAAACTTTTAGCAGGGGAGCAGAAAGCCGAGTTTTGCTCAGGGGAGAGCAGCCCAGGCGCTTGAACAAGGGCTTTGTTTCACCCTTCGAAGCTGCCCGCAGCCAGGCAGCTTCTTCAGCGGCTCCTTGGCCGCCGAAAGCCGCCCAAACATGGGCGGCTCCCATCTGGACCTGTCGTTTCGGCTTCTTTTGGACCTGGGCCGCCAAAGGGAACACAACTTGTTGGGTTCCCCTGAGATGCACCCGAAAGAGCTTTTTGTTGGGTTCCCTCAAGCTGGAGACACATCCGCTTTCGCCTGCTTGCTGCTTTTTGCGCTGAAGGGCATGCCAAGCTGAGAAGCTTGTCATGGCCGGAGGTCCGGAAGCGCTCCAAACGTGGACCCACGGCCCCACAGGCCCAGTCGACGAGTTGGCGTGACGGACTCCTTGCCAGCTAGCTGATCTGGAGGATCTTCTTGTCAGCTGCCCTTGGAGCATCAGCCCTACCGTCTTATGTGGCTCAAAACGGATCTCTGGCCGACTCTGGCCCCCAAACTGATGGTTTCCTTTTGGCAGCCTTTAAAAGAACCCACAAACTTGAACGTGGAGGGGTTTCCTTTTGGCCTCCCTCAAAAGGAACAAACAACAACACCGCAAAAGAAAAACACAAACACACCCACAAACATGGGGGGGGGTCACAAACATGGGGGGGGGGGTTTCCTTTTGGCCTCCCGCAAAAGAAACAAACAACACCACCGCCAAGAAGAACACGGGCACACCCAGAAACAAACCAAACAAAGCCACAAACCTGGTGGGGGGGCCCCCCCAAAAGTTGCGCCCGAGGCAACCGCCTCTTCCTGGAGGTGCGCCTGGGCGCTCACGAGGCGCGCAGCCAGGCGGAGCCCGAGGAGTCCTTTGGGAGACTGGGACGGGGGGGAAGGGGGAGGCCTTGGGACATCAGTTTGTTCTTTTTTCTTTTTTGAACCCATACATTTTTTGTAATACATATATGTTCCAGCCCCCAGGCCACCAACTCCCCCCAACCCCCAAGGGTAGGGTCCCCCCTCCCCCGAGCCCGAGCCCACACTCCGCTGCTACAGTGCCCAGACCCCCTCGAGCCCCTGAGCTCGCACCCTTGCATCCCGACACGTAGAAGAACTCAACCCACAACCAAGCCCAAACCCCACTCCTAACACTTAACCCTGGCCCTAAACCAACCCTAAATCAACCCTAAACCAACCCTAAGCCAACCCAAAACCCACCCTAAACCCACTGTAAACCAACCTTTAACCAACCCTAAACCAACCCTAAACCAACCCTAAACTAACCTTAAACCCACCCTAAACCAACCCTAAACCCACCCCTAAGCCCCTAAGGGGGGGGTCCACGGCCTGGAACATATATACATATGCAACATATGTATTGAGATGGAAAGCCAAAGGGAACCATCAGAATTTGTTTGTCCATTTTTTCTGGGGGGAGGGCGTTGCGTGAACACTGGCGCGCCGTTAAACAAATGTCGAGACCTCAGGAGTTTAATGGCGTGTCACGTCACGCGAAAGGTCCGCCCGCTCGCCGTTCACCAGGAGAGCGGCGTCGTGCGCTGGGACTGGTCCGTGCAATTGCCAAGCGAGGCGGGGGGACGGTTTCAGTCGCTCGGGTTGGGGAGCCAAAAAGGTGCCAGAGGTCCCTCGTGGAAGGCAAAAGTAGCAACTGGCTGGGCTTCAGGGATGAGCAAATGAAGGGATGACCATTTGCCCACTTACCAACGAGCAAAAGGGCGATTTTCACCCGCCAGTCAAAAAGGGCATTTCCCCCTCAACAAAATGAAAAGCCGCGTGTGAATGAGAGGGCTTTCCGCTGGAGACCACTCCTTTTTTTTCGGGCTTTTGTAGAGGTGAGCAAACTGGTTGCCGCTTGCAGAAAGGAAGTCAAGTCCATTTTCTATGGGGAAATGGGCGATGTCGATGTGCAATGCGAGTGCAGTCCCTCCGTTTTGGTTGGGTCTCTGACCTCATCCGCCAAAAAAAGATGGTTTTCCAAAGGCGGAATCTATGATTCATTGGGCTCCATGCCGTGGGAGGGTGTGGATTGGGGGGCTTATCGGGGCCAAAGCCAATGACCAAGAAGCTGGGCAGTGGACTTGGCCCAGGATTTGTTAAACAGCAACGGGTCCGCCAAAACTGGAGAGGTCTCCTTCTGGCTTCTTTTCAGCCATCGCAGAACACCTCCCTCTCTGGTCCCTGAGACATCGGAAGCTACGAATTCTTGAGGCCACGCTGGAGCTGCAGCTGAAGCGCGAAGGAGCGCCAGGGAACTCGGAATTCGGAATTCGGGGGCCCTAACTTGAGGATGGCTGAGTCTGGGTTCGGGGCGGTTCTCACACTGATTGGATGGCGCTTGCCCGGGTGGTTTGGGGAGCTCCCCGAAAATGGGAAACCCAGCTTCGTATCCGGATCGTGGAATGGTTCAGGGGATGGAATTGTTCAGGTGGGCCTGCCAAGTTGTTTTTTAGGTTGAATCCCGGGTTTGCCACCCAGCTGGTGGTGTCGGAGTGTTCTTCCAACCGCACGTCTAACCCAGATATATATTTGGTACCAGAAAAGAAGACCTCTTCAAGTTAGAGGTCCGTGTTGGGCGTCGGTGGCACCTGTTCCAGCTAACCCTCCCCAGTTGGCAGCTAGGTTTCAATCTAGCCACTGGTTTTTGGACACTTTCGATTTGGAAAAGCAGTCGTTGGGCGGGGGGGGAAGAGGGGAAGAGGCCTAGTTTCGTTCCTTCCGTCAATTTGGGGGCTGCAGCGTCTGGTTGGGTTAGCCTCCATGGCTCAGCGACTTGACAGCGAAAGTTCTTCGGATCGAGCCGGAAATTCGCAGACTTTCAGTCAGTGGTGGCCCCTTTCTTACATTTTTGGAGAGGGTTTTACTTCCAACTCAAATCAGGACCCAACAAAATGCAGCCCTCCTTTTTCGGTCTTCCCGTGGACATCCACCGGTTCTTGAGAACTGGAAATGGCGGACTGAAAACTTTGATCTCTTTGGAGCTTTTGCTCAAATAAGCAGACATGCTTCTGAACAGAAATATGCTTCTTCGGGTTTACGAAGTACTCAAAAAAAATCGGCTCACCCCGCAGGGGGAAAAAGAAGAACAAAACGCCCCCCCCCCCCCCTCCGGCTTCAGCCAACTGTTGGGCCTGGCGGTGCGGACGGCAGGACTCCTCGGTCCGCACCTGGTGGGCGGCGGCAGCTTGCCTTTGCAGAGCCTGCCCCCCGTGCGCGAGAGCTGGGTGAGAATGGAGACCCGGGGCAGGGGGGAAGGCAGGGGCTTGGGTGCATGGTGCAACTAGAGTAGCAGGTCTTCAAGGCTTGTTTCTTAACTCGGTGTCTCCTAGAGCGCCAAGGGGACCCGGTTGGCCTTTGTGAGTCTTTTCGACATATTTCAGGGATCCCCCCTTTTTGATCACCGACTTCCATGGAAATGCGGAAAATATGCAGGTCCCCGTGCTTCGCTCCTTGCGATTTGTGTTTTCCTTGGAGGCAAGTTGCGAGCCCCGAAGGCCCGTTGAGAAACCTGTCCAGCGTCCAAGCCTTAAACCCTTGGTGGGTAGATGTCTCCATGTCAGTAAAAAAACCCTCTTGGATGTTTGAACCTCTTGGGGAGGTCCGAAGAAGTCGGAATCCGCCAACATCAACCCGTTCCCTCTGCTCAAATCTCGCATGCCTTTTCTTGATCGCCACGGGGTTTTTATACTTTGTTCTTTTAGAACATCAAGTTGGTTTTCCGAAACGAACCAAAGTGAGTCGCTTTTTGCAGAGGAGCCGCAGCAACCAAGTTTTCCCGACCGGGTTTCCTTTGGCCCATTTTTGGCATCTCGGATGGGGAGGCTTTCTCGGATCGCAGGAGGTGGCGCTGCGCGGAAAGGGCCAGGCTGGGAGAAGGTGAATGGGGAGTAGCAGGGTGTGACTTTTTGAGGAGTAACCCCTTGGTGGGGTTGGCTTAAAGGAAATTGAAACAAGCACATAGGGCCACCCTATTTTGAGACATGCATATGTGCCATGATCGACAGAGACCACTAGAGGTTGGCAACTGGTAGGGGTAGTCATCAAGCTCACGGGTTTTAGGCATGTAAGGGCACCATGATGATCCGCATGGGGAGCATTGACCATCGTCGTAGATTTGGAATCCGATGTCCTTTTTGGGTTTCCGGCAAGATGCCAAAGACTGCGGCGGCGTCTCTTTTTTCTCTAGGGCTTGATTCCCCTTTCTTTTCAACCATGGTTCTTTTCAAAAACCAGCCGTTTTCCCCAAGATTCTGGAAGTGTTCTAGAAAGAAGGATCCCTGGAAAGAATGGGGAAGGTAGCCCTAGAAAGATGCCAAATACTGCGGCGGCGTGTTTCTTTTTTTGTGTCCTTCACTGCGTCGCTCGCTGGAAAACACCACTGAGCATTCGCGCCTCTGCCCCTACGGCCCCTACTTTGCCCGGATTGGGATGTGCTAAATGGCTCACTCGCCCGCACTCAGTCTCGCACCCAGTTGTTCCTGGCGTTCTTTTCGTTGGTCGGCTAGCCCTGTGGTGGTTTGGTTAGGGAAGGCTTTGGAAACTCACAACATGGGCTCTGGAAAGCCCTTTCTCTTTCGGTAGTGATTTGGGGGTGGTGAAGATCCTCTACGACTTTCTGGTTCTTGAATTAAGATCTTATTATCTGATATCTGTTTGCTTTTACATGTCTTTTATCTTCTTCTTTACAATTCTCTTCATTCATTTTCTATCTTTTGGTTACATTCTGGTTCTTAGGTAAAAGCGAGGAAACGAGCGGGAATGAAGATAATGGGGATAAAGGCCTTCTTCTCTCACAGCATCATTCTAGTTCTCGTTTATAAGCTGTGGAAGGCCTTTTTCATCTATTAATCTGTTTCTCTTTCATTTACACTCCAGACGCTTCCTAGCGGCTATTATTCCTTCTCTCTTCGTTCGTTGACATTGTGTGTGAGGACCTTCCCGGCAGCGGTTAAACCGTGAGGAAGGGAAGGGAAAAGAACTCACACACACATCCATCCCTTCCATGCCAGGCTTTTATTACCGTTATTCCTGGCCTGGCATCTTTCCCTTTCTTTTCTATATGTTGGGGTTCATCTTAAAAGCATTTCACATTATAACCCCAACATAGGAAAGGGAAAGGAGAGAGGGATAGGGAAAGGCCATGACAAGATGAGATGAGGAACGAAGCAAGCCTTTCCCCTCTATCCCCTCTTTCCCACTCACCCACCTCCCTCTCCCTTGGATCGGTCGTAGGTGGTAAAGAGAGGAGAGAAGCGACGGGATGGTGAGGCAATCATTTGTTGGTCTTTTCATTCTAATGCCTCACCTATATCTCTTCCTCATGTTCACTCCTCACCTTCCCCGCCGCCGGCGTACGCTCTCATAGACACTCACCAGCGAGGAAACGAGTGCAGGGAGAATGAGAGCGTAGGAAGGTATGGATGGGTGAACGAGAAGCCTGACAAAGAAGCGAGAGAAAGGAGCTGAGAGAGGCTTCCCCATCCATCACTTCTTCCCCATTATCCATCTCTCTTTCTCATCTCCTCTTTTCCTCGTCTGGACATCAGGTCCAACATATAGACGAGAGAGGAGATGAAGAGATGGACAGGGGAAGAGAAAGGATGCAATGAACCAGACAAGGGATGGTGAGTGAAGAGAGCCCTTCCCGTCCGTTCATTCCCCACCATTCATTTCATTCATTCCTGTGTCACTCACTTCCCGGTCAGTGTCTTTATCCTCGCTACCCAGCGGCAACGACCAAAGGGAGGGATATCCAATGGCAGGTGATGGTTAGGCGAGAGAGAGAGATGATGGCAAGCCTTCTTTCCTGTCTGTCCACCTTGTCTCCAGACCATGATATGACTAAGGCTTGCCATCCCTTCCACAGCATTCATTGGTTAGTTAATTGGCTGTGGAAGAGAGAAGAGATACAGATAGGGAAGTGATGTGAGAGCCAACAGAGAAGAAAGAAAGGGCTCTCACACTCTATCACTTCCTATCTCTTCTCCTCCTTACCATTCACTCACTTCGCTCCCTCATCCATTTCCTCTCCGTCATTGACGGTGGAAATGGGAGGTAAGGAGAGATGGAGAGGCTTGAAGGGAGATAGATGGAATAGCTTCTGGAGAAGACACGACAGGAAAGCTATTCTCCATCCAATCTTTCATTGTCCCTCAACCCTCCACAGATAACCGCCAGGAAAGGACTGGGGTTGAGGGAAGAGAAAGACAATAAATCTCAGGGTCTTTCCGTGCCTTACAATTCACTGCCGTGGGATTCATCTGTTGGGAATGTTGGGATGGATTGGTCGAGAGACGGTAGGAAGGAGAGCGGATCCAGAGGCAACAGATGAATGGGTGAGTGGAGAGCCTACAGTAAAGACATGACACCGCTCTCCACAAAGCCATTCACTCTCCATTCCATCTTCTCTCACCCACTCTACCTCCCTCAACTTTCGGGAGTCGTGGGTAACAGAGAGAAGAGAGAGGAATGGAATGACTCACGAACGAACTAACCCTCACTCCCTTCGGTCACTCCCCACCAGCCAATTGACAGGCTGGAGCTATAGGTGGGAGATAAGGTCCTGTGTACATTCTATATCCTCATCCTATCTCCTCTTCGTTCCTCACATTCCCTTTCCCTTCTCTTTGTGGGTTCTTTCTGCACTCGGTAACTCCTGCAAACTGTTTGGGTGAACCTGGCAGTTTGATGTTTCAGTCCGACAAGTCATTCCAAGTCATCCGCGGAATCTGCGAACCAGCGGGTACGCCCATCAAAGTGACGCCCCCAGAAAGACATTCCACATTGGGTTGGATCATTGCGCTTGATATTTTGTGGGGTCATGATTGTATTCTTCCTGACTTGCCCTCCCCCAAAACCAACTAAGTAAACAAACAAACAAACAAACAAACAACCAAACAACCAAACAAAACAAAACAAAACAAGCAAAACAAACAAACCAACAAAAACAACAAACAAAGACACAAACAAACATACCATGGGAAAACAGCACAAACTCACCACAATTGTTCTTAAGACACAACGGCCCTTTTTGCCCGGCTCAAGTGGAGCCATCCCGATCCGTCAGGACGAGGTGGGCCGTTTGCACCTGAGCTTCCGCAAGCCTCCGGAGTCGGAGGCAGCCCCGGCGGGGGTCCGCGGCCTGACGAACCTCGCTGCCGGCGGAGGTGGTGGAGGCGTTCTTTTTCGTTTTTCTTTTTTTTTTCCTTTAATTATTATCATCATTATTATTAACCAGGCTCCCGCCTGCTGCCGCCGACCCTCGGCGCATTAAGGGAAGAGTCACAAGGACCGGCCCTGAAACACGTCCGCAAACCCAGGGACCACTTATAAGATTTTCTACGACCACAAACAAGGATTAACGGAAAAGTCAGAAATATGGCAGCTAGTCCGTTAATTGCCGCTTGGGCCGGCTTGCGCCCAAGTCACTTCGAGTTGGCCCGGGAGCAGTCGCCTGTCCCGGGTCGCCCTGAAACTGGCCCTCCCGAAACTGCCCCGGCGACAGTGGCCCTAGTGGCCCTGGACCGGTCGCCGGCAGTAGATCCAGGGATCCTCTACTACCACAAGGATTAGCGGAAAAGTCAGACAGGCGGCAGCTCGTCCGTCAATGACCGCACGGGCCGGCTCGCGCCCAAGTCGCGTTGAGCTGGTCCTAGAAACAAGGCCGTCGGTGCCCCTCAACCGGTCGCAGGGAGGGACTGGGACTTGGGACCCTGTCCGGTCCTGAAACACGGGTGCCAGTCCGGAAACAGCGACACTGAAAAAACAGGTGTCTGGAGCTGTTTGAGGTGGCACCGGGTTTCTGCAGCGGTTTGAAGTGGGATCCGATACCAGCGGCTGGGACCGGACCAGTCCTGAAAGCGGTCCTGGCCAGGACCAGGTCCCAGGACCGGTCCTGGGACCGGTCTTAGGACCGGTCCAGGACTGGTCCTGGCCTGGGTCCCAGGACCGGTCCTGGGACCCCAGGTCCCAGGACTGGTCCCAGGACCGGTCCTGGGACTGGTCCTGGGACCGGTTTGGGGACCGGTCCCAGGCTGGTTTTAGCTGACTGCAAGTACCCAGGACCAGTCCCAGGACCGGTCCCAGGAGGTCCCAGGACCGGTCCTGGGACCGGTCCCGGGACCGGTCCCGGGACCGGTCCTGGGAATCCACTTTTTGTACTTTCGGGTGTGCCCCCCAGGGACCATCATTGATTCCAATCACTTCCAGTTGCATCCCACGCCGGTCCCCTCTGCAGGAGGCTGGGACGGGAGGCAGAGGGTCGGCGGATTATCATTATTGTTAATTATGTTTTTGTTTTTTAAGCTCCCCATGGTCCTGTACTTGCGGGACCCCGCGCTGCTCGCAGCGGTGCCAGGCCCCATGGGTCCGGCGCTGCCGCCCTTGCCCGGGGGCAGCCTGGTGAACCGCGCGGGCACGGGGCGCCTGGTCTGTCGGGCGGGTGCTTCAACGACTTCAACTGGTTGGAGAGGCGAAAGTCGTTGGGCTGAACAGGTTGAACCGTTCACCTTCGGGATTTGCGCCCCCTGTGGAACTTTCGTTCTTTTCGTTGGGGGGCGGGGGGAGCGGTTGGCCCTCCCCACAAATTGGGTGGGTTTGGTCCCCCTGTTCTTTTTGTAAGTTCTGCTTTGCTTTTGGGGCCCAAAAGTCAGGTTTTACTTAGTTGGTGGTTTGGGTTGGTGGTTTGGATGTGTATTTGAACCAACAAAAAGAGGGCCCCTCAAAACAACGCACATGAGCCGCGGCGTGTCAGAAGAAGAGACCCCGCATGAGTATGGGTCAATTATTCAACCACCAGGATATGGACCGCAGGCTGGAGTCCTTGTTTCCATATGGCCACGGGTCAAAAGCCAAATCGTACATTCACTGAACCTCCCAATCCCCACTAAAGCAGGTTCTAACCTGGGTGGTGAATTCACCAATCCCAACCCAAAATGGGATCCCGTTCAACGGCTTTGACAACCACAGCCACAGACCAGGGCAACCCATTTCGGTTTTGACCCACATGGCCGAGGAGCCTGGCGCCTGCGGCTTCGGCTTCTGCTGCTGCTTCGGCGGCGTCGGGGGGGTCCGGCCTGGTGAACTACGCGCCTGGGACTTTCAGGTCCTTTTGATGAAGGTGGATTTTGCGGGTAAAGGGGGCATACAACCCCCTGAAACGGATGGATTTGCTGGTGCGTGGAGGGCATAAAGCCCATCCAAGCCAGTGGAATCCATCTATTTCGTCTATTTCCAGCCAAACTAATCCGAAAAGGACACTTGTGCCATTTAGTTGCAATCCCAGTCCCCGGATCTCTAAAGCCAGTTTAAACATCACGTTTGGACTTTTGGGGCATGGTCGCTTTGCAGCGTCTTGGGGTTGCTTGGGCTGGTCATGAACCCTCTACGGCTACAAGAGGCTACTGTTGACCCCGGATCAAAACACCCACATCCTACTTGAAAACCAAATAAACCACAAATGCCTCAAAAGAAACTCGGAGATGCCAAACTAAACAAACCTTATCCTAGAAGAAGGCGGTTGCAAAATCGACCCCCCACCGTCCTTACGAATTTCTGGGGGATGTCTCCAGCTTCCACCCCACGGATCCCAGACCCCGAGGCCCGCATGGCCACCTCGGACCTGGAGCCCCGGCCCGGCTTCGCGCGAGGCGGCGGCGAGGGGCGGCCAGGGGCGAGGGGCGCGAGCGGAGAAGGGGTCGGGAGCGGGGGGGGGGGGGTTTGATCACCTCCCTATTTAGGACTACGTCCGCCAGCAATTGGTGCCAACTGTTACCTTTCTTTTTTGGTTGGGAGGGTTCCCCTACTGAAATAGACGGCAGAACAAAGGTCGCCCTTCTTCTAGCCTCTCTACTGGAGGACCTAGTTAGTTTTGATGTACGGTAAGAAGCATGATCTGATGGGCATGGTTATCTCGTTGGCCGTTTTTTTTTCTTTGGGGGTGAGGGGGCGGCTTGATGGCTGGCTGTTTTCTCCTTCTAACACCCGGGGGTGTTTCTTGAGGTTTTTTCGCCCCTTTCAGCGCGCGAAGTCGGCGCTGCGGCGGATGGGTCGGCCGGACTCTGCAACGAATTTGCGCAGGTGCCAGCCAGGGGTTGGCCAACCTGGCGACGGCGACTTGGTCTCTCTCTTTTTTTTGTTTTCCGGTAGTTGTTTTTCATGTGTCTCTCTTTCTCTTTTTTTTTGGGGGGGGTCCATTTCCGAGGGAAGGCCTTTTGGTATGTGTTTTGAGGCAGACCATGAGAGAGATTCATCCGGAGCGGACCGGAGTCTGAAAAGATGCGTGCAGATTTGGGCCAAGTGTGGGTACTGGTCGGCTTAAGCTCACTCAGATCGGCCCAGCTTGCGAAGAGAATGGCCGGGTCGAGGTGCGGGAAGCCGGGAGCTCGAGCCTGCCCCGGGTGGAGGAGCTGCTTGCACAGGCGGGCGATCAGCTCAGCGCAAGCGAGAGAAGCGGCAATGCCGGTGATCCAAGATGAATAGCTGGGAATCGTCAATTCGTCAATAGAGGGGGGAGGTTCCCAGCTGGTGTTTGAAAGGAGCTGAGGACCTCGTCGGAGCCAAGGAAGTTGGTGTAAGGAGATGCCAAGCCCTGCTCAGCCTGGTCCCGGGCGGGAGGGGGGCGTGTTGGTATTGGTCCTGGTGCTGGTTGGGGGGAAGCTGGGCGCACTTCCACAATGGGGGCCCGATTTTTCCCTTTTCGAGTTGAACTTTCGGTGGGTTTCTTTCCCTTTCGGGCCAACTCGAACAGGGGGTCCCTGGATTTCTCCTTGGGATTCCACTGAAACGATCGCCGCTGGAGGATCCGACAAGGGAAACGCGGGGAAACCCTCCCCCCCCGCGCCCAGCGATCCGGTCGGGGAGACGCCCCGACGACCCGCCGGAGGCCTCCCCCTTCGAGGCGAGCAGCGAGGAGCACAGGCAAAGGCTGGCGCAGGCGCTGGAGATCGTGAGGCCGGAAAAAGCGGCAGGTCCCGGGGCACGTTTTTTTTTTTTTTGGTGGATATGTTGACACAACAAATCCATATGCTATACCGGTAGGCAGAGAGAGAGACAGACAGACAGACAGACAGACAGACAGACAGACAGACAGACAGACAGACAGACAGACAGACAGACAGACAGACAGACAGATAGAGACAGATAGAGACAGATAGAGACAGATAGGCATGCAGGCAGGCAGACAGCTATACTTCCATTTGCTGAAGTTTTAGTTCTATTATTTTTCCCTATTGGTTTAAAGGGAACCTATCACTACTGGGCATATTATTTATGTTCCCTAGGGGGCTTAAGCAAATGGAAGAAACAAAAAAAACAGACACGCATGATTCTGGTCTCCCCTTTGCCGCCGGGCACGCAGCAGCCGGCAGGCGCTGCTCTGACGCGGAGCTGTCGGCTTCAGCGGGGCGCCGTGCGCTGGAGGGCTGTGGTCAGCGCGTGGAGGTGCTGCCGCCCTTCGGGCAAATCTCTGGGCAAAAAACAAAAAGAACAAATCTATGAAAAAGCAAATAAGCAAAAACAACAAGCAAACAAAAAAGCAAACAAACAAAAAGAAGCAGCCGACTGGAGGCATCTAATGTTGCACCACGTGGGGAGCTGGGGGGGGGGGGGCGGGGGGTTTGGTGCCCGATGACGCCAAGCTTAACTCATGTCTGCGGGAAGCCCTTTTTTGCATGGCCTTGCTGGGCTTGAACTAGCCCAGAATCTTTGAGGGAAGCCAGACAAGGGGGATGTGCAACTCTTTCAGGGCTCCAGACCACGCTGTTTGCCGATCCGAATGACATCGAGCTCCATGAGAAAGATCCCCAATCCGAGTTGGGAAGGTCGCCGGGCAAAGTCGTTTGGTCCATCGGGGCGAACCGAACAACGATGCTAAAGTCGCGCGTGCTCTTCGGAGGCCTCAAAGAAGGTCCGAAGCTATCAAGCAGGACTCTCCCATCTTGAGCCATTTTGAGCTTCTTTGTTTTTTTTTTTCTCTCCGGCTCCCCGTAAGAACCTGAGGTCATCTCTTTTGGCCCCCACGAGGCTTTCCTTGTTGACCCCCTGATCCCTGGCAGGCGCTCTTCGTGTCGGCCCTGAGCCAGCGCAGCGAGAAGGCCGGGGCTTCGATGCAACGATTCTCCCCCCCGCCTTGAGGTCCCTTTAAAGCCTTAGCCAGTGGTTGGAAGGGAGAAGAAAGTGTCCAAATTTTGCTGCCAGAGCTACCAGGAAATCTGTCAATGACATGGTTACAGTTAGGACCAGAGGTTGCTTTTGTACAGATCTTGCCCAGCCCACTTTGACATCCTTGATCAGCACAGAATCCATCAGATTTGGGCGAATCCTTTTTCAGGCATCTGAAAAAAAGGGCCGTTCTGGCTCTGGTTTTTGTCTTCGCCTCAAATTCCATATGGGGTTACCCAGTTCGGTCCTTGATGGTTTTCCCAGTTCGGGGTAATAGACGTCCACCCGCAGGACGCCCATGCGGCTCTCTGGCTGGCAGGGCGTCTTCCCTCCCCCGAGGAGGAGGAGGCGCGACGGGCTCGGAAGGCCATCTGGGCAGATTACGAGGAGTTCACCGATGAAAGCGTAAGACATGCCCAGGAGAACAGCCCCTTACTTGGGGAGATTTTCTTTGTTTCCGGTTTGCTGGGGCACGCCTTGCCCCTTGTTTCATTTTGTTTGTAGGATTGAAGCCTCCGCACCGGAGCATGGGTTTCGGGGGGTGCACCCCGTTTGTGTTCCACAGTGCAGCTCGAAGGGTTCGTCCCGCCCTCCATTGCAATTGGTACAGCCTGCCACCCCGCCAAACAAAGCAACGCAGCACGAAGGGGCTGTGCACTTCCATGTTGTTTTTTTGCTCCAGGGGTTGACCGGAGAAATCTAAAATCAGCTTCCCGGTTTTGGGCCGGGCCCCCTTCTGAGCCGGGTAGTAAGAGGGGTAAGGTGCGCTGCTGGTTCTTTAGTAGGCCCATCGGATGCCAGGTTTTGATTGTTCTAAGATGGCACCACTACCTCCGTGGGAAAGTGCCAGGTTTGATTAAGGTTGATTCGCCAAGTTTTGATTGTCACTCAGGTGACGCTACAGATGAAGCTTCGGCAGAAGTGGGATGAGTACAGCATGGAGGAGGCATTGGGGGGTCAGGATGAGGCTGTCAGTTGCATGCATCCTGTTTGAGTCATGCATTGAGTAGTTTTTTTTTGAAGATGAGAAAACTAAGAATCAAACATGCAAGTCAAACATGAAAGGACCTCTTAAACTTACGCTTGGCATCGTTGCCACCATCACACCATCAGGGCTACTCCCCTCAAAGCAGCTGGAAGTAAGAAACCGCTCTCCAGCTTTGGGAGCCTTACAGATGGATCAAAAGGGGGAAATTCAAAAAAAAAGGCCCAAAGGGGGAACCCCTTTTGGACATCTGAGCTTAGCCTCCCGCATGGCTTGGCTTGGAATGGCCTGGAAAAGTGCGTGGCTCGGAATGCCTTAGGCGCAGGCGCGGGCGCAGAGGCTGCTGCGGAAGGCGGCGGCAGGGGGAGCTGAGCTGGAGGCGCCGCTTGGGGTCGTAGATCGAAGGTTCTGAGGAGCGGGGATCCCTGGCATTTGCAGGAGCTTGCATGCACCACAAGTTTCGGGCTGCGGGTTCAAGTGCCGTTCTTCTTTTGGGGTCGCCCCTGGCAACCAGTAGCTACTGCTTCCATCAGCTTGGTCCCCACCGGGCCACCGGAGGGACGCGGCGAATCCAGCGACGTCTGAATTGGATCAGGACTTCATGGACGCGCTGGACCTTGCGGAGCGGCTCGGAGAGGTCGACAGCTTTGATGGCCTGGAGGTTCTGAACGGGAGTCTCGGGCCCTCAGTCCCTCAGAGTTTTTTTTTAGGTGGTTGGAAGGGAGTCGTTAAGGGAGCTGGGGGTATCCAAACATTTTGCAGATGAGTGGCTACCAGGAGTTCGGAGGGGGACGGGGTGGATTATTTTTGTTAATTATTCGTGACATCAAACATGACCAAAGGTACCTGGTTGGTTTCCTTGTAGCTTCCAAGACTGTTGCCATGACACAACCCATCCAAATTCGGCGGCCAAGGTGATGTTTGCTCCATGTGTATCCAGGGCCCTGCTAAAACGAACACTGCGAAAAGGGGCCTGACGGCAGGCAGCGAGAAGACAGGCAGCCTGAAGGACCCCCTATTTTTCGCACTCTGCAACCATCACCCATGTTTAAGTTGGTAGGTGCAGATGTTCAGATCCTTTCCAAGAGGACTTGTGCACTTCGTGATTGTTTGGCGAGGAAGCTTTTGGTCCTTTTCAAGGATGGTAATCCAAACAAAAACCTGCTGGTTGGAAAACGGGTGTCTAAAAAAAGTGACCCACACCCGAATTCCTCCAGCGAAGTCGAACTTTGGCAGTCCTCCAAATTTATCACAAAGGCGGAAGGAAGTGATTTCACAATCCGTGAAATGGGTATGTCTGCACTGGATTGGATGGGTGCGTTCTATTTACCAGTCATTTCCAGTGGCAGATGGTCATTTCCGGGTCTGAGGTTCCATGGGCAAAAGGCCCAGAAAGACCCGCGGCTACAGTCGCTCCTCTTGCAGCTGGAGACGGTTTGGGGGGTTTGGGGTGGGGGGAAGTCCGATCCATGCAACAATCCGAGAGGGGATCCATGCCCAGTTTGAGACGGCCTTCAATGGGTTGTGGACATTTTTTGGGGCGACCATGCCTGTCAATGCCCTTCAACTTGTTGAGATGTTTTTCAAGAAAGGTCAGCCGGAAATGGCATCGTTTGATGAGTAGTACGTCTGGGGCCTCTTTTTTTGGCCTTCAGGGAGTGGGTTGGACACCCACTCCTGGTCCTAGACTACTTTGTCTTGGGCTCGGGGCAGAGAAGTCATCGCGCCGGTGTCCTTCAAGGGATCCCTGATCAATGGTCCATCCATTTCCTGGCCCCTTTTAACCTCCCGAGATGGATGTCCGACCGTGACGTAACACGGAGGTTTTGTATGGAAACTGGGAGATGAGAGATTGGATTCAGATTGTCATTTTCAGAGGGACCTGCGACTCGCCCAATGTGAAAGGCCATACTTGGAGGCCACCAGGCCAATTTCCCGCCGAGGGCTCCATGTTTTTTGTGGGGATCGGCCGCAGGCCTCGGATCTCTTGGGAACTCTTGCAGGCATTTTTTTGGCTGGTGCTCAGTAGGGGCTGCGGGAATGACCCCTATGAACCATCCCTTGTCGTTCCCCTAGCGCATCAGCGAGTGTTTTTCTTCTTTCACCTCCCAAAGGTCCAGGCTAGAGCATTTTCCGACACCGGGACGCGCCTTCGCGGACTTTGGCAGGAGACGCCGTTGGCACAGACGCTTCAGGAGTTGCTCTCGCAGGGGGAGGTGGACAAGGTTGGAGTGGGGAGAGAAAAAACTCGAGCGTGGTGCCCCTCGTTTTTTTTTTTTTGGGGGGGGGGTACCCGTTTGAGGGTCGGTTGAAAGAGGGATATGTTTGTTTTAGGGAGTTAGTTGTTTTGGGTGTTTCGCTTTTTTAAAGGGTAGTTTGGGTCCAGGCACCCTTTCTGGGGTCGTTTTCAAGGGAATTCAGGGACGCCAAAGTCCATTTGGTGGTCCCTTTCTTTGGACACATATCATCTGCGTATTTTGCTTTGCAGGGTGAGTAGTGTCTACTTTCACCCTGTACACAACCAGTCCTTGGTTCCCCTCAAAGCAAAACCCAAACAAGCCTTAGAAGTACCTGGGCGAGTTGTAACGAGCTGGGGGGGACGGGGCTCCCCGTTAAGCATTCCTCAGGTCTGTTTGGCTGGGCCCTCGAATTTTTTAAAGTGAGGGATACTTTGAACCCAAATTTCTCCCAGCCTCTTGCCATTGACTTCAAAGTTGAGGATGGATAGGCCGGGGCTGGCCAAGAACCTGTCAAAGGGCCCTCTTAAAGGGGAAGGCCTGGAATGTGCGGGAGGAACCCTGGTAGCCTTGACCAGGGGGTCCTGAAACGCCTTTCTTGTCCTTGACCTGTCTTGAGTTCAGAGGGGCTGACCTACCAGGGTTGGGCAGGTTTGGTTTGATTTCCCTTGGTTTCCCTCGCGAACCTTTCTGTTGCCAAATCCCTCACCTGCAAGCCCGAGCGCCCAAACGCACCAAAGGACCGCGACCTGAAGATCAGGAGCTGCACATCGCACCCCCACTTTCTTTGGCAGGTTTCGTTGCCTCCCTGCTTCCATGTGGAGCCCAGGGAGTTCCTGGGTTCCTCACTCGAGACCACTTGTTTCGGGTTTGGACCATGCCGGTGGCAAACAAAAATAGTTTTGCTCGGCGATTTTTATTTGGACCATCCGCGCGATCGGAAGGGTTTGGCCCACAAACGCCGACAAGGCGGAGTCCATCTTCGCCACTTTGGGCGCCAACCGCACTGAGCTGCTCGGGCTACAGGCGCCCGGGTGGGGATTTGTTCTAGCGGTTGGGGGGTGATTTTGGTACAAAAAATCTAAAGGGAAGCCCCGGGTTAACCAAAATGGGGGTAGCACACGCCCATGTTTCCTGTAGGGTGGTTTTGGACAGGACCTTCTTTGGGCCATGTGCAGTGGGGCCCCTCTTACGGCGGTGATGATGGAAACTTGTTGCGAGACTCCGGGCGAGCGGGAAGGGCGGAGGGTTGGACATCCAAATCCCCCTCCCTTCCAAAATGGAATTGAATAAGTTGAGGCAGGGATTGCGCTTTTTGCAGAACTCTCTTGATGGTCACTGGCTTTTCCTCTTTTGTGCGGGGAGGCCCGAAAAAAAGAAATAAACAATTGAGGAGTTGGCCCCTGCCGCCCCCATATTTGGTTTCTCAAGCTGAGTTGGATCCACTCGACACTTTCGAAGACCGAAAGCGGCACAAAGCCTCGAAGGACCAGCGGAGGCAGCTCTTGCGGTCCAAAGGCCTGCGACTGCTGAAGGCGGGGCGGGGGCCCCCCGCGGGGGTTGGGAAGAGGGGGGGTGGTCGTTTTGTGGGTAGGACGCGGACACCCCCAGAATGTGTTTTTTTTCTTCAGTGGGGTGGCTTGCTGTTGGCCTCTTTTTTTTTGGAGGAGCTTGCTTCCCTTTGAAGGCAAGCCATAAAGGGCTTTGTCCCCCCAGGGCTAGGGGGGAAATGTGAGCTGTTTCGCAAGTGTACCACGCAGGATGCGATTTTCCACAGACAGGGGCACATGAGCATCTGCTGACTGGTGCAGGTGACAAAGCTCAAAACTTGTTGTTAGTAGATGTGTTCGTCAACTGGCAGACCAACTTGGACTTCGCGCCTCGGCGCGGGTAAGGTGGTCTCAGCAGCTGGGGTTGCTTTTTCGGTTTAGTCCGGGTTGCAAAGGTGAGCAACAGTGACATGTCCTCGGTAAACCCGCCACTTTTTGCGACATATTGTCACACCCTTCCCCAAAGGAAAAAGGGACTCACGGCAAAGACATGCCCCTGTTGCACGTGCCCAACAATGCCCTGCTTTTTTGAGAGCCGTACTGACTCATAAACATGTTCATTTTGTAAGGGCACCTCTGCAAGTGGTCTCATACAGTCACATGCGCAGGCATGCATACATATTTATGAGTTTTGTAAACTCTACATACATACGTATACACATGAACATACGTGAACGGAAAAATCAGCAAACAACTAATTAGCTGAATAACCATCTGAATGAATAGATAACAACTAGTTAAATGATTATATAGCTAGATTTAAACGCACAAAAACAACAAAACCACGCCTCATTCAGCCGGGCGGCAGGTGGCACTGCTGCCGGATCACGGACAGCTGCTTCGCGCGAAGGGCTGGGGGGCTGGACGGCTGGGCCTCGAACCCAAAAGACGGGAAGGAACGCGAAAGGGGGGATCCTTCGAAACCTCGGATATTTTTGGTTCCTTCATTTGCTTAAGAATATGTTTTAGTTCCCCCTGTTGGTTTTGAAGGGAATGGATTTCATAGGTTTTCAAGGGAATCGATTTCACTATTTTCACATTTTTTCCAGGGGTCTTAGCCAAATGGAAGCAAACGGGCTTCGTGTACAAATGGATGGCTGTTAGGGTTCCATGGGAATCTGCCGAAAGAAGGGGCCAGAAGAGATTTTGGACTGCAACTCCGTTGTCCAAAACTGACCTCGTAACAAAGATTCAGGTCCTTTGGGAAAGTGAATTGCAGTTCGGTGAAAGTGGACGGCGCAGTTCCATCCCATTTGGGGATAGTCATCCCATTGACCCGCCTACAGACGATCACGCCGTCTACTTTCACCCTGCATACTTTTGGGAAGACCATTTCGGTAGAACACAAACATTTAACACCCGTTCACCAGTACTAGAAGTAGAACCGTGGAAGTGCATGGGAGGGGGGAAGCACCAGATTTTGGATGGCCAAGCAGTTGTTGGGTCGTCTCAATTTTGAGAGACGACCATCTTGGACTGCCTTGCTTTTGATGACCATTACTTGTCACCATTCCTTCCTGTTTCAAGTTGTCAACGGCTTTGGACCTGGGGCGGGGAGTCCTTTCCACGTGGCGGCAGACTTGCGAGAGCCCAGGATTCTGTTGTGGGAGGGGGGGCACAAGTCTGGGGGTTGGGTCAGTCCCAAAGAAACAGTTGGCAACCAAAAAAACGCCAAGACACTCCGAGTGAGTCTTTTTCGCATGTTTTAGGGAGCCATTTCTTTTTTGAGGCCCGGTACGCCACGCATGTGATAACGGTTTTTTAAATTCATCAGCCCAACCAAGGGCCTCTTTCTTCTTTTTCTTGGGGTGGTTGTCAACACCTCAGCTCCCCACTTCTTGGGGCATGCAAAACCACTATTTTTTCCCGGGGGGGGGGGGGAACCGAAACCAAACCAAAGCCCGCCCCCTCCCACCCCCTGGGGCGCAATTTTTTCGGCCTCGGCCCGGCGCCTCGGGACTCGGGGCCCGAGGCTGGGCTTCCCGGAGCTGAAGCAGCGCCAGCTCCGGCACGCGGTGCTGCAGCTGCGCCGGGGGCCCCGGCCCGCGCGCCGCGCGTTTTTTTTTTTAAGCGGCCGCCCCTGGAAAAAGGAGCGGGGCGGTGTTTGGTTTCGGCACGGAAAAACACCGGCTTCCTGGTTTTGTTTTTTTACAGGGCTCCTTAAAAGATAGATTTTTTTGCAACCCGTGGACACCGACCAAGATAAAGTTGGAAGCCGACCAACATAAAGTTGGAAACCACCACCACCATTTTTTCCCCTGGGCAATGTTCAGGTGTATAGTGTAAGGATCCCTGTTCAGCCCGGCGCTTTTGGGGCTTGGGGCTGAGACTGTCAAGTACGTCTCAGGTGGTGTGGGTTTCCTTTTTAGGTTAGTTTGATTCAAAATAGATTGGTTCCGCTGGTTTAGATGGGGTTTCTTCCATTTACCAGGGCCATCGATTTTTCCAAACGGCCACCTATGCTCAGGTGATGTGGCTTGGTTTGGATTTGGATTTTACGCCCCCTGGTTGCTGAGGGTAAATGGAAAACAAGCCCCTGAATGGAAGCCCACAGTCGATTTGCCGAGTTGGATCCTTTCGCCTTTGGCTCAAGGCAACATTTTGGATCAAGTGCCTCTTAGGTTGTTTGGTTTGGTTTGGATTTGGATTTGAACCCCTGGTTCCTGATGTAAATGGGAAGCAACTCCTCATTTTTGTTGGGACCCTTTCGCCCAAAATGTTCAATTGACCATTTTGGATCAGGAAACTCTTAGTTTGTGGTTTGAATTGGTGGGGGCTGGGGATTTGAGGAACCAGTTCTTGTAACCCACAGAACACCTGTAGACAAAGCCGAGCTACCGATAAGCTGAAAAGGGGGTGGTCTCTGGGATCCCTTGCGAAAACTCGATACCTCGTTGCTTTTGGGTCAAAAGCAGCCAGTTGGTTGGACCCCCCCCCAAAAAAAAAAAAAGAAAAAAAGAGAGAAGCGGCCCCTACGTTTCCCTGCGGTTCTTCTTTTTCCAGAAGAGAGCTAAGGAGGTCAGGTGCAAACCAACCCTGGAAATGCTTGGCTGCTATTTGGTTGGATCTGTTCTCTGTATCTTTTTGGTGAAGATGTGTGTTTTCCCACCGGTCAAAGGGTAAACCTCCAGAAGTGCTTTTCCTTTGCTGTTCGGCCAGGTGCTCTACTGTGAATGGGGAGCCATTTTTTGTGGGTGGTCAAGGGAGCCCCTAAGTGAGAGTAGCCATGGGACTGGGAACCAACCACAGTATCACAGGGGTGGTTTTGCACAACTGCGGCTGTCAGGGCCTAAAATCTAACAAACCTGCAGCACCTCCGATTCCGGAAATCCTTGGTTTCTGATGGGTGCGACGTTTGTGGGGTGCGACCCTGCCCGCAAACCCCTTTAGGGTGCCGTGATATCCTTGAATAGTTGTCCCTAGACCCGTGGTTGTTTATTGATATATTTGGTTGTGGTTTTGTTCATTGGGAAGCAAGGGCGCGGTTATGAGGTTTGAGATGCACGGTCGGACCGCCGTTCTCTTCTTTCTACATGTGGCCCTTGCGAAATCCCAGGGACATTTGATGGGAATCAACAGGAGTCAGTTTCTTTGTCCCTAGGACAGGCTCCAAACTTGATTTACTGGGCTGTTGTGTTGCTCTTCTTTTACTTTGTTTTCTCCCCATTAAATTTGGCAAAGGGATTTAGGGTCGGGGTATCTGAACATAGCTTGTCAACAAAAATCCACTTTTTTGGTCCCGCCTTTTGACATCAACTACCAGACGTAGAAACTCAGTGCGGGAAAGGATTTGGAAAGCCATGGGACACATGTGGCGCTTTGCCCCAGGAAGTGCCAGCGACGCGGACGACACTGGCACGTTGCTGGGCTTACGGGCTACATGGGTGGGTCCTTTTTGAGCGTGTCTGTGTGTCTGTGTGTTTCGCCAGAAACCAAGAAGACAACCATCATGTTGCCAAAAACCGCACGCCCAAAGAACAAGCTTTTGCCAAACAAAGCAACAGAGTTCGGGTAAATTATTGGTATTCTTTTAGTTGTTACCGAACCGAAATTGTTCAGAGTTGAACAAGTTTCAGCAGAAACTGTGCAGTTTTGCCGTCCAAGGACTGGTGCAGCGCTGGCAGTGCTTCTGCAGGAGGCTGAAGGGTTTTGGCCGATTTAGGTCACGGGTTGCTTCTGCCACACTATGTGATCACTAGGCCAGGGTGAGTCAGGCTGGTGCCTGGACGTGGCTTCAGTCCACGGGGTCTGGGGACAGGCAGGAGTTCGATTCTCCCTCTCTGGCGTTCGTGTTTTGTTTGTTTTGTTTCATTCCATTTTCATTTTGTCAGATTCTCCTTCTCTGTGTATGTTTTTTTTCTTCGCTTTTTGGCTTCCTTGACTTTTCGGGTGGCTTTTGGTGGTTGTTTGGCTTTGGCTTTCGCATCCTCTGCATTCCCAGTTCCTCTTCGGCAAGTGGCGTTTTGGCTTTTGCGGCTTTTCGCTGGTTTATGCGGCTTTTGGCGGCTTTGGCTTTTCGCATCCTCTGCTTTCCCAGTTCTTCTCCGGGCCCTTTGGCTTTTGCACCCTTTCATTGGTTTTTGGATTGGCTTCCCGCATCACCAGCATCACCAGTTTTCTCCTTATTTGAGTCCTCACTTCTTCGAACATCATGGGGGCTGCCCCCCACCTGCTACTTTTTAGATTGTTTGCAGAGTAGTTGCACCCCTATTTGAATCAGCACTTCTTCAAAGATCATGGTGGGGGCTGCCGCCTCCGCTCAACCCCCGCTACTTTTTAGATTTCTTGCAGCACTTTTTCGAGCGTCCAATTTCGCGAGAAAATTCTGTAAAATACGACATTTTAGGTAATCTATGTAATCCATGTATCTCTGTATGTATGCACTTCTTCGAACATCATAGGGGAAGTCATGCCCGCCCCCGCTGCCTTTTAAATTCTATCGCACCCGTTCTTGAATCATTGCACCCCTACTTGAATCATCACTTCTTCGAACATCATGGGGGGGGCGGCCGCTCCCCAGACATACATTACATAACTACATACATACATACGTGCATTACATAATAACATACATACATGCATGCATGCATACATACCATACCATACCATACCATACCATACCATACCATGCCATGCCATGCCATGCCATGCCATGCCATGCCATGCCATGCCATGCCATGCCATGCCATGCCATGCCATGCCATACCATACCATACCATACGATACCATTACATACGTACGTACGTACGTACATACGTACACACATACATACGTGCATAAATACATTCATACATACATTACATACATACATACATACATACATACATACCTACATACATACATATACGCATGCATAGCAAGAAAAACACATACATACATATACTACACTACATACACTACACCACACTGTATTGCATTACATTGCATTACACTACGTTACATTACATATATACATTACATACATACATTACATACATACACTACATCACATACATACAAATACAATACGATACAAGACAAAACAATGCAATACAATACCATGCAATACAGTACATACATACATGCAAGAATACTTTGCATACCTACGTACGCACACATACAAACATGCATACATACATAACCCCCAACCCCACCGCTACGTTTAAGATTTTCTACAGAGATTTCATTGCACCCCTATTTGAATCATCTCTTCTTCGAACATCATGGGGGGGGCTGCAGCCCCCCCAACCCCCCCGCTACTTTTTAGATTTTTTGCAGAGCTATTTCATCACTTCAAGGCCGCCCCCCCCCCCCCAACCCCCCCTTTTCTAGATTTTTTGCAAAGCTATTCGAATCATCACTTCTGCAAACATCATGGGCCGCCCCCCCCCCCCCCCCCCCCCAACCCCCCTATTTTTTATTTTTTTACAGGGATTGAAATGCCCTCCTATTTGAATCATCATTTTTTGACCCCGTCAACCCGCCAGCTACTGTTTTGATTATGTTACCCACGATTTGTTGGTGATGCTAGGGATTGGTTGGACATGCGGGGGATGTTGAAAACGATGCAGGCCTAAAATGCGTCAATTTCGCGAGACAATGCTGTAAAATACGGCATTTTACTGCCCCGACGAAAAAAGAAAAAACCCAACAAAATTCCGGAAAAAAATCCAAAAATACCCCCCCCCCGCACCCTACTTCAAATGCCGTGCTTCCCAGACACAGAACCAAAGCCAGGCCCCCGCTCCAAAACTTTCTTTTTCTCCAACGGAAATCCAGAGGCCGCCAGGCCTCAGGGGCCCTCTCCCTCAGCGGCCTCTCCAGAACCGATTTTCGCGCAACCCGCCAATCCGAATCGGACGCAGAAGGGTAAAGGGAGGACAGGATGAGGAAGGCAAGAGTTCCATATTTCGTATTTCCTACGGCTTTTTCGTATTTCCTACGGCTTTTCCAAGCAAACCCACCCACTTTGGCCGTTCCTCTCCGGCAGTTGGGCCCCAAGTGCTTTCGCCACGGCGTGGACAGCGGCGCTTGGATGCTGCGCACCGTGGTGGAGCTGCGGCTCGAGGATCAGGCGAGCGGCCGCCGGGGTTTCGGCCGGGCCTGGGGCCTTCGGGGACCTGGACCCAAAAGACCTTCCTTCCCCCCAGAATGGCGGGTTTTGGGTTTCGGGGGCCCTTTTCCAAGCACCAAAGAAACGGGGATGCCCGGATATACCCTGAAGAAAAAGCATCCTTCTCAGGAAAAGTTCCCTTGGCTAGGAGAATCAGACAGCGATCCTTTCGCCTCAGTTGAGGCCTTGGCAGATCGGCGTAGCTCTCTTTTGGCACGGGGTGTGGTGCCTTTGGGGCTGCGTCGTGTTGCATGTTGTGGGGTGGTAGGTCGGCCAGCTTGGTTGGGTTGGTCGCTGCTAGCTTCGGCTGTGCGATACCACTGCGTGAAAGCTCGCTGGGGGTGGGCATTAACTTGGATTTGATTCACCGTTGCGGGCATTCCAAGAAAAAGGAGGACCCTTGATGACCATGACCGAACTCCGATTCGTTGCCAAACCGTCCAACATTTCTCCTTTTGCAGCACTTGCTTGTGGGTCGGTGCTTTGGTTGGGTTTGGCCGTGGGCTGTTGGACGAGGTCCTTTTGGGCGAGATTCCAAAAGGAAGCGTTTGGAAGACAGCTGTTGGGGGCGTATGCGGCAATGCTGAGGGTACTCTGGCTTATGGCACGGTTCGCTTTTGAGGGCACGCTTATTTGGAAGATGTTGCCCAGGCATGAACAATTCAAGCGTCCAAGACTCCATCTAGCGAAGATGTGCTCGTCTCAAGCGGGAACACAGGCAACTGGAAGAAATTGCTCACCGTTTGGTGCCAAGTGCATCTGCCATTGAGCGCTGCCAGAACGCTGAATTCTACATGGGTTGGGTGCACGTAGGGTTAATGCTCGTTTGCCGACTTGAATTTGATCTAAATGCGGAGGTCTGCTGGGTCTCTACCAGTCTTGGGGCAATTCGCATGTCTGTGTGTCAAATTGTCAGCGCAATCATCGCACCTCCGAAAGTTGTGATTGCCCTCATGCGAAATCAGAATGATTCCAGTGGCTGGAGAACGAATTTGATGCACTTGAGCCTTCATACGGTCTGACAGGTCTGACAGGTCTTGCGGCGTGTGGTCTACACATATGTGTCTACACTTACATGTGCAAGTGTTCCCCACATTTGATAGCTTCAAGCGCCTTCCGGCCGAGGGGCCTCATCGTGCCATGCGCGCCGGTGGCCGGAAAGCGACCGCCTTCGCCTATGACCTGCATCGCTCGGTTCCTGCAGATCGGTGGTGCGTCACCTACTGGGACCTGGATTTCCTGTGTCAAGAGGTCCTCTCCGCCCTTGGCCGTGGCGAGATTCAGCCTGGGCCGGACGATGATGCATCGGAGGCCTATGGGCCCAGCATTTACACGGTGACTGAGCAATACATCAAGCCAGTAACAAAGGAGGCGGGCAAGATGAGCTGGGCATTGATGCGAAATCCAGATGGCTTGCAGTGCGACTTGTTCATTAGCCATGCTTGGCAGGAAGGCGTCTTTGAGTTTCTGACCAAAGTGAAGCACGGTTGGCCGTGGGGTGTGCAAACTGCTTGGTGCTGCATGTTGGCCAACCCGCAAAACCTGGACATCTCATCTTTTCTTCAGTCGCCCAAGACGTCACCATTTGCAATTGCTTTGCATGTAGCACCGGTTATGTTGGTGGTGCCAAACCGGCACCAGAGTGTGTACACCCGACTTTGGTGCCTGGCGCGTAGGAATAACCTTTTTTTTTCTTCCGCTGTTTGCCTACTATGTCCAGCACTATTTTGAAAAGAGGGTGGGTCGACCGGCGGCCGTGGCCAGGTGTGCTTACGAGGCTTATCTTGCCCAAGAAGAGGGCAAGACCATTTTGATTGCACGTTCCTCCACCCTCCCTCAGGCGGGCAAACAAGACCTTGTGACGTACTTTGAAAGTTTCTTTAGGAAGCTTCCATTTGCTTAAGTTTTTTTAACTTCCCCTGTTGGTTTTAAAGGGAATCTATCACTACTGGACATATTGTTTTTCTTTCCAGGGGGCTTAAGCAAAACGAAGGAAGAGTTCTCCTATTGTTCTGCCTTTTTTTTTTTGAACATGGCACGGGCTGACCATGATAAAGGTCCTTGACTTGGGGCTCTCTTAATTCAGCTTTTGGAAGTCTACAATAAGGATTCGCGTGGAAAGCGTTGTAGCCCGGGTTCGATCGGGTACCCGCCTGGAAGCATTTGGGGGGGTGTCGCATGGCTGTGGCAAATGCACCACAACAATCATGGACTTGACAGCCTGAAAATGCCTTTTTTGGATGCCCCTGAATTTCAGTGGGCACCTTTTTCGCTGCCTTGCTGAGTCAAGACCCTCTCTTGCCGCAACGGCGGAGAGAGAGAGAGAGAGAGAGAGAATCATGGAGGATGTTGAACCATCGCCCAGGTCTTCAACGCCTTGCGCTGGATGGCGTTGGCTTTCATCTTAGGCTCTGCTGCTGGCATTGGCGTGGCCGCTGAGATCAGTTTCCTCCTCTTCGACTGCTTGGCATGCTTCGCCGTGGCGATGAGCCTCGTGATCCACAACGATGTATTTCGGAGGGCCATGCATCTGCTGGGTGAGACGCTGTGCTGGATCGTCCTGGCCTTCATAGTGATGAATGATTCTGTGAGTGTGTTCGGTGCGTATGAGGCGCTGGGGAAGGGAGCTGCTATCTAAGGCGGTTCCAAAGTGTCCCCAGAAAAAAAAATCCATGCGAAGGGTGCCATGATCATGCTTTGTCCATGTTGATCCACTTAAGGCAAACAAGCCCACAAATCATCATGGGTGCAATATACAAGAACTTGCTTTTCGCGGAAAGCCTCAGGTGTGCGGGTGGTTTTTTTGAGTTGGCCGTCCCCCAATCAGTTATCGTCGCCTGAAAAAGGTGATACAGTTTGCACTATTCTTTGGCAGGCTATGACGTTTCGTTTTTTTTTTTTTAATAAAAAAAATATGGCATATGTTTTTGTTTCTGGGCGGACATTATTTGATCGCTGGTTTCAAGCATTTCGGAGCGTGATCCGCAATTGATTCGATGGATCGACAGTTTCTGATGGGCTGAATTCACCGGTTTTGGATTAACACGGTTTGGATTATTCCCCGCGGTCTCCCCTGCAGGCTGCGCATGGGGTTCCTGGTCAGGCATGCCACGTGCTGCACGGGTGCTATTGGCTGATGACAGCTGGGGCCTTTTGTGTCATGGAGGCGCGTGAGCTCAGCAGCTGAAGAACACCCCGAGTTTGACACGGTGGGACGTTCCCAGTAGTGCTTTTGCCCTTATTTGGGGGAGGGCTCCCGTACTAAAATAGACTACAGAAAAAAAGGATACCCTTATTCTAGCCTCTCTCCTGGATGGGGGACCTAGATGATGATGTGAGCCAATGCGAAGTTCAAGTGACATAGGCTTTCCTTCTAAAGAAAGGCTATCTACTTGATTCATATTCCCGGTGTGAGGTGCTTCAGGCATTGCTGAAATATGCTTGGCCCGTCTTAAATCCCTGGGCAGAGAGGACATGAACCATGCACATGTATGATATCATATATGTGCATATAAATATGTATATACACATAACATATCTACGTACATGTATATTTGGACAATGCCCATTGGTGGATAATGCTTCTTATGCTTGGGGTTTGCCCGATCATGGTAATGTTGACCCCGGACTAAGACACCCCTGTTTATTAGTATGGGGGTGTTCCCCCCCACTCCAATATGAATAATCGGGGGCTGATCAATCCGGGGTCAACATTATTAGCCGCCAAACCAATGAGGACAGAACTGTTGAAGTCGGTGAGCTGACTCGGTTCTTGAGATTTGGTATCTATCTGTGCGCTTCAAACGTGATGGAGGTGTTGCATCAACCTTTTCCCTGGTGACCCTCCTGAAAACTAGACGGTCAAGATGACTTTTTGTTGCAGAAAAGCACACGTTCCGATAGAACCGCCTGGGCTTCAGGCGCGGCTTTCCATCGGCCAAGTCAGTGATTTTCGGGGATCACTCTCATGAACAAGCGATCCACCCTGAGGTGGATCGCGTCAATGCAAGAGCAGCGGTGTCAGAAGCCGAGCAGTTGCGGCGCAATTACCAAGGCCACTGGATCGCGACATGAAGAGAAGTCCGAGAAGTCGACTGGTGGCTCATGGGGATTTTGTGATGGTCATCTAACGTGGGAAAAGAATTCCTCTATAATTGAGTTCTTTCAGCCAGGTTTCTTTTTGGATGGGATAGCGGCACGTTTTATTGGCCAATTGAAGCTGAACATTTCAGAGAGGCCTTGCAAGGACACGCATCTCAGGCAGTGGGTTCGGTTTGTAGAAGTCCCGAAATTGAACCTGCCTCCTTTTCGGTTTGGACATAGCCACCCTGCAGGCTCCATTCGCTATGCAACGTGTTCCGAAGAATCAGATGCTGTGCGTATTCGCCGAGAAATTGGATACAAGGTGCGTCGAGTGGACCATGCAATTCACGTCCTGTTGACCGCTGGCATGTCTACCCCAGCACTGAGGGATATTGCTCGCTCGGTGGATATCGAACATGCAGCATTTGCAGAGATGGCCGGGGCAGCGTTCTTGCTCGGACCTTTTGCACTGGAGTGTGTCGCCCTCACCTTGGTACACCTATTCTATTACAGATGTGTGGGGGGTCATGTGTTTCTCGTTGGTGTATCTCTGCTGTCAAGGGTGGTGCTCTTCGTTTGGCTCTGTTGCAGCCACTGGGATGAGCAGCGCTTCATCCTAAAGGTCATGAACAAGTTCCTATTTCTTTCAATGCTTCTCTGGCAGGTGGTGGTCAGCTTGTATTGCTGTGGCTTGAGCGTGGCCACTTTGTATTCTCTGTGGCTGCTCCTCACAGATCCCCAGTTGCCCAGCGGTGCTTTTTTTTGTTTCCTCCCTTTTTCTCCTTTTTTTTTTTGGGGGGGGGGGGTTTGAGAAGGGCAAACAAAGATCGGATGCCGATTCTTTGGTTCCCTTGGCCACTGGGATTCAATCAGGATCTCTGTTTGGCCGCCATGCTGTCGATGGCTGTCCTGGGGGTGCGAGGCGTGGCAAGCCTTCCCGGCGGATTGCGAGTCCTGCGGGTCATTTTCAGCAGAGCCGATGCCCTGAAGGCCTCTTGCCGTTGTTCTAGGGGTTGTTGATTCTCCATTCTTTTCAGCCATCGTTCTTTTCAAAAACCAGCCATTTCTCCAGGGTTCTTATCCCTGGAAAGAATGGGGAAGTTACCCCTAGGGGTTGTTAGCACTCAACTAACTGCAGGCTATTTTCCTTCTTCGGCCAAAAAGGGGCTATCCATGCCCAGTGATTTCATCCGCAACTCAAACATCAGGGCTCCCCCTTCTTTTAAGGGTCTCACCCGGAAAAAGAACCTGCTCAAACCCCTCAGCTCTTCTTGAAGATGGTGTAGCCCACCCACTTGCCCTTCTCGAACTTCTCGCGCCGCCCTTTCCGGGGCGACAGATCCACCCACAGCCCTCCTCCAACGGACCAGGCAATGGTGCGCTTCGTTCCCTCGTAGCCCTCCTTCTCCGTGTCGAAGAGCTTCACGCGCTCCTTCCTGTGGACCTGGATGCCAATCTCTCCAAGGCCAGGAAGGGGCACCTCAATCCACTCATCCCGTGTCCCCTTAGGCGGATGGGACAACATGACCACCGCGCTCTCCTCAAGGTCCTGAAAGAAAGCGCGCCGCATGACCTCCAGCATGTTCTGATCCGAACCGCCCACAACCCGCCGCGAGATCATCTCCTCTCCATGCGTCCTAGGCCGCTTGTTTGCCGCCCCATCAATGCCACCGCCACCACCTCCGGTAGATGCCGATGTCCCTGATCCAACCGCCGAGGAATCCCCTCCCGAAAAACCCGAAGGCCTTGATCCCGATTCTCCACCTCCTCCGTTCCCAGGAGGTTGTTGCCCCAGACCACTTGAACTCGAGCTCCTCACTCCGGCTTCGGGCCGCCTCAAGACCCTGAAGTTTGAAGACCCCGTCCATGGCGTCCTCCTCTCCCAGTGCTCTTCTTGCCAATTCTCGACCATCCTCTCCCAGGTCATGCCGTTCTCAGCGTCCGGAGCGATCTCGGAGATCCTGATGTAGTCCAAGTCCTCAAAGTTGATGCCGGGTGGAAGCTCTCTAGGCCTCGGAATGTAGTCCCAGTAGCGCGGCACCATGTGAATGCGGGAAAGTCTAATCTCATTCTCGCGGAACTCGACCTCCCATTCATCTTCACCAGGTTCATCCTGCGATGGCCTTTCTGTCACCTCCGGAGGACCATCTCCACCACCGGCTGGTGCAACCTTTCGCAGCCGCAACCCCTCACCCACATTCCCAAAGCCTTTCACCTCCGGCGTCATCCAATTCATAGACGATCTCCCTGACGAAGCACTCGCCTTCTCGACCACCAACGATCTCACCGAAGGACCAACCTCCTCTGTCTGCTTCTTCACAGGCCCGTCCAACTCCTTCACCTCCTTGATCTTGGCCAGGGAAACCTTCTCCAGCACCAATTGCGCTACCGCCTCTTCCGGCTCGATGACGTAGTCCTGGGGTCCATGGTTCCTGACCAAAATCCTCACCTCTCCACGGAAGTCGCGTTCAATGACAGCGGATCCCGTTTCAACTCCTCTCAAAGCCAAGCTGGCCACCGTTGTGATCCTCCCGCACGTTCCTTGGGGCAGCTGTGCCCTCACGCCCGTCCTCACCAGCGTGTAACTCTCCGCCGGCACCACCACTCTGTTTACCGCGAAAAGGTTCACCCCGGCTGAGCTCTCCGTGGGCCTTTCCGGCATCACAGCTTCTGCACAGGTCCTCTGGAACCGCAGCTCTTCCTCTTTTCGCAAGCAGTTCCGCAGTGCCACCACTCCAAGCTCCTTGACCAGCTTCAGCAAGATGACCACGGCGACGATCACCACCAGCCACCAGTAGCCACCTCCTTCTTCCCCAAGGTCCATCTCCTTCGCCTCTGTCAGCTCCACGCATGTAGAGGCCACCACCAGCAATCCCAGGACTTTCTCCAATCTCCTGTCTCGGCTGATTTCTATCTTCTTCACCTTGACAACCTCCACCGGGCTCTCACCGCTCTCCACCGTCCCACCATAGAAGCCCAAAGACTCCTTGAAGCGCCCAAACGGCGATGCCCCAAGCTGTTTCGTGAAGCCGTCCGCGACCAGACTCTGCCCAGGAACATGTTGAAGCTGGACATCACCGAGCTTGACCGCCTCCGAAAGCGCCGCAGCCCGGATCCTCAAATGTCTCGTCCTCCAGCTTCCCGAGCTCCCGTTGACAATGGCCAGGGCCGCACTACTGTCGCTGTAGAGCCTAAGCTCCGCGGGCTTCTCCTCCAGTTCCTCCACCAAGCCACCAACTCCCCTCAAAGCCGTCCAGGCTTCAATGAGCGCCGCCAGCTCGCTTTCCGCCGTACTAAGCGCAATACACGCCTGTCGCGTCGTAGCCCAGAAGACGGGGCAGCCGGAGTAGTACACGGCCAATCCCGAGATCGACTTGTGCTCATGGGCTCCAAAAGAAGCATCCGCGTAGGCCTCCACTGCATCTCGTCGACGTTCACGATGCTGTTGATGGTCCGGCCCATAATCTCCAGCACCAAGACGTTGGTACCGCAAACCTTCCCGTGACGTCCTCCACAGGTACTGCAGCACCTTCTCTCCAATCCTCGTGACCCCCCGAGGTCTCTTCGTAGTCCACTGTCCCATCACGGCTACCGCGTAGGTGATGTCCGGCCTCGTCCTCGAAGAAAGCCACAACAGCTCTCCAGTGATGACTTGCGCCTGCCGCACATCTTCAGGACTCGGGGGCCCTTCCTCCTCCGGAATCCCCACTCCTCCCAGCGTGCCGCCCTTGGCGATGTGATGCCGGTCCAGTAGGTCCGCCGTGTAGGACTCCTGATGCATCCGGATCCCTTGCTCATCATGAGAGAATTCGAACCCGCAAAACCGCAGGTCCTCTGTCTCCGACAGCCACTCCGGGTCGCTGGTGTCCCAAACCTGCCGGATTTTGAGCAGCGTCGCCGCCACCGCCCCGCGATCTCCAGTGATCAACAGGTCGTCGATGTAGACCGCCATGTAGCCCACCGTCTCATCTTGTCCGTGCCGACTGCTCTTGATCCTCCACAGATTCACTTCCTTGGTTTTCTCGAACCAGCAAGCCCATGTGCCCTCGTCATCTTCCATCTCCCAGTTGATCGCGCCCATGGTTTCGTCCCGGTGGTTCGCCCAGTCCTTGGGTGACGTAGTAAGGCCGTAAACGGATCCCTCCACCGCCCAAAGCTCTCCCGGCTCCGTGATCTGGCACTCCTGAAAGATGGTTGGAGGGTTGACCACTACAATGTCCTTGGACCTGCCCGGCGGCACTTGCAAGAACGCCGTTTTCACATCGACCCCCGCAAGAGTCCATCCCCGCTGCGCCCCAGCCGCCACCATCGCCCTCACCTGAGACGCGTCAATGCCTCCAGCATAGGTGTCCGCCGCGGGCCTCTCCGACATGAAGTTTCCACAGGCGACCCCACGGCATTTCCGTCGTCCTGTAGCAGCTTTCCTCGTGAACACCGCCTTCCCCGGAACCCGGTCATACGGTATGCCCTTCTCCAGCGCCTCCTTCTTGAGCGCCTCGGCTTCCCGCTGATTGATGGCCCGGATCACGCCCGAGTTCAGCAAAGCCGCCCTCTCTTCTACCATAGAGGGCCTCCACTTCTCCACTTCTTTCCTCACATCTGCCAAGGCGTAGGTCTTGGTCTGAAGAAAGACCTCTTCTTCTGTTGCCTTTCTCGCACAAGTCTCCTCAGAGTCAAGATCCTCAGCCTTCTGCATTGCCGCCAACCATGCCCCCACTCGAGCGTCCTCCTCCGCCAGCATCCCGACGGTCTTCTTCACCATGTCGTGGTCAGCGCCTTGTTCCTCTTCTAGACGCCATTCCTCCTCCATCATGTGCCTCCCCCAGACCTGACATTCCATCACCAAGGTCCTCAGGTCCGGCTCCCATTCTCGATCAGGCGGCCTCTTGGATGTAATCCTCCTCCGGGGACCACCTCCTCCTGGCCATCCATCTTCTGCTCCAGCACCACCAGCAAGTGGCCCTTCCTCTTCAGGCGGTTCCTCCGTCTCAATCACATCCGTGGTGTGTTCCCATCTTCCCCCTGGACGAAGTACCCTCCCGAAGACGCCGACATAGTGACATCCGGCCCCAAGATGGTCACCTCCTCCCTGGTGGCTTCCCAATCCTTGGACCGGTGATTCCATGCCTTGGTCTTCGCCATTGCCACACTCCCGAAAGCCCTCAACGGCTTGACCGGATAGTTCATGGCCTCCAGCTGCGACCTCCATCTTCGTTCCCCAGCATGCCGTGCCGCCAACGGCCATAGATTCTCCTCCACGCCCGAGCCCTTGAGCAGCGTCTTGGTCAGCCTCTTGATGAACCCCACCTCCGCCTCGGCCCGCCCATTCATCTTCCATGAGCTGCCGTCAGTGAACGTCCGCATAATGAGGCGTTCCATAGCCCATTTCTTGGCCCTCTTGGACGTGAACTCGCCCGCTCTATCACTGTGAAGGCGCCGGACAGGTAGTCCGTGATAGCGTAGCTTTGTGGTCATCTTGACCACGGCCTCCAGAGCTTCTCCTCTCGTCTTCACGATCTCCACCAGCGTGAGCTGCCGGACCTCAAAGTCCTCTTCTTTCTCTATCTTCTTCAGCCACTCTTCCCCGTCATCTGGAGATGGCTCCTCTTCCTCCTCAACTGCTTCATCATCTCCCGCAGGGTCAAGCTCCATGTCATCCTCCCCTCGCGGTCCCTCCAAGTCTCCTTCCTCCTCCCGGTAGTAGAGCACCGTGAAGAGGTTTCGCTGCTTGGCGATCTCCGTCTGCATCGCCTTCTGATCTTTTCCGATCATGCTCTTGGACTCCAAGATCTCATGAGTGTCCAGGTCCACCGAGAGCCTCCACTTTACGAACTTCCATGCCGGTCCGCCTGCTCCCGTGCCCCTCAACTTCTTGACGTCGTAGTCCCGTTTCTTCCACCTCTTCATCTCCTTCACCTCCTCCGGTACGTCTCCTCGACCAGGACCTTCCAGCCACGCCAGGTGCTCCGGGGCCAAGTGCATGAGCATTCGTCCCTGCCGGGTCACCGGAACCGTGTAGGTGCCAACGACGATATATCGTCCCACACCTTCTTGATCTCGTCCAGGTTTGAAGGGCCCCGCCAGGTCAATCGCCAGCGTGTAGCTCTCAGGGCTCACTACCCTTCGGTGGTATCGCGCCTTTCCTGCTCCTTCCAGGCACGTGCGGCATCCCCGATGAAACGGGAGGTGGTCATTCGCCAAGTGCGCCTTCGGCACTCAGCCCCTTCAGCTTCACCTGCTCCAAGCCTATGCGAACGGCCATGGCAATCGCCTTCTTCATCCCTGGCGCCCAGGCAGCCCATTTCTTCGAAGCCGCCATCCGCTCCTCCAAGGTCTTTCCCAGCGGACCTTTATCCGATCCTCCTCCTCGAACACCGTCCAGCTGCTCGAGCATCTCCATGTTGGTGCCTATCGTCGTAGGCTTCGTCTTTGCGTGGCCAAAGGGCCCCTGATCGAAGTGGTACTCCTTCATCTTGTAGGCCTTCTTGAACCTTTTCCACTCATCCCAAGCCCAGTACGAAGGATACCGCTCCCGAGCTTCTGCGGCTCGTTGACCTCCTTCCACATAGGACTCCGGATCCTGTGGATTCTCCGCCAGGAAGCCAACCTTGGACGAACTGGCCTCCTCCGCCACCATGTACAGCAGCATTGGCCTCAACCAGAGCACCGTATCTCCATCCACCTTGTCCATCAGCACCTGAGGAAGCCCATGACAACCAAAGCGCTCTTCTCCATCTCTCGTCCTCAACGGTGGCGGTCCCGGCTGCACAAACCTCATCCTTGAGATAGTCCGACACGGAGGGCCCGCCAAGATCTGCTTCACCTTTCCCGAAGCACACAGCTCCATCAGATAGGCCATCACGCCGTCCTTTCCAACATCCTGGCCTTCTCCCAGCTCCAGATCAATGCAAAGCACCACTCTGTCGGCTGTTTCCAACTCCTTCTCCCAGAACTTCGCGTCCGGGCCCGAATAAAGGTGTAGGATGACCTCCTTGGCCTTCTGAATCCTCCTCCTAGTCTGCCTATTCCACGGCAAACTCGTCCATTCCGACCTCGGGGGCAGCCGCTCCAGAATGCGTTCTGGCACTTCAAGAAATAGCTCCCTCAGCCTCCGAAGCCATTTGACCATCTCCAGGCCAACCTTCTCCTCCTCCTGCGTCGTCAACGGCTTTCCTCTCAACGCCATCAACCGCATCTGGTGCTTCAGCGCCTCCAGCTCCAACTCCTTGATGAGCTCCAACCCGAGGCTTTCATCTACCGTGGGACAGCCTCCTTCCAAAGCGGTGTCTAGAGTCCGCCCATGCTGATCAGTCAGCTGAAAGCGGTCCTCTTCCCACTTCACCGAGTAGCCCCTCTGCACCAGGTACCCCAGGGGAACGATGGGCTGGACCTCCTCTGTGGTCAACAACGTCCTCGTCCACGGGATGAGCCGCAAAAAGACCGTCCCCTGCGCCAAATGCACCTCGACCTCCCGAGCCTCCTCCCACTCTTGTGCCGATACACACTGCCTCAGGCTGTGCGTCGCTCCTCCATCCAGCAGCGCCCTCTTGTTCTTAACCTCCAGGGAGCTCACTTGAATCCTCCTCAACTCAGGGCCCCTCAAGCTCTTCAGCAATCCCGCTGCTTCCTGAATGAGTCCCCGCACGGCTTCACCATCACTTCCATCTGACTGTGATGTCTTCCCTGCCCCTGACGCGGGCGATCCTTCTCCTCCACCGGTAGTAGGCGCCGATGCATCCACCTCGACCTTCTTCACGGCCTGGCCCTTCACATCATTCTCGCTGAAGTTCTTGGCTCCGCCATCTCCATCGCGAGGCTTTCGCACCTTCACCGGGCAGTCCTTGCGGGTATGCGAAGTCCCTCCGCAATTCCAACAGCGTCCACGCTTGTCCCCGTCGAACTCATGCTTGTAGGTGCAATCCGCTCCCTTCTTGCAGCCCCCATCCGTGAGGAAGAACCGGCACACCGGAGCCGCCGAAGCATCCTTGCCCTTGCCTTTCCCTCCTCCTTTTGGGCTGTCCTTACCCTTTTCCCAACCTCCCCCATCCTTGGTCACCAGCGCCTTGACCTTTGCGGTTGTAGTAGATGAGGTCGAAGCTCCATGTAGTGCTGCTTCTCCTTCCGCCAGGACGACGTCCGCCAGCTGCGCCACCGCCTCCAAACTGGGAGCCACGTCAACCCGCAGTCCAGCTCGTGCCGCATTCAATCTGAACATCGCCTGGCCAGAATGCTTCGTGACCATCCCGACGAACCGATCCAGGGCTCCAACCAGCAACGTAGCATCCGGAATCGCCACCTTCAGCTCACGGTTCCGGGCAAGCCACCTTTTCCAAGTCCTCACCCCATCCACCACCTCACTCAGCGTCGTTGGCACCCGCGGCTCAACCAAGCCTCTGAGGAGTTGTGATCTCTCCGCCAGCCCTCCTGGCTGGTACCTAGTAAACACCCGGAACAGAATCTCCCAGGCCGTTGCTGCTCGCTCCGCAAGCACCTCCGCTTTCAACCCTGGTGGCAAAGCAGCCACCAACATGGCCTGTGCCCGCTGAGCCACCCGACTCCAACGACCACCTTCATCTTCCACCGCCCGCGGCCTGATGTGAAGCCGCTGCAAAGGATCCGCCTGCAACCACTGCGCGTAGGCCTCTGCCGCCACTGCAAGCACCTGATCCCACCATGCTCCGGAACTGACAGTGAGGTCCTTCATCACCGGGCTGATCAACATCAGCCAATCCCCCACCACCAATGACCCGAGCTCGCCTTCCTTCACCTCACCCAATGCCGGCAACTCCACCGTGCGAACGGTTTCTCCAGGCGTCCATCCTCCCATCCACGGATTCATGGCCGCCGCACCTCCACCGGGACCTCCGGGTCCACCAGCGCCATAGGGCCACCCTCCATGAAACCCTCCGCCGGGTAGATGCTGATCTGCATGACGACCAGCCGCACCAAACCCACCTCCTTCGTGCCCAGGTGGCTGGCCCTCACCTCGAAGACCCGCATCCTGACGTCCAGTGACCCACCCGTTTCCATAGCCAGGTAGTAGCGCTCCTTCAGAAGGATCTCCTGGTCCTTGCCCACCTCCGCGATGCGCGCCTCCACGACCAGGTTCTCCCCCTTGAGGTTGCTCAGGATGAAGCCCTCCAGGACCATCATCTGCTCGACGCTCCCGAGGTCCTCCTCCAGGCGGTGCACCACCATAGGCTCCCGCCAGCGCCGTTGGGGTTTGGTACCCGCTCTGATCTCCAGGTCCTCCTTGTCGTGCTCGCAGCACCAAAGGTCCGCCAACTCCACCTCCTCCCGGAAGACCCAACAGATCACCACCTCCCGGAGCAGCACGAGGCGCGTCCACCCCCGGCCCCATCCCAGGACCACGTGGCGCATCCCCCAACTCCTTCATGGCCTTGCTTCCGCCGCCTTCACGCACCTTTGCCAGAGCACCTGGTTTTGCGTGATGACCTGCTTGAAGGCACCGAGGAGCTCATCAAGGCCACCCGCCGGGATCTCCGCGCTGTAGATCGAGCCCACTGGCAGCGCTCCCGGGCTTACCAGCGACCCTTGTTCCTCCTCCACCTCCGGCAGATCCTTCGGGCGAAGCGCCTTGAGCTGCGCTTCCTCCTTGGCCTTCTCAGACCAAAAAGGATTCACATCCACCGCCGGCCCCAGCGGCACCGCGTCCTCGCGGCTTGGCTGCCACGGCACCATCGCCGTCTCCGGCGAGTCAGCGGTCTGCGCCGACCCAGCCGAGGATGCCATGGCGTGCCCTTAGGAGGGCCTACAGGAAAAACGTTGGGCTCATAACCCACTCAACTAACTGCAGGCTATTTTCCTTCTTCGGCCAAAAAGGGGCTATCCATGCCCAGTGATTTCATCCGCAACTCAAACATCAGGGGTTAGAATGTACTATTTTCATATGATGGTTCATCCATGTTACCATTTGGCTGTGGGTCAAAACCAATGGCATCCCATTTTGGGGTAGGCGCACCACCCTTTTTAGTCTATTTTAGTTGGGATTGGGACTTTCGCTGGGATTACGGGATTTTGACCCATGGCCATTTGTTCAACACAAATTAGACTTGATTCTTCTTCTTCTTCTTCTTCTTATTTTCTTTTTATAGCAGCTTGTAAGTTATACGTTTGCGATTGCGCAGGGATCTGAAGATTTTCTATTCGAGTGTTTGCTCAACGGCGCGGAGTCACCAGCTACTCGCTGGCTTCACGGGCCTTATCCCAAGGAAGCCAGACCCCGTTTGGTCTGGGTGTGGATTGGTGCAACTATGGCTTTCCCCCAAAAAGCAGCATGAACCCATGAGCCCGCCGTGCGTGAGTGTGCCCAAAAAAACTGAAGAGCCAGTGATTGCTGCATCCTCCCAACCAAGGCTGATGGAATGACTTTCAATGCCTCATTGGGCAGAGAGATTGATCCCGTGGTGCTTGCTTCGGAAACCAAACTGTCTTGGGTTGAATTGCCAGGCAGGTCGGATATTCCCTGCGTTTCAAGTGTAGTGTCGGATATTCCCCGGGCGCATGCTTCACATTTTGCGTTGGTGGATTTTATCGCCTATCCCCCGTTCTTGCGGAGAAAAACATACAAACCAACAACTCCAACATCTATCCAATCCGCCAGCCAACACCCCAACCAGCGGTGAGCGGCTTGTCTGGGTCCTAGGTCTTTGCATCCAATGCCTCCGATTCCGATTCCGATTCCGAGCTCTCCAGCGACCGCTGAACGCTCCAGCCGCGCCTCAGCCGGAAAAAAGAGAGCGCGCGCGGGCGAGGTGCTCCGAGGCTCCGAGCTCGGCCATTCAGGGCCTGGCCAAAGAACACCTGGAAGTTGGACCCAGTTGCCCGGACTCCGCCCCTGTCTCCCCCTGTTTGTAGGATGCCCCTCCCTCTCCTGGCCACTGAGTCGCTGGGCATTTGAGAGGTTCTTCTTGAAAACTTGGGGCCACTTCACCGAGCTCGTCCTACGAACGCCCCTTCGGGTTCTTTCAGCTCCTGGGGCTCGGAGGAGCTTGTGCGCCTGGCCTGTCATGAGATGTTTTGGCGCGCTCCCCGCGCGCCCATATCCTTCTTTTTTTTTTTAAAGTATGCGCACAGGGAATGCATTTCCCAACGGAATCCGCCAAACAAACCAAGGTTTCCTCCAGATCTGCCTGGAGTTTGTCGACCATTTTATGTGGGGGATCTCCTATTTTGACATGGGCTCATATGTGGAACCTCAAAAGGGCGGGTTTCATTTTGGACCTCCTTTGAACCAAAACCCAAACGGGTTGCCTCGAAAAAAAAAGGGGCACGGACAGGCGGTGTTTGTTTCAGACTTCGCAGCTTCACGTGCAGGTGGGCCCCGCTGCGCAGAGTTGGCTGCAGCACGTGGGCCCCGAGCCGCGGCCCCAAGCCCCCAAGTTGCGCAGTTGGGGTTTCGTTGGGAAGTGGATCAGATCGATCCACAGGGATGGATTTTCCACAGCCGTGCTGTGCTTGCTGGTTTGGACCGGTTCCGTGGGAAGGTGTACCCGAATTCCCGAACACAGCCCAGTGCTCCAACCATCACCTTCACGTAGGGGTCACCTGGAAAATCCGAACTTGTCCGCAAGCTGGGGAGTTTTTTTGGATCCGAAAACCCGGAAAGGCCGAGAAACTTGTCTCGTTGCGCCAAGCTGCAAGCTGCGGCTCCGCTGTACAACCTTCCATTTGCCTAAGATATTTCTGGTTCTCCCTTGGTTTCAAAAGGAGATTATCGCTGGACATAATTTTTCTCCCAGGGGTCTCAACCAAATGGAAGCGACGAAGCGGCGAACCGAGGCGGGGCCAAGTTCTGGCGCAGACCGCCGGTCTGGTGGCGGCTCTGGGCCGGGAGGTGCCGGCAGCTTGGCAGTCGGAGAAAGTCGGAGGCTTTGGGGCATTCGAAGGGACGGCGACCTCACCGTGGTTGGTTTGGGTTTTAGGTTTTTTTTTGGCGGTGTGTGTGTGTGGTTCTGTTCCATTTTTCAGCGGTGGGCTGCAAAAAGCAGTCAGCATTTGGCAAGCGCATGCCAAGGGTTGGCAAGGCGAGGGAAGTAAGCATCAGGTGCTCTTTTGAGAACTCGCGTGGCATTCAAAAACACGCACACTCACCGATGTCCAGATTCAGTCACATGTATAGACTTTGTATAGACCTACTCACCCAGACACACAGACACAGACGGTTTCACACATATATATATATATATATATATATCTGTAAACATATATATATATATACATATACATATATATATATATGGTTACATGTCGTTTGTGGTACTATTCACAAAAAACAACAGCAATGAGTTCATGATAAACTGTCCAATTGGTTGCCGGAAGTCACCTCTGCATCTGCCCTGCACAGCATCCATCATTTGCCCCACAAGTCAAATAAAGCAAAAAACCTTGGTATTGGGAGGGGGTCTTAGCATATATATATATATATATATATCGATATGGTCACATTTAGAATGTGGTGTGCAATAACACACTGTAAATTGCAATAAACACTGTACATTACAGTGTTTTCTCACAGTGTTTTCTCACAGTGTTTTCTCACAGTGTTTTCTCACAGTGTTTTCTCACAGTGTTTTCTCACAGTGTTTTCGTATGTGTTGAGACGCGTCAGGTTCTGAGGAGATGTCGAAGAAGGCAAAAGGGATGTCGCAGTGTCTCAGAAAGCAGATGATTTGCCTTGCTAGCAGATGATTTGCCTTTTGGCTCTGTCTCAGGAAGTAGATGCTTTGCGTTGTTTGTCAAACCATTAATGCAAACATTTGCAGGAGGTTGTGTGATTGGGGGCAGGAAATGCTGAGAGGATACCGAAAAATCCTAGCTGGCAGAAATTGCTGAGAGCGTAACCACCCTGAAAAACCTAGTTTCAAGGATTCCTGGGCTGGCCCGGGTATCTAGTCTAAGTTTTTAATGTTTTTCTTAGGTACCTTCTCGACCCTTTCTGCTATGCTTTTTTGGGTCTGAGACCCGGTTTTGAGGTTTGGTAGGTACCCTTTTTTGCTCTCCAGCTAGGTTGTTTTTAGGTACCCTCTCATCACTTTCTGCTTCTAAGGGCGCAAAATGCTGAGAGGGACAAATGAAAAGGACTTTGTGCTCGAAATCGCTGAAGGGGAAGCGAATGGAACCAAGACCCTGGCTGAGACTGCTTGTCAGCTGCAGAAAAGAAAAAGGTTCAACACGCTTCGCAGAGATAAGGTTCAAGTTTTGGTCGAAGGCTCATTTTTGGTGATGCAACGGCTCCACTTCAGTACATTTCTAACAGCAACCCTGACCTGACACTATCTCCTTCCCGCCCCAGTAAGATGGCCGCCGATCCTGTCACGAACTCCCCGTGCCTCTCTCTTGGTGGCGGAGTTCACCAAAGTGCTTGGCCACAATGCCGCGGAGGCATATTCTGGGAAATAAGCACGTTTTGGTGCAATCTCTTTCGTGGCACTTCTCTCTCGCAGGACTTCGTCTGCTTCTTGGAGAAGGAGGTTGCCTCCATGGGTTCACCGACAGCCCAGTCCTTCCCCCTCTCCTGGAACACGCCAGCGGCGCGTTCCCTTGTCGGGAAGGCCGTCAACATGTTTCCGGAGAAGGCAGTCGTTGCTCGATTATCTGGTAGCCCAAACTCCGTGCGGCACCTGAGCTGCAAATTTCACTTGCGAAGGCTTGTCTTTCGTGTTTTCTGGGTGGCCAAGCCAACCAAGCGGGCCAAGCACCTGTCCCGCATGGATCAATGGGAGGTCGCACTGCGCCTGCAACACGAAGGATTTTTGTTCGCTCAAAGTTGCCGTATTGTCACCATCCGCCTTTTTGTCAGGAGTTTGTTCGCGGCCTTGGCATGGACCTCCTCGAAATGCCCAGACAACAATTGTTTGTACCACACCCTAGCGCATTTCGCAGGAGGGACAGCGGACACCATGCGGGAGGTGTTGTGCAAGGAAACGTTGCTGAGCTGTTGCTGTTGGGCTGCTGTGTTTTTGGTTGTTTGGGCTGCTGGATTGTTGGTTGCAATTCGACAAAACAATTCCTATGATTTAGGTCGCAGTTCTTGAACACACTTTCTATGGTTTAGGTTGCAGTTCTATAAAGCAATTTCTGATATTTAGGCCGCAGTCCTAGAAAACGCTTTGTGTGATTTACGTTGCAGTTCTATGAGGAGCTTTCGATGGCTTTGGTTGAAATTCCATAAACAATTTCTATGACTGAGGTTGCGGTTCTGGAAACACTTTCTATGATTTTGGGCGCAGCTTGACTTTCTATGGTTTGGGTTGTAGTTCGAAAAACGGTTTCTATGACTTGATTGCAGTTCTATGAAGAGCTTTCTATGATTGCAGCCTTTAAGTCTCAGCACTTTATGCTTCTAAGAAAGGCACCCTTGGAATCAGAATGTGGTGAGAAGTCCATTGTTTTGACAAGCCGATTTGTGATTCAAACAGCAGGAGCCCAAGTTTATGGATGTGCACAGTGTGAAGTGTTTCATTCAACACTCTGGGAGTGGATCCAGCAATCTAGGGGTGGACCATGGGGGGGGGTGAGCACCCATGTGTATGTGCATAAATATATATATATATATATATGTATACATATATATATATACATATTCATGTTCGTATGTTGCAATGAAGCTGCGTTTGTAAATCACATGTTTTCACCCGCCCAAAGCCAACAGAAGCTCTCCAGACACGTTTAAAAAACAAAACATGAGGCAGCGCTGCTGCCGCCGGAGCTGTTGGCGCTCCAGCAGCAGCTCCGTGCTGCGCTGGCGCGAGGCGGGAGGCGGCGGCGCTGACCCAGGAAGCAGGTTCATAGGCTAGGTCCCCCAGTAGTGTCCTTTTACCAACATTTTTTGGGGTGTTTGCTGAAATGGACTGCCGAGAAAAGTTGGTACCCTTATTCTATGCCCTCTAATGCAGGACCTAGGGGTCCCAGTTACCTTGGTGGCTCCCAGCCATCCGGTTCCTTAGCCTTTTGGCTTTTTAGCGTTTAGTGGCGGTTTCCATTCTACTTACCAAAAGTTAAACTTTTGGCGGGGGATCTGAGGGCAGCCCAGTCACCAGCATTTTTGGTTTTGAACGGTTGTCTGTGTCAAATAGGGATTCGGACCCCAATGGATTTCACTCTTTGTTGGATTCCCTGAAGGCAACCTAAAAGGCTTACCCTCCCCGAAAAACAAACCCAAGAACAACATCGGGTGCCAATACTTACCCTCAAGCCCTGGGCCCCGGGTCTATGAAAAGCGGTTTCCTTTGGAGTTGCAACTATTTCCTGTCCAGACAATTGTACCACAGTTCGCCAAACAATAAATAGGTCACTTGTAGGCTTTTTACCAGCGTGTATATTTTGGGACATAGTTGCCACAGCTGTAGGGGGTGAGGAGACAGTTTTACCATAGTTGGCCGGACCTCAGTTGTAGGGTGCAGGGGACACTAAACAAAGCCAACCGCAACAGGGAAGGTCACAGTTGGCTAGCCCCTAAAATCTCATATGGCTGTGGCTCAAAAAATTGCTAACCCCAAAATGGCACCCTGGCACATGTCCCTGTATCAGCACCCCAGCTGCATATTTTCTGGCGAGCGGGTGGGGGGGGGGGTAAAAAGAGCGACTTCACCGTTGGGATCCAAACCGTAGGCTTTGGTATCCTTGGAATCTGCAGCACGTGGCTCCGCTTTTGTCAGCTTCCTTTCCCTTCCATCGTCACCCACGAGGTTTTTCTTTGCACGAAACTATGTCGGGGTTCAACGCGGATACAGTAAACATGCGCTCGAGGCTTGCTTAGTTGATGGTTTGGATTGGTGGCTTGGGATTCGACCCCCTGGATCTTGTGGAGGGTAAACGGGAAACCACCCCCAAATGTCCGCCTCTGAATAATAAATAGGCTCCCCCTGAAAGACCCTAAATAAAGTTAAGGAGGAAAATCAGGGTCAGGAAAGGCTTAGAATGTGTTTAGTGTTGGGCTCTGTTTTGTTGTTTCAGTATTACTTTATCTAGAATTGGGCCACTTTTGAAATAGTATTGGGCATGTTGTTTATTCTTATTTTGCTTTGGGGGGAATAGATTGGGCCAATTCTAAAGTAGTATTGGGCCAAGAACTTTTGCATCAGTGGGAATTAGCTTAGCTTTATTTAGGGTCAGGAGTTATTTAGTGCATGAGGCTTCATGGGGGGTAGCCTTGCTGGCCCGGTCAAGTTGTGTTTTTGAGAGTTTCTAGAAAATCATTTGATGAAGGTAATCACTCAACAATCTCCCGCCTCGGGTTCTCCGGCGTTTTCTTTTTTTCAGGGGACGACTCTGCTTTGCGGCGTGCCTGCGAGAGAGTCATGGACAGCCCCGCAGGCGAGGCCCATGTCAACCCATGCCAACCCCTCCCTTCAAGCCCCCAGTTTAACATGGAACCCGAGAAGCTCCAGCAGTTTTTAGCGGAAACTCCGTTTGTGCGGGGACCCCGTTTTTTGAGGTCCTTCCGTTAATTTGTAGTAGTGTAATCCGCCCCCCTTTGGGTTTCTTGCATTTCCTGCCAGGGCCTTAAGGCCTCTCTCGATGGTCTCCCGGTGTCCCCACATGTCAGGTCGCAACTGGGGCTGGGTACTTCACCACATTTAGTCATGCTTGTCGAGGAAACCGATTACCCTTCCTCCCACTAACGTAGCATTTGTGGGACCTCTTAAAGGGACCCCCTGTCAGGTGCCATGTTTGTGGGAGGGAGGGTGGCTGTTTTATTATTAAAGCTCCTTTTGTTGTGCGTTTTTGTTGACGCTTTGGAGGGGCTGGATTCCCATAGGGGAAAAAATGCACGACGGAGCTACCTATTCACTTTCCAAGCTTTGAGCTGCATCATCATCCGTAACTAGGTCCCCCAGTAGTGCCCCTTCTCGGGGGAGGGCTCCCTACTAAAATTTCGACTACCGAAAAAACAATTGGTACCAACTTATTCTAACCTCTCAAATCTGGAGGACCTAGGTAAAGGCCCAAGGCTCACAAAGACTTGGAGCTTTGAATCTAAGGCAGGCCATCGGAGCAGGTCAGCCAAAGGGGCCGCAGAGCATCCCGTTCCGCTTCGCAGGCGCCGTGTTCGCCCGTGACCTGCAGGACAGGGTCCCGAGCGGTCGTCAGAAAGGTTGCCAGATAAACCCATGAAGTCGAAGCTGACTGCGTCTGCTTGGTCATTTTTCTGCACTTGCAGAAAAATGAACAGCAAGATGCTCATCCCCTAATCTTCTGGTCTTCCATTTGCTCCAGTCTCCCCAGCTTGGGCCCTGTGCTTCACAACATGGGACAAGGCAAATAGGACAAGACTCACCCAAAAACCTTTGCCCCTCCGACAATTGTCGCACGGTGTGCTGAGATGCTACCTTTATATTTTTCCAGGTGCTCACCAGGACAATGGTCCTTCGCTTGGGGATTCCTCAATTCATTTATTTGGACTTATTAAAACCGGGCTCGTTATTTTGACGGTTTCTGGGGGTTATCAAAGTCAGAAAATGGGGTTGTTTCCCTTTAACCCACCACTGCGGGTGACTTTGATCATGGTAACATAATGAAGCTAGTAAAAGATCAAATGCAGGTTAGTTATATAAAGGGCGAAACCTTTTTCTCCCCCGTTGTCCCCTGACCCCCCGTTTTTTTCAGAGCCAGGGCCCCCGCTTTCCCCATCCGAAGCCGGCCACCGAGCCACCGACCCAAGGACGGCATGGAGCACTTGCGCAGCACCTTCCGGCTGCCGCCCAGCTGGTCCGTGGAGTGCATGGTGCGAGGATCGATTCGATGAATCGGGGCTGGGAGTGTCACAAGGTGGCCATGGGTCAAAATCGGGTAACCCCAGTGAACATCCCAATCCAACCACTAAAATAGGCTAAAACGGGTGGTGAATTCGCCTACCCCCCAGTGGACCAAGCCGGGCTCTAAACCTTCGCTTGGAGCCAAGGCGCCAAGGACAAGGGGTACGTGATAGGACTTATCTCCGTAAGGGGAGTGCCATCCATTTGTTTTCCCAACACACTTACTTGGATTGGGTTAAATATTTTTTTTGGGGATCTGGGTGCTAAATCACCCATCGTTCAGAAACCCCAAAGGGGGACCCAGACCTTTCTACAAAACAAACTTTTTCCTCGGGGTTGGCAGATGTTGGAATGGTGGACCTTTTGTTTGGCTGAAGAAAGGGAAGCCAAAATGACTCTCTCCCTATAGGGGCTTGTGAGAAGCTTCATCCAAACACTCTTTGCTGTTTTGAGGCTGCCGTCATGAGCCTTTAGGAAAAGACTTGCAGGACGCAAGGCTTGCTGGTGGTGCTCAGCAGGGAATGTGGGAGTGAACCTAGGCTTTGGTCCCCTTCAAGGAAACCACCAGTTGGATGGGATGGTTTTTCTCGTCGTGAAATGAACCTGAAAGTCCCCTGAAAGGAAACTGTGTCCTTCCGCCGGAACGACTCGCTGGCGGCGACTCCGCGACGAGCCGCGACAGGGGAGGGCCGGCTGCTGGCGAAGCGCGAGGTCACGGAGCCCAAGTTGCTGCGGCTCTTCGATGGGCCCGGGGCCCAGTGGCCCAGTGGCCCAGCAGGCGCCCGGCGGGTGGGATCAAGGGGGTTGGGAACCTCCCGCGGCCTGGCTGTTCCATTTGGGACCTCCCAAAGTGGCAAAAAGGGGTTGCAATTGCAAGCAAAAGCACTCAAATGGGCTGTCCCGCCAAGTGATTTGGGGGTTTCGCTCTGGGAGCTCTTTTTTTTTGGTTGTTGCCCCGATTGGAGCTGAGACCCTCGTTTTACTCTGGGGGGCCGTGGGCGCAAGCGAGAGGCAGGTTCCCCAACCTTTTTGTTGGTTTTCAATCGGAACCCAAAACGACCATCACCAGTTTGGGGCGGGTGGAGTCGGACATGCGAGTTTGTCCCCCGAGGCTGGTCCGCAGCACGGCGCTGCCCTCCGTGCGCACCCGGGACCGCTGGGGCGCCGTGCCCAGGATCCGTGCGCGGGATTTTTCGGCAGAGTCGGTGGAGTCTTTGGCTTCAAGGAGTTTGGGAGGCAGAGTTGCTTCCTGTATTGCAAAAGCCCGGTCCATGGGGATTATTTGGCACTGGGAGTGAGGAGAATCACGATCAAATGAGCTAAGGCGCACCAATGACCACCAAAATCATGCAGCCAAACCACAACCATGGCTTTTCACACTCCGTCCTCCCCTCCTGCTTCTGCTCCTGCTCCTCCTCCTCCTCAATCACCCCTGGTTGCTCTTCCATTTTTGCAGTGTCTTTTGCAGGTTTGTGTGTGTTTTGTTTGCTTGTTTGTTTGCTTCCTGCTTGCTTGCCTGCCTGCCTGCCTGACTGACTGCTTGCCTGCCTGCCTGCCTGCTTGCTTGCTCGCTTGTGCCTGACTGCTGGCTTGCCTGCCTGCCTGCTTGCTTGCTTGCTTGCTCGCTTGCCTGCGTGCCTGTTTGCTTGCTTGCTTGCTTGCTCGCTTGTGCTTGCTTGCTTGCTTGCTTGCTTGCTTGCTTGCTTGCTTGCTTGCTTGCTCGCTTGCTTGCTTGCTTGCTTGCTTGCTTGCTTGCTTGCTTGCTTGCTCACGAACCTGGCATCTGCAGGAGGGTACCTGGTTAGATCAGTTTCCTCTTGGGACTGGGCCCACTGTCCACTGTCCGGTGCCATGGCGTGGCAACGTGGGAGAGAGCTCCGCGCCAGGAGCTTCCGGGCGGTGCGGGCGGTGCAGATCATGAACGCCGGCACCTGGTCCAGCTACGCGCGGAGGCCTGTCGTCAGGTGGCGGAGGTTTCCCCTTCAAAGGTGGATGTTGTGCTTTCTTTTTTTGAAGGGACCTAAAAGTTTGCCTAAAAGAACATCGCATCTTGTTTTGGGGTTACCCCATGTTGAGACAAAAAGCCAAATAAAGGAAAGGGGCGGGATGAGGCGGTTCTGTTTCCTCTCTGATCTTGTCCCAAGTCCTGTAAAGTTCTTCCAGAGAGAGGGGTTTTTGGACTTGGTTCCAAGTCGCTTATTGTTTCTCCCAACTCTGTCCAAACTTTGGTGCATTTTGCTTGGATGTTAGGACTTCAACTTTTTGCCAACTAATGAATTGGTTTTCCGTATTAAACCACCAACATGTATTCACTTTTTAGGGGAGCAGAAAGCAACCGATATTTGTTCATCACAATAAGACTTGCTTCTTCTTCTTCTTCTTCTTCTTCTTCTTATCTTTTTACAGCAGTGGGGTCGAAGCTAAACCACCGAAAGCAACCGAGAAAAAAGGGGTCCCCAGTTTTGTGGGGCCGACACGCCATGGTGCCGATCTGCCGAATTCCATTGCCAGGCGGGATGTAGTGGCGCAGGACTGCGCGAAGCTCAAGGTGGGGGCAACGTTCGCGTCCGCTCGCTCACCCGGGGCGGGGGGGGGGGGGGTGGGGTGGGGGGTGGGGTGAGGGGCGGGGTGAGGGGTGGGGTGAGGGGTGGGGGGTGGGGTGAGGGGTGGGGGGGTGGGGGGGTGGCTTCAGCTTGCAGAGTCAATCCTGAAAAAAAAAATGTTGGCAAAGGCTGAGGTAGTGTTGCTTTTTTTGTAGGTATGACTGGGATCATTATTTTTGCTGTTTCTGCAGGTTCTCAAAGTCAGACACTGGTTGGTTGTTTCCCGAATTGCCTAGCAATTAGGGGTGACTTTGACAATCATAACATCAGGATTTTCGTTGGACTAAGTCAGCGCTGTCCTTCTACTTTATTTGGTGACCAGCCAGGCAATTTGCGCGTCAACGTGTCTTTGAAGCTCATGGAATCTGGGCACATCACAACGAGCTCAATTTCCCTGCGGTCTAAGAAGCCAATCTTTATGGAATTGGAATCCATTGCCTAAAGTTGCCTGGTTTCAGTTTTGTTCTAGACGAAGCATTGGTTTTCATTACCTTCATCCAGGTTGCTCATAATGTTTGGTCGGATGGAATTTTGATTGTTTTTTTCCCAAACAGCTGAAAGCACGGGGGTGGCCCAAAATCAGCTCTGGAGTGGTTCGGGTCTGTTTGGTAAGAGATTTCCAACTGGGACTAGCAGGGGTTCACAGGCGAGCTTTTGATCGGTTAGTTTGCTCAGAACAAGATGGAACACCACCGGTTGCAAGTTGGGTCTTATGCCATCCATTACCAAGGACACCCATGGTTTTTTTCAGGGGTCCCTATATTTCCCTTTTTGGCGGTTTTCAGCATCACCTTTTTGGCCCGTGAAAGGTGAGTGTCCCTTGCTGGGTGTGATGTTTCAAGTGGAAATCTAGGGAAACCGATGGATTTGCCATCCTTTCCAGGCTCTTTGCCGCCGAGCGCGCCCCTCGGCTCGGGGTCGGAGTCCGCTCGGATCGCCCCAAGCGAGGCGCGGACGGACGGCGGCTTCTGGCGGGACCGGCTCAACGGGGAGCTGCTCACGGCGGAGCTCACGGCGGCGCACCCCGAGGCGGGAGAGACGTGCAAGGTCGAGGCTAGGCGGAGCTGTGGTTCCTTTTTTGGGGGGGATGAGGGGGGTAGCTTTGAGGGAGAGCAAAAGAGGCAGAGCCAGTCTGTGGCTCTTCTCATCTTTTTTGGGGTGTACTTTTTTGGGTTGCTTTACTGGGAAGTTGGGGGGGGGTTGTGACGCACCCTTATAAGGGGTGGGTAGGTACCACAGTTTGTCTTGGGCAGTGGTCTGGGGGGTGGGTCCCTATACTTGCCCCTTAAAGGGTGGTTCCAAGCCTCACCAAATTGCGAAGTGAGATTCCTTGGGTGGAGTGATGCTCCGCATATTTACTCAATAAAGCCCTGTTTTGGAAGACTACTGTCCTGTTGAGAAGGGGCCTGCGCACTTCACGGTCTGTTGTTGCCGTTTTTCCCTGGCTCGCCAAGTCACTTTGGGAAGAAGTATGATTTGAAGCAAGTGCTTTGACAAGGATCCAACCATTCTTTGGGGGAAAAACAGGTTGGTTTTGGGAATATGTCTTTTCAACACGTGATCGGAACCAACCATGTTTGATGGATCACTCACCGAACTCTCGTTGCGATGTTCATGTCGCACCCCGGCCGGTCCCGCAGGGTTCCTGGGCAACAAAAAGGCGTCGGAAGGCAGTTGAGCCCAAGGTGCCAGTTTCAAGGTGGGAGTTCGGTGTGGATTAGTCAGGGTTTCATCTCGGTAGGAGACCTCACGCCAGCTGCTTTGCTTTTGGGGGGAGTCCCCTACATCAGCGGGTGGTGATGTTTTGAGTGGGGCAAGCTGTATTTGTTTAGATTGTTGTTTTTTCTTTCTGGACCTTAGACAGAGTTTTCCTTCACAGATTGCGGATCCGAAGGATCCGGTGCTCGTAGGTGAAAGGAAGAAAGCGTGATGCCCGCGGAATCCAACGGGGGGATGCTGTCACGGGACCTCAAGATTCCTCCGGTTCTTGAAGATAGATCCCAACTACCATCAGCGTGAAAATCTCAGCATGGGGAGTTTGAATCCGGCTGCTTTTGGGGCCGAGGTGAATGCGGCAGAGCCGCTGGTGCCGGCGGCGAACGATTCTCGGCGCTCGCAGTTTGGAGGTTCCAGGCATCTTCTTCTGCAGGGGGTTTTCCCTTTCAAAACCTCCTTTAAGCGCCATTTTCCCAGGAGCCCTGCACCAAACTTAAGCCCATCCAAAATCAGCCCCAAAACCCTGCTGAACCCATGAGTGACTGGTTTGAAGGGATTGTCTCTGCGCGTGGTTGCGTGGCTGATAGAAACTAGATATTTTCAACTACCCCCCCCCTTCCTTTCTGCAAAGGGATAGTGAACTGTGGCACCCGGTTGCCTTCGCGTGGGGAGGTTGTTCCCATCCAGTCCCCAAAAATCAATGTGTTTCTTTTAAACCTGGTGTCCAACCTTAAATGCCAGGAAACCACACCCACATTTCCCAAAACACAAGTTGACCGGGTACGCCTCTGCGTGCTGCCTCCTCCCCTCCCGACGCGACGCGACGCGCGCGACGCGCACGCGCGCGCCGCGTCGCGTGCGCGTCGCGCGAGTGAGGAGGTGTGGCTCTTCCACGGCACGAGCCACGATGCGGCGGAGGGCATCACCACAGACGACTTCGACCTCACGAAAGCGAACCCCTCAGGCGCCTTCGACGCTGAGGTATCTCCCAAACTGTTGTGGTGAGTGCCGGAACTTCCCCCCCCCCCAAAACGAAAAAGAAAAGCCCCAGAACAGTGGCACGGTTGTTGAGGGCCACCTGGAAATAAAAGGGGAACCCCTATTTCCCGTAGTTATAGGGCCGATAGGGTTGGGGGGCCCTTGGCAACCGCGGGAAAAGGGTGCCCTCAAAAAAGACACCCCCCAAATCAGGCCACTGCAATTGGTCTGGGTTGGCGGGGACTGGGGATTTGAAAGCTTGGTGCTTGGAGGTCAATGGAAAACAGCAAAAAAGGGTGGCAACATTCTGATCACAAACAGAAACATAAGATTTTATTGAATGCTCTTGTCTCACAAAGTTCCTTGGACAGAATCAGGTACATGTCCAAGTTCTGCACGAAGCGAAGAAGGCACTTGTGTTTTCTTTTTCCGGAGGAGACCATCCGGACTCACATAAGTCTACCTGATCCATAGTCAACAAGAGATCAACCATTCGGGATGCTCAACGAGCAAATGTGGGAGCTTTTTTCTACCATCATCCTCAAACGGCATTCTGTGGGTTTCTCATAGCTGGAATGAACCAACACAAAAGACATACCTGCAGTTGGATTTCCCCCCTTTATTGTTTTGGAGGGGGCTTCCCCTTAACATCAGGAACCAGCAAGGATGGTGCTCGATGTTTTCGGCCATGGAAATCCACTTAAGAGAGGCCACTATCACGAAACTTTTCCTTTTGCGCCAGGCTGTGATAGTGCCCCGCCTCCCCCCCCCAGAATACAAAAAGGAGAAAGGAAAAGAAGAAGTGCTTATTGTTCGTGTCCTTTTACAACCACTTCAAAAAATGGTTCTCAAAAGACAGCCCAAATCATTGGGGACCCCGGCTGTCAGCTGAAGAAAAAGACGCCCACTTCAGAAAACGGCTCCGTAGGCCAAATTCGGATTTGGAGGCATTGCCAGTCAGTTTCCTGGCCATTCTGACCGGTTTCATTTCCCAAGCCCGAAAAAAACAGCTGGGAAAGCGGGGCTTCAATGAGCCGCCAAGTTGACCCTTATATGCCCTGGACCCCCCCCAAGGCCCAAATTCCCCCCCCCCCTCAACCAACGAGTAGGCCTCTTCGGCGCCGGGGTGTACTTCGCCGAGTCCGTGAGCAAGGCCCGGCTGAGGGGAGTCGGATGAGCCAGCGGGACTCCGCTGGCTCAAAGTCGCTGCCGGCCGTTTCTGGGCGCAACGGTGAGCCGCACCATCCGGATCCGGCCGCCTTGGGATACGCGAGGAAGACGGTCGCCTTGGTAGCGGCTTCCTCGGGAATGTCCGGAAAATCGGATTGGCCAAGGCTCCAGTTCGAAGAGCTGTGGAACTTGTTCAGTTGTGCGTCACCTCAGGCGGACGAGTACGTGAAGGGCAAGGTTGTGGGAGGCGGGGATCGCGGCGGGAGCTGAAGGGTTTGAAGGGGCTGGAGGGGTTGGAGGGGGTTGGAGCGGGGTCTTCTGAAACGAGCTTGTCTCAAAATGGGCAGCCGCAAATATGGTCGGTGTTTTGTTGGTTGCGATTGTCAGGCCAGCAAAGATTCCAACTCAAAAAAATGCCCCACGCAAGAAGAAACAGCGCAGACGCGCCGCCGTTCCCAAGTTTTCTTTGGCTGCTGCTCTTATTGGGTCTCCTGACTGAGCAATTCGTCAAATTCAGGGCACTTCTTTGGCCCCGGTGCTGAGCGCAAGACTTGTTGGCCAGACTGATCCAAACCCCTCAACACCCCTCACATCCTACCCTCCTGTCCACTTGGAGCCAGACTGAGGGCCCTGGCAGGCTATTTTTCCTTTTAGCAGGGACCCTCTGGGTTCCCACCTGAGTGGACGGGAGGGTACTTGATCGGCTTTGCGGGCCGGATCTGAATCTGGTTTGGCCTCTTGGGATTTTGCTGGACCGTGGCAGGTGTGACGTTTTGTGAGCCCTCATTGATAGGACAAACATGGATTGGGTTTGTGTCTAAATGGGGGAGCCCTCAGAATGGGTGGTGTACTGTTGGTTTCACTTCGAACCAAGCCCGAAAGGGGTGCCCTCAACAAAGACACGCCCAGAATCGGTCCCAAGAAACAGTTTCCATTTTTGGGCAGCAGTTCCCACCTTGGCGGCCCTCAGTTTTGCTTTCGGCAACGGCCAGGGGTTGAGCTTTTCCCCCTGCTGCTCTGCCGCGTTTGCCGCTCGGATGCACGAGGGCGGGCACAGTTGTGGCCTGGCGTGCAGCGGCTTTCGTTTAGGGGAGAATCATCTTGCTGCAATCATGTTGCATGACAACACCGTAGCGACACATATTCGTGACCCTGCGGACGTGTTGACATAGCATGCCGCTTGCTACTAGCAACATTTGTTTCGCCAGTGCACGTTGGGTGGCATCCGACATGCACCGACGTGCTAATGACTGAATGACAAGACAAGCCTTGCATACCGAGGGCCCCTTTTCAAGGAAATTTGCGGGGCCACGCCTGCGTGGCCCGTCTTAGTAGCTTGGAGGTTGGTAGCTGAGGGTTGACGCGCGCGTCAGCCGGAGTCGGCTGGAGGTCTGGGCTACGTCTACTACTGCGAGGACCGGCGCCCCTCGGCGCGGCACTTGGAGGAGACGTGCCTGCTGAAGGAGCGGGGATTCGGTTCTTGCTTGCGATCCGAAGCGCGCGCGCGGGGAAAGGAGGGGGTGGACTGGAAGACTGAAAGAGGTCCTCTGGGAATTGGCAGCTCTCGGCCTTTTGGTGAAGGGGTTTCTTATTAGGTACCCTAAAACAAGACCCCCCCGCAGAAGCCCATACTCTGGGGTGACGTGAAAAAGCATGGAAGATGCGCAGACGGTGCACCAAGTGACGGTTGGCAGAGTAAGAGACGTAAAACAGAGTTTTTGAAACGAGCGAACAAAAACCACACGACTTTTATTTTTTGCAGTCGGCCCGCGGAAAGTGCGCAGAGGGTTCACCAGTTGGGCGTGTCTTCTTTTTTTTGGGGGAACTCCCGCCCAAAAAATGCGCGTCGGCTTTTCCTTCGGCTTCCCTTGAAAATCGGAAAAAAAAGAGAAGAGGTTAGCCTCCTATCCGCCAACATGCAGAATACCCACCAGAGGGCTCTTTTGGAGGAAACCACTGTCTTCCCTTCTGGCCCCCCGAAGCGTCAGGTGCCAGAGCGTGGGTGGGAAGGCGAGCCACGAGCGGTTTCGCGGCCAGGAGTGGCACTCGGTACTGGGGGATCGCCGCCTGGAAATGACGGCGAGAAATGGATTCCCCAGACGAGTCTGTCGTGTTGTTCGAGGGGGTTGTGCCAGATGGCTTGCCTGTCTAAAAGGGCTCAAAGAATTTGCGCTGTCTTCCGTTTGCTTTAGAGTATGTTCTATGTCTCCTGTTATCTGTCACTACTGGCATTATTTTTTCCCGGGGGCGAAAAAGCAAATGGACGTTGTGGGGTAATTGTGGTCACAGGACATTCCTTTGAGGCGTTGTTCAGAGGGCGTTCTCAGCCCAGCTGAGCCCCCCCCCCCAAACATGGGTTGCGTCCTTTGGTCTCCCTTTACCGGCTAAAAGATGGCCCGTAATCTTGAGAAGCTCCGATATATGTATATATATATACATATATATATATATATATATGTGTGTGTGTGTGTGTGTGTGTTGACGACCTGTCTGCATCCCGTGTGTAAAACACAGGGCACGCTTGAAGTTGTGTTTGAAGTACTGGCCAGCCCAGGTTTGCCAGCACAGAAATACAAATCTCAGTTGACCTGTCTGAGTGTCCGCGTACTTATTGTTGTAACTAGATGGATTTCCTTGACTTGTCATGTTGTGATTTCCCGTGTTTCTTTGCCTTTTTCGTTTCTTGACATTGCGGATTTCTTCTTTTTTTCCCCTTGGCTTTCCTTGATTCTTTGGGTGGTGGCTCTCATTTCACCTCGGGCAGCTTGCAATAGGTCACAGCGAGAGAGAGAGAGAGAGAGAGAGCGACAACAAACAAGCTCCTCAGCTCTCGTACCAACTTTCCCTCTCCAACTTTTTGGAGGAATTTTAGCAAACAGGCGGGTGGGTTCTGTCGATTCTATTTTTCTATGTTCCTTTCTTTCTCATTTTTTTGGGCAAGCTCACCGATACGAAGGGAGCACGAGCGATTCGTCATGATTTAGGTCCTTGGTTTCTTAACATGTTGGACACCTAGCCAAACTTGGGTGTGTCTCAAACTATCTTAACATTTTAAGCCAGTGCCTCAAAAAAGTGGGTAGCCTCCAAAAAAGACAGATTCCGATGGCAGATTCCGGTTGCCCTCAGGAAAGAAGACCTCCGGCACGTTCCGGGAGTTCATCATCTACGACAACCTCCAGGCCTTCCCGGCCTACATCGTGGCCCAGCTGAAGCCGGCAAGCACGAACAACCAAACCAAAGCAAAGCAAATGGGTGTGGCTCAAAATTTAAGAGCTAGGGTTACGCAGGGTTTGGTCTTTGTTTCCATTTACCTAGGGGCCATTTTGGGTACATCTTTTTGAGCCACAGCCCAAAGACGCCCACTCAAACCAGAACAAATCAAAACCAAACAAACCCAACAAACAAGAAGCGCGAGCAAAACAAACAAGGAGACGCAGACACATAGCAGCTAGTCTCTCAAAAGTGGTAGCTACATGGCTGCATATTTCCCGGCATCCGCAGCCGCACTTGTTTGTTGGGAGGCTACCTGTTTAGATCCTTCGCACATTTTTGCGGGGCCTGCCCGCAGAAAGGGTATCCCCTTGTTTCCCTCCCGCGCAAGTAAGGTGTACTACGCCCGGGAGTTCTGAAGGCCCAAAAAGGAAGCCACATTCCTGCGCCAGTGGCGCGCGCGTTTCACGGGAAAAGCTCGCTCTCAGCATGGCCGGCCAAAGCAGCGCCGGCCAGGGCGGAGGAGGTTTGCTTGGAAGTCACCCGTCCCTAGTTTGCGTCAGGTTGCCAACCGTCTGGGCCCTTGTTTTTGGAGCCCTGGTGAAATTTTTCGGCGGTGCCAGATCCGGCCCACCCAGTTAGATCAACCCGGATCTGGGAAGCCCTTGGCCCATGCATGTTGACGAGCCAGATTCTTGGAAGGTTGGCCTTGAAATGCCTTGAAATGCCTGGTTCTTTGGGCAGCGGAGGCGCGAAAACCCCAGTTTTCAGACTAGAGCAGGCTGAACGAGAGTTTGTTGGTCCGGAGTCCTGGAGTAAATATTATTGCTCCGGGCATGTCGTCGTCAAAAGTCACAGGACGTTTGCTCGAGCTTCTTCTCCTCCGCCCGGTGATTGCCGTGACAAGTTGCGAACAACGGGCATGCCAGATTCCATTGCAAGGGGATTTGGGTTGCAGCCCGGGTGTGTCAAGCGGCGAAGCCGCGAAGCGCAGAAGCGCAATAAACCGCAGAAGCCGAGAAGCGCAGAAGCGCAGAAGCGCAATAAACCGCAGAAGCCGAGAAGCGCAGAAGCGCAATAGACCGCAGAAGCCGCGAAGCGCAGAAGCGCAATAAACCGCAGAAGCCGAGAAGCGCAGAAGCGCAGAAGCGCAATAAACCGCAGAAGCCGAGAAGCGCAGAAGCGCAATAAATCGCAGAAGCCGAGAAGCGCAGAAGCGCCGACGGGGAGCGAGGCGCAGCAAAGCACAGAAGCGCAGCACAGAACAAGCGGAGCAAAGCGCAGAAACAATGAAGCGAGCTAAAGTGCAGAAGCGCGCAACGCAAAAAAGCGTAGAAGCGCAACAACGCGCAGAAGCGTAGAAGCGCAATTAAGCGCAATTAAGCGCAGAAGCGTAGAAGCGCAATTAAGCGCAAAAGCGAAATTAAGCGCAGAAGCGCAGAAGCGCAATTAAGCGCAGAAGCGTAGAAGCGCAATTAAGCGCAGAAGCGCAAAAGCGCAATTATGCGTAGAAGCGCAATTAAGCGCAGAAGCGTAGAAGCGCAATGAAGCGCAGAAGCGCAAAAGCGCAATTAAGCGCAGAAGCGTGGAAGCGCATTTAAGCGCAGAAGCGTAAAAGCGCAAGAAAGCGCAGAAGCGTGAATGCACACTGAAGCGTAGAAGCGCAGCAAAGCGCAGAAGCGCAGCAGAGCTTCTAGGCTTCCAGGCGTGACTCGGCTTTAGGCTTCTAGGCTTGTGGGCCTCTCAGCGACGTAGACTTTGGCGGCTTCTATGCTTCAATCTTGAATGGCAGTTTTTGAAAGCAAGGGCGCGTCGGACTACAACACTGACTGTGCGTGAATGGTTGCAAGTCGTCAAAAGTTACGTTTGCAAAATATTCGAGATTTGTGCCGAGAAGGGTAGTGAACTCCAGAAACGAAGCCGTCTCCGCAAGTTCAAAGGCAGGACGGTGTTTGAGTGAGTCAGATAGTGTTCCCGTTGAGCAAGAAGCTGGCGCACTTGGTCCGCGGTCATGCTGCCGAGCGCTCCACGCGGTCGATTCCCGAGATCAATTTGCATGACCTTTCCCTGGACCTTGAGGCTGTCACAAAGTGGATCCAGCGCAGATATGATTGACACTGCGCTCAATTTGTTCATGCTGCAAGCGGCCAGAGCATCGAAGCGTATCGAGGTGTATATCGAGGTGTTCAATGGAACAATCCAAGATCATGCCCTTGCGCATCCGCTCCATCGCTGGTCACAATGACTGGACAGAAGCGGTGGGATTCAACCACGCGCATCACCCGCAAATATACCCGCGATACCCGTGACCATGCGAAGAATGGCACCCGGCCTGGTTCTATCAGAACTTCACGGACGCTCGCCGAAAGCGCGATGCCCAAAATTGCATACCGCACGCGCACGATGCAAGGTTTCTTTGACGTAGCACTCCGACTCGGGCGCGTGAATGACTTCGGCGTACCTCCAATTTGTTGCTTTCTTCTTATTTGAGATGCTGCCAAAGACCACTTCGACCACGGGTCTCCCCGGGCTGCTGATGGACCACTCGGGCCCAATTCCAGTAGAGAGCGTAGCGGGCGGTTTCGAAGCGCAGCTCGATCTGCTCATCCTTGGAAAGGTTCTCATCAACCAAACCGGTGCACTTCGTTGGCTTTCTGATCAGGAACGGACGCATCGTGTCGCTGCAAATCCCGCGCCCCAAGACTTGTACTGCCCACTCAATCACGATCAGTCGTCGCCATGAACGAGAAGAGCACAGGCGCGAGGTCCTTGCCGTCCTTGCTGCCTGATCTTGTTGCGACGAAGGCTCACGTGCGTGCGGTTGGACCATATGAATTTAGGGCCGCGTAAATGATGACCTTGCTTGAAATCCAAGCTTAAGTGACAAGGGCCTCCCCGTCTCCGGGGCCTTATTGACATCAACCGCGATGTTGATAGGGCGGTCAGCCCTGGCCCCCCCGGCCTTGCGTTCAAGCCTGACCCAGGCACTACCGTTAGGTAGGCATGGCCGCGCGACGTGTCCTCGCACTCCCCGATAAGTGTGCCCGCTTCAACTCATTGCTTCAACGCGACGTTCTGCAGGAGAAATGCCGGACATCAAGAAAGTGGCACGTGTTGAAGAGATGGCCGTTCCTTGAATCATGGAGCAAATCGAAACCCAGATATTGACGCAGCACATGGACTCTTAGGAGCGGCCAAGGAGGCTTGGGCATTATGAAAGCTTGGTCTTGTGGGGCAGGGTTGCAAAAGCTTTACGAGCGCCTCATCACCGACCCATTTTCTGCCTACAGCGCTCCGCGGGGAGACCTGACGCCTTCTGCGCTTGAGTTTATCCGCAAAGCGGCCCGCTGTGTCACCCTGAGCTTTGAGCGCGCCTAAGGAGATGATTAAAGGTGCCGTGCTGTTCCAAGGTACGCAGCACGGCTAGCGCTGGTGCCACCGCAGGAGGAAGTCGAGGAGATCAACCCCGACGATATGTGTGTCTGCCACGGCGGACGATTTTTGCAGACCAAGCAGTTTGTGGCATTATATGGCAACCTCGACCAGTGATGCCCATTGATCTGCTAATTTTCGTCGAGAGTGAGAGCACATTCAGGTACTCTCCCCGGCGTTGTGGGTGTGACAAGGAGGCCTATCCCACACCTCTGGCAGTGGCAACCACACCTACTGGAGCGGCTGGAACCAATCGTGGGACTCATGGTGGGAAGAAGATCAACAACCCTGGGCTCATCCCCTCAACTGGAACTGGCGCTGCTTTTCATCAGGATCTATGGCAGACATCAATTTACTTGTTCAAATCTCAATCCATTTCATTATTGTTCATATTTGCCGAAGATCCGATGTACAGGTGTAGGTGTTGCCTCGCGAGAGCGATGGGCAGTGGAGACGGAAGATCTTAGCTGGCCTCTGCTTGATCATAAAGCGCCTATTCCCGTCAGGGCCTCATGCCGCTTGAGTTAATTTGGTTGTTTCTGATCCCTAATACTTGTCCTCCTGTTTCACCGTCGGACACGGAGGGTGTTTTTTCCTAAATGATGATTTATCAACCTCAATAGTCATTGCGCAATTAATCGTAGAGGCGTAGAAGCGCAGTAAAGCGTAGAAGCGCAGTAGAGCGATGTAAAGCGTAGAAGCGCAAATGAACAGTAGAAGCGCAAAAATAAGCGCGTGCAAGCGCAATTAAGCGAAGAAGCGTAGAAGCGCAATAAAGCGCAGAAGCGCAATATCGCAATAAAGCGCAGAAGCGCAAAAGCGCAATACAGCGCAGGAGCGTAGAAGCGCAATTAAGCGCAATTAAGCGCAGAAGCGCAAAAGCGCAATTAAGCCCAGAAGCGTAGAAGCGCAATTAAGCACAGAAGCGCAATTAAGCGCAAAAGCGCAATAAAGCTCAGAAGCGGAAAAAGCGCAATACAGCGCAGAAGCGTAGAAGCGCAATTAAGCGCAGAAGCGCAATTAAGCCCAGAAGCGTAGAAGCGCAATTAAGCGCAGAAGCGCAATTAAGCGCAAAATCGCAATTAAGCGCAAAAGCGCAATTAAGCGCAGAAGCGTAGAAGCGTAATGAGGCGCAATAAAGCGTGAGCGTGTAAGTGCAGAAAAGTGCAAAGCGCAGAAACGCAACAAAAATGATAAAGCATATAGGCTTGTAGGGCTTCTAGGCTTCTAGGCTTCTAGGCGTGACGCCAGTATTAGGCTTCTAGGCTTCTAGGCTTCTCGGCTTCTCGGCGTGACGCCGGTATTAGGCTTCTAGGCTTCTAGGCGTGACGCCAGTGTTGGGCTTCTAGGCTTCTAGGCTTCTCGGCTTCTAGGCGTGACGCCCGTATTAGGCTTCTAGGCTTCTAGGCGTGACGTCAGTATTAGGCTTCTAGGCTTCTAGGCTTCTAGGCGTGATGCCAGTATTAGGCTTCTAGGCTTCTAGGCTTCTGGGCGTTACGCAACCCAAACCCCCCTACTCTCATGGCCAGATTCTCAGATGCGGTGCTGCAAGCATGTGCTGCCTTTGTGAGACCCATCGCTGCCAGGGGCCAGGGCTCGTTTGGATCTTCCCGCGAAAGCATTGCGAGTCATTCGGAAGGACAAAGTTAATCCCTCCATGCCGCAGGTTTTCAATTATTCGCACTTGCCAAACGGGCCGGACTCAAAATGGGACCAGATGATTTTCTTGGATTCTTAAGGGCGCTTTGAGGGCGTTCTGCCCTCGATGGGAGCTGATCGGAAGTTCCCTTCTTGCCAAGGGAACGCGCTAGGGTGGAGAGGTTAGTGTTGTCTCAACCCGAAAAACAAATTGCACCTCCACTGAACAAAAGCACCACCCCTGATACTTCTGGACCTTTGGATGATGCCAAAGCATCACATCACTGGGTCCCAGCGCTCGCAACTCCATGAGATGAGCTGGATGCTGGCATGAGGCGGGGTCTTAGCGATTGGTAGTATTGTGGGCCTCGGGGCGTGTGGCCTGCGAAAGTATGTAAATTATTTGGACCGTAGCTGTCCTTTAGCTTGGTTAGAAATAGGTGGCATTGGTTTAGATGGCTTCGCGGGCCGTCTAGCTTTCCAAAAGGTCACCTATGATATGGACGAGTTTGAGCACCCAGGATGAATGACCCCCTGTTTGACTAATAAGGGCGCCCTATTTGAGCGGACATCCTTCACTTTTGCGGGAACGCCTCCTATACATATCCGCCAAGTTGATTAATGCAGGGTCGACCTGAACATTTGCATCGGGGTATTCTGGACGGCCATATCTTTCATTCAGCAAATTCCCTGATTGTGGTCTGCCGAGTCTTCTGGATGCATCCACTGCAATCCACCAACTTGAGCTACAGCCTCGTGGGGCCGCAAAAAGGCAAGTCTTGTTTTTCTCACCCGGGCTCGCAAGAACATTGGCCCAGAGGGGTACCCCAAAGGGCCTGACAGGTGAGGAACGGAACTCGCACCCAGGGGAATTGTGTTCGCTGCCGGGCTTGTTTTCGCATTTCCCCTAAAAAGGCCCAAGCCTAAACACTAAAACCTAACGCCTAAACCCCAAATTCAGTGAACGGTTGCTTAAATCCGCAACTTAACCTCAACCTCAACCTCGAATCCTGCATAGTAGAGGGCCTCTTAGCTGACCAGGCAAGACTATTGGGGTGGATCGCATGGATTGGGAGGCAGCAATTTTGGGGCTGAATGCTTACCAGCACTTTGCTCCTGTACCCACGGCTAGATTTGGCTTCAACGTGTCCAGCAACCCCATAGTCAGGTTTTGTCAACATATACGATGAACTGTTTTGTGGACACTGTGCTGGGTGTGAGGGGCAATTCATGATTGAACTGGGTTCTTTGGGGTACTTTAAAAACATAGCCAGGATCAGAATGGGAGAACGTGGGCAAGTATTTCGGGGGTGTCTTTTTCGTTGGTACCTCTTTTCGATGTGTTTGAAAGGGACACCAAAAGGACAACTACTGTTTCTTTTTGTTTAATTTTTTTGGGGGGAAGGGGGTTCGCTAAAACAGAACAGACACCCATGTAGCTATTTCGCCCCTTCTACTCATGGGAATCGATCAACAGTCCGTCGCGTGCGGAGCCGTGCAGGCCGCGGCCGTGGCTGCTGGCTGCTTGGGCAACTGCGGGGGAATGTGCGGACCTGCGGGGCAAGAGCCGGGAGCCCAGATCGGAAGACGCGTGTGGTGGGAGAGTGCCCCGCCAGCCAATTTTCAAGGGGTTGATTCCCCATTCTTTTCAACCATTGTTCTTTTCAATAGCCAGCTGTTTCCCCAGGGTTTTTGGTGGCTTTCTGGAAAGAAGGATCCCTGGAAAGAATGGGGAAGCACTAGAGATTTGTGACAACCCAAAACACACCAGAAACTTGAAGGCGACATACGAAACTCCCTTTCATTTGCTTATGTTTTTCCGCTCTTGGTTTGAGAAGGAACTTACGGGGGCTTCAGTTTTTCAATGGAAGATCCCTTTAGGAGCCGCAACCATGTGTTTCTCCTTGTTTGGTTTTGTTTTGGTGCTAGGGACTGAACCCAGGGTGCCGGGAACTTCATACCCACAGACGCGCCGCCTTTGCGCCAATTCGTCAATGACTTTGATCCGTGGGGGTTTCAACGGATTCCAAGGTCCATAGGTCCACGCTTTCTCCCGAGACTTCTCATACGTCGGGTTGGACCATAGTGGCAGCCATGAATGAGGCATGGAAGCTCACTCTTCGAGGTCCTGGGCTTGAACACGTTTTGGGTTTTCCGACCATTTTGGGACACCAAAAAGGTGGGCTGCCCACCCACTTGACGTGCAGGAGCACCCAAGGGTTTTTTTAACCCCCCTCTCACATGTGGTTGCTCTTGTTTTTTTGGGCGGCCAAAAACCACTCCTTATTTTGAGAAAATGGGCTGGAGGAAAAGTTTGGTTGCTTTTTTGGCGGCCCAAACTCACTCCTGACGTGCGAAAAGCGGGCCGAAGGAGGTGGAAGGTTCCGTCCAGCCGAAAAAAATCCGCCGGCGCTCCCAAAGCCGAGGCGACGACTTCTGGACCTGCGCAGGCGACGGGGTCTTGTGGCATCGCCTCCGGGAGACGGTACGTGCCTTGGTTTCAAGAGGCCTGGGACAGGTGAAAAGTGGAGCGAACTGGCCTCGCTCGGTTTTGGTTCTTGTTGGTGTTGGCTTGGATTGGCATGGTTTGGCCTGGCATGGTTTGGCCTTGTTTTTGTGTCTGTTTGTTTGTTTGTTTGTTTGTTTGTTTGCTTGTTTGTTTGCTTGCTTGTTTGTTCGTTTGTTTCTCGTTGGTTTCTCGTTGGCTTCTTGTTGGTTTGTCTGGTTGGCTGGCCAAGGCGCAGCGATGCGCAGCGAAAAACCTCAGTCTGAGGCGAATTTGAGGATTCCCATTCGGGGGTGTTTTTTTTTGGGGGGGGACCCCCCAAACAAAAATGGATGGTGTCCTTCCGGTTTCCCTTCAAAACAACTTAAAAAGGGGGGTCATCGAACAAGGCAGGGCGCATTCTTGGCGCTGCGAGGCCTCATGAGGTGGCGGTCTTTTGTGGCATGGCAGCTTGATTTAGCTCCCAGCCATCCCCTTAGCTTTTTAGCTTTCCATCTAACCCACTAAAAGTTCAACTTTTAGCGGGGCATTTGAGGACAGCCCAGGCAGGTTTGACAGATAAGCGCGCTCGAGGCTATGTCATGTGGACCCCTTCCACTCCGTTGCGCACCTCCGTGGAGCACGTGGTTCCGCTGCTGCCTTTGTGGATGACGTTGGGCACAGGCGCGACGGGCGGGGGGGGGTCCGCGCAATGTGAACTTCAGACGCTATGAATGCCACCAGGTTTGTTTTGTGACTCAGGGTTCCACTTTTACCGACTGATTGGTCTGGGTTAAAATGCGCTCCTTGCTAGGAACATCTGCAAGATGTGGCGATTTTTGGGATGCAGGCCCCTTGACAGGCTCCTTCCACTTCAAGTTTTTTGTCAGGACCAAAGAACCAGTTCCGTCCATTTCGTTGCATCCACGATTTGAGGGAGTTTTTGGTGGAATCGTGTGCTTCCTCCCAACTTCAAACTTTGAAGTTCAGTTGGAGCCCATATCTAAGTAGAACCGTTCGTGATTTTGATCGGGTGTGTCCCCTCGTGGCACGGTCCAGGCAGTTTCAACTCCAATTTCCAAACTCAAAGTGACAATTGTGGTTGTCAAAAAATATACTACTGTAGCATTTGGTATGTGCGTGCGAGTGAGAATGGCCTGACCCAGATTTTGAAACCATTTTCGCCCCCTTTTTCCGAGAAAAAACACACAACAACACTGCGGCTCCGGTGTCAGAAATGACTCGAGTTGGGTGGAAAGCGAAATTGCGCCCCACTTCGCCTGCTTCCATTTGCTTAAGACTTAAGAATATGTGTTGTTTCCCCTTGTTGGTTCTAAAAGAAACTTATGACTATCGGACATATATATATATATATGTACTTTTTAAATATTTTTTTGACGGAGGTCTTAACCAAGTGGAAGCCTTCCGGTCTCTGGACCGGCTGCAGGCCACGAGAATAGGTCCAAGGTGGCGGAGAGTGCCGTCTGCCCCGCGGGGGAGGTCTTCTTCATGCGCCGTCCCCGCATGGGTTCGGGGGGGGGGGGGGAATCCTCGCAAAAGGGAACCTAAAAGGGAAGCCGCGGTTTCCTCGTGGCTTTGTCGTTCAAACTCGGCTAAAAAGGGGACCCCCAATAAGAAGCCCGCATGGCAAATGGCAAGTGTTTGGAACAAATTCCCTCTGGGCAAAGGGACAGAGTTCAGAAAGCTTCGTCTTCAACTATGACGGGCCAAAAAAAGTGACCTCCGATAAGAGCCGTCGGCCATTTGTCTCAGACTCCAGGTTTAGGAAGGGTCAAAGATGTGTTTCGCCACCCCTGGCGCTTTCACAGCTACGTGGATGGCGTTTTGGGGAGCCAGTTTTCATGATGCCATGCTTATGCTATCGGTAGGATATCGGTATATTCTTCTTCTTTTTTTATATACATGATGATTCCCCCTGGTTGAAGCACGGTGGACATTCAAGTAGCCCTAAGTGAGGGGAGGCCCCTGACTTTTCGGAAACAAATCAGCTTAGCTTGGCCCTGAGGTTGCTTCACTTCCTCATGTCCCAGATGGAGCAGGTCCGGTTTGACGGGTCCATCGACATGAACGGCCTTGTGGATGCCCTTGCCATGCTCAGAGTGAGGAGCGCTGAGTTCGTTGCCATGTGGACCTACCACGAACCAAGAACCTGCCCTCACCCCCGGCAGGGCCCATAGGAAATCAGTGGTCATCATGTTTTTCAGTGGGCGTTTGGGCAACTGGGTGCCCAAATGACCTAAAGTTATCATGCTGGAATTCCCCGAAGAGGAAGCCAAAAGGGGATGCGTAACTTCTTCACCCGATCTAAGACCTACTGTTGATGGATAGGTCCTGCACAATGATGGATGAAGACGGATTTTGTCCGGTACCCCTTTTGTGGGGTTAATCAGCTTCTCTTCAAGAACCAGGGGTTCAAATCCAGAACCAGCCCCACCAATCCACAAAACACCAAGGGGTCACCTGAGTTGATCAAGGCCCTCAACTTGGCTGAACACTTCCTATTTCAGGGGCTTTGGAGCATAGGTGGGTTTGGCTTGGTTTGAATGGGAAAATCACCGGTTTTGACGGGCCTTATGCCATCCATTTCCCCAGAAAAAACGCAATCTGTGCTGGAAATAGATGGGTTCTAGTTTCCATTGGTTTGCCATCCATTTCACAGAACCCATTTTCCCCCAAGCCGTGGATGTCCTCCGCCATTTCGGGCACGGAGGATCCCCTCGATGTCGGCGGCGCTGCGGTCCACCTGGCCCATCTTCGGGCTGTTGGCTCTCATCCAGCAGCCCCTCCGACGCACCGGAGGCCGCTTCGGAGCCGCTTCGGAGCCCATCCGCCTCGCGTCCGGAAAGCCTCGGGGCCAATTTTTCGTAGCGCAGGCGGGGTTTTCCTCGGGCAAAGGCAAGGCAGGTGTCGAGCTAAAACCGCAAGGCGAAATGAGCCATGGTAGGACCATGCTATGCCAAGCCCTGGCTCATCCGAGCCATGCTAAAACCTGTCCAGGGTCCGCAGTTTTTTTTTTTCTCGGCTCCTTGTCGAAACCTGAGGCAGTTGTTGCGCCTGGGCAAAGGCAGCACAGCTCCCTCGCCCTCAGCACCTTTGACGGACAAGGCTGGGAGGCTGTCTGCGGCCGCCGAGTTACCCATGGGTGATGTCTATGTCTACATGGCGAGGCTTCACCCAAGCTTTTCTCAACTTTTTGTGTTGAAGTAGGGTGTCCTTCATTTTCCCTTTTGCGGGCAGTTAACTTTAGGCAGGTGTCAAGGTGTCAGACTGTGCCGGGGGGAAATTCCCCTGCTTGTTTCGGCGTTCGTGCCAATGTGGCATGAAACCCAGGGCCCATTGATCCCAAAAGGAGGTTCCTCCAATAATTCATTTGGGCAAATTACAAGGACGTCAAGTTTCCTGGGGGGGAGGGGGTGCGCCGACCCATGATCGGATTTTCGGTGATTGCCAATCTCTCCAGCACGTTTGGCCCATCTTTTTGAGAAGGTCTTTGTTTTTGCATTTGACACGGGCCCATTCTGGGACATCCATTTGCCACCTATTTTGATGTTCACCAGGGGTACGCGGTCTTGACCCACAGCCATATGAATGGATGGATCTTGGGCTTCTTTTCGCCGTGAGGCCGCTCCCTTTGGTGAGGCACTGCGCCCCTTTGCCCGCCCGGCAGCCTGGCCGGGCCAAGCTGCTGGGGCTTGGGGTGTCCCCTTTCTTGCTGGTGCTCAGTAGGGAATGGGGGAATAAACCTGGGGGTTCCCTTACGGGAAACCACAAGACAAGGGCTTTTCTTGGAATGTGGGAATTCCCTTAAAGGAAATCACAAGGGGATGGCTGAAAAGGAAAAACGCTGGGCACCATCAAGTTTTTCAGGGAATCCCCTTTTGCTTGGTTTTAAAGGGAGGGTTTTTCTTTTTTGAGACAAACCCAAGGGCGTTCTATCTCAAGGGAACTTGGCTCTAGCTGGTCGGAGCCCACGCCCCGCCACTCAGGTTCCATGTTTGTTTGTGGGTAGCCAGGGATCCCGGGCAGAGTTGAGCCATGTAGGTTTTACAAGCCCCCGGGGCTGAGTGATGTAGGCTGCACAAGAGACAGTTTTGGAGGGCACCCGGATCAGTTTTGAAGACAGTTAGCTTGTGAAGCCGGGATGGCGAACTGGCCAGGTCAAGATGGCAGGATCCAGGGCAGCTAGCGGGCTCATACCCTCCCAAGGAAAACAGGTGTTCAAAGAGGGTATGGTTTGTCGGTGCAGTTGATCGGCGTGTTGCGAGGAACTATAAAATGCCATGCTGTATGGTGGCTTCACCTAGGTGTAGGGAATCAGCTGTGCCTGCCTGCCGGAGGGTATGCAAGGCAACGGCCAAATCGTGGCATTGCGCACGTAGAGGGCGGTCCCACATTTCTTTGCACCAGGCGCTGGCGATGGGCTGGCCCAGATTAATAGCCTGGTCGATAAATAGGGGGTCCCCTTTTCAACCAGCGGGTTATTTCACTTGAAGTGAAGAGTCCCCTTGAAATGGGACCCTCAGCCCCCTCCCTCAATTCACCAATGAGTGGCAACCGACGGACGAGGCTCGAGTCCAGGGCGAAAACTTGACAGGGCTCATTAAAAGATACATTTTGCAACCATTTGAAACATGGTTTTTTCCACCAGAATAAGGGGACACCGCCATTGACAAGTTGCAATGTTCGGGCGTATAATGTGAGGATTTTTGTTCGAGGCATCTGCGAGGAGGGGCTCGAGCTCTTTGAGTTGCTGCAGGCTTGGCTGGAGGCCCGCGGGGCTTCGGCCGGGGGGAAGGCCGGCGGCCGAAGTGAAGCCGGGGGCCGGGGGTCGGGCCGTGGCGTACCACGAGTTTTTTTTTTTTTTTTTGGGGGGGGGGGATGGGAGGGCTTCTAAGGGAGCCAAAACAGAGCCACCGATTCAATCAGGGCTCTCCCATTTAAACCCACAAGAGAAGCCTGGGAAGTTGGAGTTGATGCAGTGAGCATGGGGTTGTTGACACTGGCGGTTGAAAAAGGGGCCTAATTCTTTGCCAGGGTCACTGGGCAAGTAGCAGGCTCACCTTTTGTTCCTCTGAAGGCAGCCCGGCGCACATCTTCCAGCAGCTGCCAGCGTCCCTGGATGCTTTTCATGATTTCTCTCGCTCCTTTTTTTGCCGAGTTTTGAATTTGACTCGAGGACTGTCAGTTGAGGTGTGCGCTCAAAGGGCCCCTTCTTGGATGACCTTCAGGGAAACCACAAGGACACCCGAGTCTCCAGCATTATGATTTCATATTTTAAGATTGACTACATACAGAACAAACTCAGGGAGTCCACATCTGGGTGTTTCTAAAAAACAGGGGCACTTTCTTCCTTCTAGTCTTTTTTGCCATCCCTATTGCGAGTCAGACCCATCTAGTCAGAGAAACCGTAGTTTGGATTGGCGGCGGGATTTGAATCCGGACACGGCCCATGAGCTCCCAAGCCACAAATCCAAACCACCCATTGTGGGGGGGTTCTGCAGTTCGAACCCTGACCACCAAACCATGATTTGGGAGGCGCCCCGAAAAATAGAACTGGTTGTCCTTTGGTTTCCCTTCAGGACCCCCTTAGACTAAAGAAAGACACCCCATCAGCCAAAAAAAACATGTTTTCTTTTGGTCCCCCCCCTCACCACCACCACCCCCCCAAAACAGGCTTCCCCCCCCCCCCCAAGAAGTGCTTCGTCTTTTCGGCTTCCCTTCCCGCACAACGGGGGACGCCTCCAAACTTCTGGACCCCTTCGCCTCGTGAAACCTCGCGAGGCGCCGGGGCTGCTGCCAGGCCTCCCCTTGTCCGCCCGCAGCTCTGCAGAAGTCTCCGGGGAGCTCCCAGAACGGGGGGCTTCTGCTTCTTCCTAAAAACAAGGGTTTTCGGTGTTCGGTCTTCGGGCAAAAAGAACCACCAAACCAAACAGCTGGCCGAGCCGGCCAATTTTTTTTCCGATCGCGATGGGTTGCCGGCTCCTAAGCCAAGTTTTGGGCCTGACTTGGGGTTCTGTGAAGGTGTGAAGCCCCTGCCGCGTTCTCTTTTTTTGTGGTGGGTGCAGGCGGGTGGGTGATTATTCTGCTGCAATCTCATCCTTACTATTGCTATTATTGTCATTGGTTTGAAAGATCATATTTCTTGTTTGGAGAGGCAGTTTCTCTGAAGCCATTGGCGTTTTGGGCTCGTGGTGGTTTTGGGGTCAACTATTCCCCCTGGAAATAGGTGAAAACGGGACTTGATTGGAGAGGTTTCAAAGTTGCCCTTCCATGTAAATGTCCGACACGGATTCGGCCCATGGGGCGATATGTGAAGGTGCTGGCCCTCAATTTGCTTCAATGGTTTGTCATTAGTCGCTAACTTGGCTTGGGCTGCAATAGCTTGCGGCGCGGTGTTTGAATCTTCGGCCAAGTGCATTTTCAGGTACGGGTTTGAGTGGTTGGAGGCTACATACCACTTTTACAGGGCTCATACTAGCTTTTCGTGCATCCAGGGGCACGAAGCGCGCCCAACACCCCCCTAACAACCCCTCAGAAACTTAGGGGCCCCTAGTTTTAGGGTCAATGAAGATTGCCCCGAAAAGCCAAATGGGCGGCACGAGCACTCAAAGAAATGGCTGCTGAGCCACAACAGGACCTGGCTGTAGCAACTGGTTTGAGCCTCAAAGGCTGAGCCGCTTTTGGAATCTCCTTGTTTGTAAGGGGTATGTGTCAAAAGCGATTTGGACGGCTAAACAATGTTTCTTTCCTGCTGTTGCTTTTCATTGCCAACCTTTCAAACGGTACCCTCAAATGTTCCCCTTTTCGTATTCCATGCCGGCTGGTTGTAAACAGTCGGGTTTGCATTTTCTGCGACACCCTTGTTGAGTTGGCTGGAGGTCCCATTGTGGTATTATAGTTTTGTTGCCCACCATGTGTTGACTTGACCTTGCCTCCATGCTTCCCGTTGCCGACGGCTCTCGGAAGACCGGCCGGGGGCCCGGGCGGATGGCTCACAAAGGACCTGGGTGGGAGGGTGGGGCGGTTTGGGTGAGGAGCAAACCTCCTGTCGGATAGGTTTCGGTCGAAGCAGAAGCACCCAAGTGGGATTTCTGGCAACTTGTTTCAGACAAACCCGCCAAAAAAGAGCTCAAAAAGAGTCACGGGGACCGCCTTTGTTTATATTGTTTATTATTATTATTATTATTATTATTATTATTATTATTATATATATGTATTTATATATATATATATATGTTATATCCCCCCCACAAAAGATCGACCATGTTCTGTGTTTTGAGAAAGATGCGGTGCATTACTGCAAGAAACAGATGTGCATATGCTGGGGCCGACATTCAAGTGCAGTGTTGTTGAGGACGGTTGCAAAATTGCGCACCTGCCAGGGCTGCAACACTGCAAGGCTTTGCAAAACTGCAGCCCCTGGCAACCTGAAGTTTCAAGACTTCAAGAGTTTCCAAGACACTGCCCAAGCAAAGCTGCCAAACTACAGACCTGGCAAAGCAAGTCTGCTAAACTGCAGGCACTGCAGGCCTTGGTTGCAAAACAGACTTGGCAGGCTTCAGCTCCAACACTGCAAGGCTTTGCAAAACTGCAACCAAGGTTGCAAAATTGCCAACCTGCAAGGTTCCAACACTGCAGGGCCAGCTCCAACACTGCAAGACTTTCCAAGCAAGTCTGCTAAACTGCAGGGCCCTGGCAAGGTTGCAAAATTGCCAACCTGCAAGGGCTCCAACACTGCAGGGTTGCAAAACTACAGCCCTTGCCAACCTTGCAACCTGCCAAAGTTTCAACACTGCAGGCTTCCCACTGGCTGCAAGGTCTGCCAAACTACAAATAAGGCTGCAAAATCCAAACTGCAAGGCTCCAACACTGCAGGCACACCCAACTGCAAGGCTTTTCAAGCCTGCCAAGCAGTCTGCTAAACTGCAGAGCAAGGTTGCAAACTACAACCTCTTGCTAACTCAACACTGCAAGACTTCCCAAGCAAGGCTGCCAAACTACAGACCTGGAGGTTGCAAAATTGCCAATCCAATCTGCAACCAACTGCACCAACACTGAACTACAGACAAGCGAGTTCAAACAGAAGTTCCAACACAGGCCTGTTTGCAAAACAAACTTGGGAGCTCTGTCTGCCAAAGCTCCCACACTGCAAGGAAGGCTTGAAACTTGGTTGCTGGCCCAGCGCAACATTCCACAATTTCCAGCAAGGCTGCCAATCTGCAGGGCAAGGCTGCAAAAAACTGCAACCTGCCAACCTGCCAAGTTTCAATACCCTGGCAAGGGTTCTTGCCACCTGCTACAAGACTTCCACCACCAAACTGGCACTTCGAGCACACTGCCCAAGCAAGCTGCCAAACCGGGTTCCAGCTCAAAACTGCAACCCACTTGGCAAGAGCTGAACATTAAGGCCACTGCAAGACTTGAGCGCCTCACCTGCCAAAGTTTCAACACTGCAGGCTTTTTTGCTGCCCTGGCAAGCCTGCCAAACTACAGGCAAGCAAGGCATTTCCAACAAGAGTTCCAACACTGCAGGCCTTGGTTGCAATACAGACTTGGCAGGGCTGCAAAACTGCAGCTCGCCAAAGCTCCAACACTGCAAGGAAGATGCTCAGAAGCTGCAAAAACCTCGAAGAAATCAACAAAAATCAGGATCCTGGGAGAGAATGCCCAGGTCAGAATCTGGAAAAGTGAAAAACCTCGAGAAAATCAAAAAAATCAAAAAATCAAGGCCTTGAGAGAGATAGTCACTGGGTCTGGGCATTCTGTTCCAGGATCTTGATTTTGTGTGTTTTTTTTTGATTTTTTTGATTTCTTCGAGGTTTATTCACTTTCCGAGATTCTGACCTGGAAAAGTGAAAAACCTCGAGAAAATCAAAACAATCAAAAAAATCAAAAAAAATCAAGGCCTTGAGAGAGATAGTCACTGGGTCTGGGCATTCTGTTCCGGGACCTTTATTTTTTTTGATTATTTTGTGTTTTTTGTTGATTTCTTCGAGGTTTATTCACTTTCCGAGATTCTGACCTGGGCATTCTCTCCCAGGACCCTGATTGTTTTTTTTTTGTTTTTTACATTTTTGATTTCTTCGGGTTTTTTCAACATGTTCATCCTGCGCAGCCAAAAGGCAGATGCAAGATGAAGTTGGGAAGCCAGAAGCCCGAGACCTTGCAGATTCTGGGATGTGTCACCAGAGATAAAACACAGAAAATGGTCGATCTTTGGGGGGGGTACCATATATATATATATTATTTTTTTTTGGGGGGGGTGATTGCGCGGTTCACGGACACATCCAGCCTCTCTAACAAAGAGCATTGGGTGGGGTTGACCCATGGCATCCCACCCCTACTTAAAGACGAAACTGGGAGAGAGGGTGTGGCCCCTGGCATTCTCCCGGCTACCAAGATGTGAAAAACACACATTACGGACTGACTGTGTTTTCATGCGTTTTACAGGGACTGCATGTTGTGACCGAAGCTTATCTACCTCCGGCACAAGATGAAGCGCAAGCATGGGGAACTCCTAAAGAACAACATGAGCTGGTTATGTCGGCTTATCGTGCTTGCTGCAAACATGTCAAAACAAAGATGCTCTCCTATTATGTCGCAACATGTGCATTTGATCAAAGAATGGGGGATGATTAACACGACATGTGTACGGAAATTTCCGTTCACAAGGTTCCCTTAGTTTTGGTTGGTGAAATATGATGTCCAGGCACGCCTGAGCAACACCGTCAACTCTAGGCCACACCCTGCTGCGATTGCTTGTAGGTTAAAAAATGAAAGGCACACTGAACAATCTATCCAACACCACTCTGATTCCACCTTGGTTGGATGGAGTAGTACAGGTACGAGCCTGAATACTGCGGGAAAAAAGAGGGCACTCACAATTTACACATACCGGAAAGCAATCTTCACCAACCCGCGAGGCGCAAGCCAAAGCAATTCGCACAGCAAGTCTGCCACGTTCATAAACTGCATGTCCGTTAAACCTGCATCAAAAAATGACGCTTTCCTTATTTTCCGGATCAAAGTTAATTGACGGGTTCCCTCAACCCGACTCAAACACAGTAAATCTTCCACGCCTTTGAAAGCAAGACACGATTAGTTTTTACCTTCCTCCCTGACATGGAGCCGAACTGGATGCCAGGGGCCGGCGGCCGCACTTGGCCCGCCGGTGCTGTCAAGGAGCCGGCCAGCGATTTGTGTTGCCCAAGAGTCAAGGTGAGCCACAATCAAAACCCGGGTAGATGACGGTTAGTAAGGGACAATCCCAACCCTAAATAGCTGCGGCCGCCTTTTTCATTCTTTACATGGTTCTGGGTCGACCATTTTAATACCGGGTTTGATTCTGACTCAGGTGAGGTTTTTGAGCGCCCAGACCGATGCTTTTGGGCAATTTGAGTGCTTGGATCTACTACTGGCTCATGAGGGGGATACTCTTTTGTGTAAATCCCGATTTTTAAACCGACCTTTACAACCACTTGCCGGAGGTGTGCAAGCGTTTTTGAGAAAGCCTGAGACTTTTTCCATCCCAATTCCCTGCCCTTCCACAAGGCGCTTTCGGCAAGATCACCTACCGGTTTTTGTCTGGCTCTGCTCACGGTTAGTGAGGGGGGGGGGGAAGGGGCAGAAAACATGGCCCTTGCTACCATGCAAAGATTTGGGAAGATCATGTTTGGCTTAGCAAGTTTGGCCCGATGTTTGGCGAGCAGTTTGGGCACGAAGTCATGGTGTCATGGGCCAGGCGGCCAGAAGTTATCGAAGGATGTGTTGCAAGCTTCTCTTCGTTTTGCGTGTGGCGGGTTTGACCCAAGAACTTTCTAGGGCCACCCGGCAAGTGGATATTTTTACGTGTCCTCTTGTTTTGGTTTGTCAGCAGACTCCTTTATGCTTGCTCGCTCCAGCCTTTGTATCTTTTTTGGACCAATCCACTCGATGAGCGCCGGTTTTCCCTGAAAAGCTTCCGGGCGGTGTTTTGCAGGAGATGGCCGAGGAAATGCGTGTGTCGGAGAGCGGCATCAGCTGGCACCCTCCTGCCGGGGTCTCGGGTGGATTGGTGGGGATGGGGGGTTGGGGGGTTGGGGGTTGGGGGGTTGAGGGGTTGAGGGGTTGAGGGGTTGGGGGTGGGGGGAAGCGACCACAACCACGAACAAGGGTTCCCGCCCATGTTTGTTGATGGCCGGGAGGTGTTCGAAGCTCCCACAGATGGCAAGCTGGGGCTGAATGGGATGAAGGAAGCCCAGTGGCCCAGGTTGGGCGTTCTTTTGCAGCCAGGAACCCCGGGAGTAGAGTTTGAGACTTAAAAGCTTGGCCCGGCTTCCGGTTTGAGGCGCGGGTTCAAAATGACGAAGGGTGGCTCCCAGCCGTGCCCCAGGTTTTGGCGGTGTAGTGGGGGCTTCCATTTAGCAGGGGATTGTTGGGGGGTGTTCTTCCTAACATTGCACTGTGGGAGGGTTGCCCGGAAGGTCAATCAATTACACGTTGCCCTGGCGCACGATTTTCCTGTGTCGGTTTTGCATTGTGCCAGAGGACTCCTGTAACGCTAGTAACAGGGTTCTTGGCAGGTCCCCCAGTAGTGCCCTTTTACCCTTTTTTGGGGGAGGGTTCCCCTGCAAAAACAGAAAAAAAGGGTACCCTTATTCTAACTTCTCCTAGTCTAAGGCTGGTGACAATGGCAGCATTGGCTCCGGCCAGTGGTGCCAGCTTTCAGTCCGCCCTTCCTCTGAAGCCTGCCTGGCGCGAGCCAACCGCGCGCAGGAGGCGCCACAGGCGGCGCAGGCGGCGCAGGAAGCGCCACAGGAGGTGCCGCAGGAGGCGTCGGTGTAGAGGAGCCTTCATTTGCGTGAAAGCCCGAAAACTTTTGTGGTTTCTCCCAACAAAAAGCCGAAAGAGGATGGAAGGCCTGCAGTTTTTCCAGGCACCTCATGTGGCACCAGCTCTTCGATTCTTCTCGTGCCAGCCCCCTGCCCTCAGAGGTGCCAGCAGAAACTCCAGCAGAGGTCCCGGAGGAACCTGCGGAGGAGACGCCAGCGGAAGCGCCGGCAGAAGCGCCCGCAGAGGTGCCGGCGGAAGCGCCGGCAGAAGCGCCGGCGGAAGCGCCGGCAGAGGTGCCCGCTGAAGCGCCGGCGCCTTATCGTCCGTCCACCGTGGTTGCTGGGCTGTTTGTGCCAGCGACTTTCAGTTTTTGGTTTGTTCGATGGAGAACTGCAGGGGGCTTCTGTAAGGGGCAACCTGCTCATCTACACACATTACTCGCCTGTGTCATGTCCATGACTAAATTTGGCTTCCAAGTCCTCACAGCTTAGGCCGGCAGAACCCGCGCCGGAAGCTCCTGCGGCGGAAGCTTCGGCTCCCGTGGAGAAGGCGCAGAATTCATTTCGAGAGGCTTTGGGCTCACTCATTTGGCGTCCCTATATTGAGGTTTCCCTTACCCTCCCACCCTTTTCACATGGAACCTGACAGGGACCCGGAAAAACCGGTCCCTTTGAAAGGAACATGGTCTTCCAGGATCCCCTGAACGTCAGGTTCCAGGATAGTTGGTGGTTTGGATTGGTGGTTTGGATTTGGATTTTAACCACAGCCTTTTGAACCCAAATGGGCGAAGGCAATTAGCCTCAAATTTGTCCAAACCATCAAACCAAACCACCAAATACGGGACACGGCTAATACTTGAAATAATTGAAACATCACCTGTTGAGTTTAAACAACCCACACGCCAACCGGCATTTTGTTTGGAGCTATTCTGCATGCTGAGGTTCACTGGTCTGGAGTCGAGCATTTTGGCCTTGGAGGCAAAAGGTGAGCATTCCCGCTTCAACCTGTGGTCCCAAAAAATGGGGGCCTCTACTCCAGCCGGCAGGTGCCCTTTTCGGTGTCTCCCCGCGCTCCATTTTCTGACTCGTTCAAAAAAAACGCTCCGGGCAGGCCGCGTTGCCAGGATGAAAGTTGCATCTTTTCACAGCTGGGAATTCTAACTTGCCGGTGTTCCAAAATGGATTCTCCAACCCCAAAGGTGACCAGCTTTACCTTCCAGGTCCTGCACAAAATCAAAAACCTGGCTTCCCGGCAGCGAAGAAGTAGAAGCCCCCCCCCACCCACTTCCAAGATTGGACGGAGGGTGGCTAGAAAATGCGATTTCTGGGTTGATCCCCCCAAGATGTTGGCATGTTTCTCCAGGCACCCCCCAAGCCCGCGGTCTCCTTGGCTTCGGCGATCAATGTGTCCTCCACGCTATCGGTGGGAGCAACCCCTGAGAGGGGTTCTCCTGGCTTCTTTTTTGGGTGTGTGTGGTGGGGGGGCAACTTGGCGACTTGGCGAGCAAAGGACGAAAGAGGGAGCCTTTCGCATCAAGAGTTCCTCTAAAATCTAATACTTTGAGATCTATACTCAGAGGGGAACTCACTTCTTGTAATTGGCAATGGTGGGATCGTGATGAAGGGACCTGCTTGATTCACTTCAGGCTGTTTCGGCCTGACATTGGCACTGGTAGTCAGTGCGGGCTTTTGGGTCCCGGTGCTTTGCATTGGCATTTGCTTGATTGCTACTGGGTTGGATCGAGGGAAATCAAGGGTTTTCCCTTGAACCCACAAAAAGCTGCACTTTTTGCAGAGGGGCCAACAGCAACCAAGTTTAGATTGTCTTTGCGAGGATGGCATTTGAATCGCCCCGAGATATCGATCGTCTCAGATCGCGGCTGGGATTGGGCTGGCGAAAGGTTGGAAGGCTTGCACCCCGGTCAATGTTACGGGGGAGTGACACAGAAGGGTTGCAGGTGTCCTTACATTCAATTGCTCATTTTGGGGGGGGGGGGTTATGACCGCTTTCTGGGCCGAGTTGCGCCCGACAGGTGCCTAGCGAGGCTCGAGTAGAGAAGCAGCAGAGTGAGGCGGGTAGGTGGGGGAAGCCGAGAACCGACCCGTTTACGCGCGTACGGCACACCTGCTGAGCGGTCTTTGTCATATTTGTAGACCAAGGACGAGCTTGCCAACACCAACGCAGCTTAAGTATGGGTGTTTTGTTTGGCAGGCTACCCCTCTTGGTGGTTTTAAGAAAGGGACAAAGCCGAAATTCATTTTTGTGGGTCCCATATGGGCCCTACAAAATCCAGGTACTAGACCTCCAGTTTCGGGGTTCTCCATGAGAGACCAATTTGGCGGGCCGGTACCTAGAAGACACTCATGAAGGTTGCCATGTTGCCAATTTCCTCAAAGCCTCGTATGGGATATGGCTTTGGTTCAGGGGCTCTCCGCTGAATTCTGTTGGTTTCCCTTGAAACCACCGGAAAGGGGGCCGGCTCCGAAACGGACCCTATTATTGATATTGGCATCAGGTGCGTGATGGTCAGTCTGGTGCCCCATTCTGTTCATCCGTCGTTGCAACTGGCAAGCTGTCGAACATTCAGTCTGTTGCCCTATTCTGTTCACCCATCGTTCTTCGAAACTCCTCTACAAGATTGGCTTCTGTGTGGTTTAGTGTCGGTTTCCCTTTAGGGTAGCTGGACACTCATTTCCCCTAGCGTTGTCGGACATCTCATTTGAGCAGAAGGACCTCGCAAGCGGCAGTTTATTCGCAGGTCTTCCCCCAGAGCATTCTACTTTTTGCAGGGGTTGGCTGCAACCCTTAGTTGGCTTGGATGTTGGCTGCACATATCATGCAACCCTTCCAATGGTTTGGATTTGGATTTGACCCCCTGGCACTTGAGGGTAAATGGCTGTGGCTCCAAAAGCCGGTGGCAAAATGGAACCCAGGCAAGTGGAAGCATGGACCACAACCTGCGGTTTGCCCCTCCTGTTTAATTTTGAGCCACACCCAAATTGGGTTCCGCGCAAGCCCTGGCAGTTTTTTGGCTCCAAGCCCCAAGCCAGGTCCAGCCATCCATCAAGGAGGAGGCCAGCGGCAACCTGGCCTCCACCACCTCTGCCACCGTGCCCAAAGCTGCATTTAACATATTTCGGCTTTAGGGAGTCTCGGGAGAAAATCGGGATCGCTGGATTTCCCCAAGTCAACAGTTGCAATGTACTGGTTGTGGTTTATTGAAACGATGGAGGTACTTTTGGAGAAACCAAAGGCGTCAGTGGAGGAGGATTTTGATCTTAGGTGTGCGTGCTCTTGTTGTGTCCTAAAATGGGGTGGGGTGGGGTTGCCGCAGGTGTCACCGTGTTGTTTAGTTTCCGTCCCCTTGCGGGTGGCGTTTACTTCACTATTTTGCTTGGCCGGCGGTGTTCGGTTGCAACACCGCTTAGCATCCGTGCAAGTTCAAAAGGTGCCGGAGCGGATGATAAGAGGTTGCACTCCGAATCAAGACGACCCAAGCAGGGGCTCGGTTACAAAAGGACACCACAGAAGAGGTGGTTCTTTGTTCCATGTCCTTCTCTTCTGGTGAGCCCCACCCCCCCTTTCCTGTGGCCCATTCGGCCAGTGCGAGGTGAAGAAGACTGAGGACGGCAAGTGGATGGTGGACACGGGGTACATCGACTACAGGCGCCCCTGGGCCGGGTGGTCGGTGGTTCGATGGTCTCATCCAACGGCTGGTGCAGGATTTCGCCCATCGGTTCCTGTTCAGTTTTCAGGTGGCAAGAGACGTTTCTTAGAGTGGGGGGGGAGAATTCTGGGGGGGAGGGGCTCCGTCAGTCCCTCCCCGCGCCCCCCCCAGAGCCCGGGGGAGAAAAGGTGGATTTTTTGGGTAGACTTCTTCGCCCATTTGAGAGGCCCAAGTTCATTTGGCTGGGGGATTGCGGCTGGCGTAGCCTTCGGGCATCCAGGAGAACACTTTGGCTTGGCTGACGTTCTCCAACTTTGGTTTGGGCGTGTCTTTTGGGGGACCCATGAGACATGGCAGGTGTCCTGCGTTGGGATCCCTAATTGGGAAGCAAAAAGGTGGCACAAGACAAACACCCAGTACAAGGAATCAACCCTAGAGCGGCATGGTCCCCCCTTCCAAGGCTGGGACAAGTGGACAAGAGTTTCAAGCGCCCAGCCATCAGAAGGCTTTTGTTGGAGCCTTGTGCTTGGTGGATGGGTACCCTTGAATTGTAGTGGCTGGGCTTCAAACTAGCACTGAAACAATGGGGCTTCACAGAACTGCCATTGTTGGCTCCTTGCCATTCACAAAGCATCATCGGAGTCGTGGCCTGGAGCCCCTGGCTCCTGGCACCCAACCTCCCCACCCCCCCGTCACGGGGAATCCATCCATCCGGGCGGCGTGCGAAGCGCCAGGACGAAGGACCCCAACCGCTTGGAGCCCCGGCGCTCGGTGATGGAGCCCAAGGACGCCGCCGCGGCGGCTGCGCCTCGATTGGAGCGCGCCTGTTTTGGCGGCCGCGTTTCTCGAAAGGAAGGAAACTGGCTGTTGGAATGGGGCCGTTAAGGAGCCAGGGCTATCCACATTTGCCTTAGAGGGAGCTAAGGAGCTCCTGGGAGTTCTGTAAGAACATGGTAGGTAAGGTCCTTTGGTTGGGTGGGTTTGTTTCCCCTTCCACATGCGGCAAAAGACACACGATGGGTTTTCGCATGTGCCCAGCTCGGGGGTTTGTGGCCTGGTGGTTGCCGTTCAAGGTGGCCAGAAACCTGACATTGAACACGAGCAAAGAGCAACCTCAAAGAGCAACATAGGGATCCTGTGGAATAAACTTGTTGCTCTACCTTGCAAGGGAAGATTGGTGGGATGTTGTTTGGGGGGGGGGAGAAAAATTGGAGGGCTCACTGATCCACAAAAAAGGGTGTCTCTATTTTGAGGGCACCACATTTGGTTGGTTTTTGTAGGAAACCGACAAGAAGCCAACCATCTTTTTGGGGGTCCTCTATTTTGAGACAAACTCAAAAGCAAAAGACGAATCCCCAGCCCCGTCTTCGAATTGGGGACTGAGGGCGGGATGAACCTCTCGTGTTGCAACCAGTTGGGGTGCTCATTTTGTCGGGGTTCTGTGTGGGCAATGGTGGGAAGCAAGGTGTGGGCCCTAGAATGCTTCACGTTCCTGGCAAGTGAGGATCCAGACACCGTCAATCCAGGCATTGCTTAAAGAAGGCCAGTCTGATTGTGAAAACGAGGTGGGCGACCACATGTGAGCCATCCCATGGCTGGGGGTTACCCGATTTTTGACCCCCAGCCATGGCAAGGCCGCGGTGGTGGGCCAAAGTAGCCGGGACGAAGAGGGGAAGTTCAAGGTGGACACCTCCTACATCAACCACCGCACCATCGAGGTGGCGGTCACTCGGGGGAGTGGCTCGCGGTCTTTTTTGTGCAGGAGTCAGGGGTTGGTACCCGGATGGGTTGGTGAAAGAAGGGAGGCCAGAAAGAAGGAAAGCCGCGATTTTGTTGGTCCTATTGTTGGGTTAAGGGGCACGTGTGGGAGCCTCGCTGGTCCATGGTGGCCGCCCGTTCCCTTATTCTCTGAATCAACTTACCTGTTCAGTTTCCAAACTTCAACCTCACTGATTTTCGTGAGATCAGGCTGATGTAGGCAGGTCACATGAGATTCCGTCACAAGCTCCGGTAGTCTATTTGGGGCAAGGACACGGGGGTTCGCCAAGTGTACCGCAGTAACAGGACACTTGCAGAGTTTTCATTTTGCTGGGCTTCAATAGAAATATTCCGCACTACTGGTTCCCTTTGCGTACCTCTGGGATCTGCACAGAGTTTTAGCTTCCCTTGTTTTTTTTTCCAGAGCCGCTAGAAAAGCGCCCAAACTGGTTGCAGGGGTTCCATCCCAACCCAGGCAGTCCTTTCGAGTCATTTTTCGGGCCACCGCGCGCTGTTTTGTGGGTCTGGTCCTCAGTTGTTCAGTGGCACCATTTCCCCCCCCCCCCCCGCCTGTTTTTTTTGGGTGGTGGTGGCTACCCCACTAAACATGGTCAGGGTTCAAATGCCACATGAAAAGTGCCCATCAGGGGGCAACTCAGCAACCCCACCACATCAGCAATTTGAACATACTGCAATGAATAGCCCTTTTGAAAGTCCTTCATTGCTCTTCCTTTCCTCTTTTTTGCCAGGCAGTTGTTCAGTGGCACTCTTTTCCCCCCCCCCCCCCCGTTTTGTTTGTTTTGGGGTGGCTGCCCCACTGAACATGGTCTTCCCCAAAAAGGCTTCCCTTTTGTCTCCAGGGCCACTGAACAACTGAGGGTCCATAGGTGTCCTTTTTGGTTGACTTGGTGTAAAAATAGAGGGCACTGGTTTACCTGGTCATTCAATCAACTACCAGGGCCATCTATTTTCCACCAAAAAGGACACCTATGTTTGGTACCCTCCCTTGTTGGAGTTGGTAGCCCCTCAAGTTTCTTGTGGTGTATCTGTTTGGGTTCCTGTTGGGTTCCCCTTCTGAGGGTCGCCCGACTTCAGAGGTGGACCGCCTGGAGGGCCGCAAGAGCGTGCTGGGCGCCGACAGCGCGGTGGCGGCCCACTCCGCGACCGTCAAGAAGGAAGTCGCTGCGCTGGGATGGCGGGTGGCTGGGGGAAGGGCTTTGGGGACAAGCAGGGCTCCTGAAAAGATAATTACATTTTGCAACCATTTGAAACATGCGGCTTTTGTTTTTACCAAACTAAAAAGAACGCGCCATTTTTTTCTGGGCCATGTTGAGGTGTTTTTCATGTAAGGATCCCTGGCAAGGGAGTCCTACTTTCTTACCCCTCTTTTGTTTCCGGACGTGGTTTTTGGGAAGGTCAGGTTGGTGGTACACAAAAGTAGACTTTGTTTTGGCCAATCTGGTCAGGAAGTGAGCAATCCCAAGCAGAGAGAGAGAGAGAGAGAAAGCAAAAAGCAAGTACTGTAACATATTACTCTATTGCTATGAATGTGATGGAGGATATCTTCCCGAGTGGTTGATATTCGCCAGAGGTCCCCAATTCAGATTCACAAAATCCGAGAGCCTCCGTTCAGAGGCCGCTCGGATTTTCGGTGCAGGTTGCCCTTTCTTGCCTTTCTTGGGCAGTTCGTTGGGACTCAAGCCTGGGGTTGGTTAATTTAGGTGCTGGAAAACCAACTCGATCGAGTTTTCACCTTCTTTTTTTTTTTTGCACCGAGCTTGTTCTCTCGGGTTTTGACTTGCGAGGGTTTTTCTCGGGCGCAGTGAAGGTCCCTGGTGTTTTTTTTTGGGACTCAGGGGATTGGTCAAAAGGTCCTTCACATGGGATGACCTTTGGGGAACCCACCGAAAAGACGACTTTCACCACTAAATGGGAACAGTTACCCATTTTTTTGGGGGGGGGCGCCAGGAACATTGATCAACCTCCAGTTTGGGGCCGCGGTTTCTTCTCAGGCCGATTTTTGTCTTTTTCTCTCAGTTCGGGTTCTGCAAGTCTGAACGAGGGAGAACCAAAGGGCCAAAATGTGCTGGTGCTCAGCAGGGATTTGCCTTCCCGTTCATGCGTCAGCTGGTCCCTTTGAAGGCCCTGCCGAAGGAAAACAAACACCACCCGACGCTGTGTTTACCGGATTCGCACTTGCCCAAAAAAGAAGTTGGATTTTCACATTTTTGGTTGCCATTGTTGGTCAGTTTTTGGTCGATGCAAATGGAGGGCGCTTCTTGGTCAGTTAGCCTTTTAGTTATGGGTCCCTAAGAACAACTGAGAATTTGCACGCTTTCTATTCTTGAGCATGGCTGCAAACGGTTTCTGTGCGTTTTGTCCTTTTTTTCTCCCCCTCTCAAGTGATGCAGTAGTGGGGATGATCACACGGATGATTCCCAAGCGTTGTTGGGCGCTTGTATTGGGGACTCAGGCTCTTCCAATGCTTGGGGATCAGAATCTCTAGGGTTGCTTTTTCAAGCCAAGCATTTTTAGGAATGCCCAAAGATTCCAGAGGGAAACGACCTGTTTTGTAAGAATGTGGCGGTTGCACCGCTTTCCTTCCGGATTCTGCAGCAGGACAATTTTGGTCACGATGGGGAATGACTAGTCGTTGGCGCTGGCATTTGAATTCATGCCTGCGTGTCTGCATGTTGTGTTTTGTTGGCGTGTGCCTGATGATGGGTGAGAGAAAGGGAGAGAGGGATAAGAGAGAGAGAGAGACGGAGAGAGAGGGAGAGAGGGAGATGAGAGAAAGGGAGAGAGGGAGAAGAGAGGGAGAAGAGAGGGAGAAAAGAGGGAGAAGAGAGGGAGAAGAGAGGGAGAGGGAGATACAGAGAGTAAGAGAGCGAGATAGACAGAGAGAGAGAGAGAGAGGGACAGCGGGCGAGTGAGCGCTCGAGGATGATGGCAAGTGGAAGGTGGACACTTCCTACATCGGTGCCTCGCTGCTATTCCCACTCCCTAAGAAAGGGTGGGGTGCCGGTTTACATCCTTGTAGTGGGACCCTTATTCCCCTGGTTTCTGTTGGATGAATGGCGCATATGACCATGTAATCCGGGGTGGCCTCGCAATTTCCAGCTCGGGATTCGCTACTGTTTCAACGGTAGCGCGAAAGCTGGGTCAGGTGATACATGCAGCCCCCATCCCGTTCACTTCCGTCACCCGGGTTGTGAGAAGGACACTCCCACTAATTTGGAGAACCCATCGGCACAAAGGTGAAGTGAACGTAGGATGATACCCATGAAGTTGCTTTGCGATGCTCCCCATAAAACAGCCAGAGCAGCATGCTCCAGCTGATTGGACGGCCCCCAAGCCTTCCTGAAGGCTTTTTGAGAAGGGCTGCTTTGGACCGGGGCTTGTGCTGCAGGCGTCCCTTCTCATCCAGGGGCTCTTAGCCAGATACTGCCCGGAGAATGGAAGAGCTGCCCCGAAAGTGAGCGGAAGGCCTTTTGCTCAGGTCACCGGACGCTGGACACCGACAATCTCACGCGGAAGGAGGAGTGCAAGCAACACCCCAAAAATCAGGAGAGTCGTTGGCCCTGAAAGCCTTTCCCACCATATGGTCCCTGGCAAACATGTCTGAGGCTTCTTAAAGTCCGTTTTGGAGGTGGTGCCAAACTCGTTTTCGCACGTCACTTCAGCAGACCCGTAGTGTAGCCTCGAACACTTCGAATCCAATTTCAGCTACTCTCCCTGTGGCAGCTTCCCCACTCAAAACGGACCCCGACTTTGCGATGGGAGCCTAAAAGGGTTTCCCAGTGGTCCATTTTTTGGTCGAGGTCCAAGGTGAATGAAGCTGTTTTCAGGTGAACAAAATGGAGCAAGGGCTCCCCTTGTTACCCCATCACCTTTCGTGCCAATGTCTCGTCTTGACTTTCCTTTGACGATGCTCAAAGGGGAGACTCCCTGCTCCTTATATCTAGTATACTATTGTTTAAACAAATGTAGTGTTTGTTTGGATGTTTGCATGCATGCATGATGTTTCACGCATTTTTTGCAGCATATTTGAGATACGCAAATGCTCCAGGAGAAGCAGGAGGAGGCCTGCTATGCGGACCCGGCCCAGAAGAAGTACAGCCACGACCAGCTCAAGGCGAGCCAAGGCAGGGCCCAGGCGGTTTGGACGCGAAGGCATGTCGAGCGAGCCGCACGACCTTTTTTGCGCGGGATGCCAAGGGGATGTTCTGCAGAGAGTGGTCATGGGAATCAAGTACTTGGGCCTCACAAAGGTCATTTTCCACAGCCACAACCAACGTTTGGCCTTCGAGGGGAAAGCGGTCGGGGATTGGCACAAGAGGTTCCATCCCGTATTCATAAACCTTGGGGATTGATACGGGTTGAGGTCAAGGGCATGGGCGTCCCATGTGGTTGAATTGTATGGAGGGGTTTGGTGCGGTCCCCCCCCCCCCAAAAAAAAAAAAAAAAACAAGAACAAAAAAACAGGTGCCCCACCACATCCGGGAAGTCATGAAAAAATGCCATGCGCTTCCCAGCGATGGGGTCTCTACCATGCGGGCGGTCGATGGGGTGGGTCAATGCTTCAAGTCACGTGGGATCTTCCAACATTGGCTTTGACAACCACAGCCACCTGGAGGCCGTCCGGATGATGTGGACCCTTCCAGGCGGGAGCAGCACCTCGGCCCGCTTGTGGGGCTTCCTGAATTGGCTTTCCGTCAGAAAAAGAGGCTGCTGCCCCCCCCCCCCAAAAAAAAAAACCAAAAAAAAAAAAAAAACAAAAAAAAAAAAAAAACAACCTCCAGGTTTGGACGATTTTCAGTGTTCAACGGGTGGGTGGGTAATATTAACTTCCTTTTGATCTTCTTCTTAGTTGGTCTTGGTTTTTGGTTTTGCCCTGGTCTCCTTTGTGTTTCCTTTCAGTAAGTGTTTGCCCCTCTGGCCTCGCTTCGGTTTCTGCCTTGCTTGTCAGCTGGCGTGACCGGACCGCCAAGAACAGACAGGGCAAAAGACCCGCGAGAGCAAAGCTCAGCTTCTCCAAAGTGCATCTCCGCCTTTTAGCCCCCCTTTCTCTCAGAGGCAAGCCAAAAGGTGATCGACTAGATGGAAAATCAGGTCCCTTCGGCTGAGAAGACGTGCTTGGGGTCCAAACCTGCTCCGCAAATTTGGCCCCAAGAAGGGCCCAGGCCCTCTGGGAAACTTGGGGGGGTGCATCCTGTGAGACGGTTGCGTCTAGGTACCTCTCGGACGCGGAGTTCCTGAGTGTCTTCGGCATGCCCTTCGGAGACTTCCAGAAGCAGCCCAAGTGGAAACAGCAGACTCCTGGCACTTGCCTGACTGTTTGACCTGGGGTCGCGGCCAACCCCTAACGTTAACTTTCGATTGGTCCGGAGTGCTGTATGCTGATTCTTTCCGACTAACACGGGTCCTGGGATGCACCCAAAGTTGATCAGAGAAGTCCACATGAAACCCGGGCTGGAGCCGCTTGCCGCGCAGGGACTGGCCAGTACCCAGAGGCGCTTCGAGCCGGGTAATCAATGAAGCCACCCGCAAGCACGGAACTGAATTGACCCAGAGGGTTTCTGGAACACTTCACATGAAGCCAAAGCTGTTTTGGGCGATGGAGACGTACTTGGCGAGCACCCTGCGGCCATTGGCCAGCTGTTTGACTTCCCTCTTCATCCGTGTGAAAACGAGTTAGCGGATGAGTGGGGGAAGCTTTAAACCGATGTTGGCGGTTTGTCGGTTTTTTTTACCAGCTGCCCATTTGCCACAAACCTGGTTCATCCCTTCTGCATTTCTGGTGATTCACCCATGCCTCAGACTTCGCTTTCGGCCCAGGAACGTGAAGAAGGCAAAGGACCTCTTTTGACCCGGATGCCCACAGACCGCCCCTAGGGGCCAGAGGCCAAAGATGTCGGACATAGGTTCTGACGCCCGGAACTTCCTTTGAGTGGCGGATGTGGGAAACCAGCCTTCCGTCCTCCAGCTGACAGATCGACGCGGACTTGGTTTTGGTTGATCCGTATGGGTTTTGATGAAGCTGGGTTCCGGTCCGCTCGCGTCCGAAAAGAACGCCGGTAGAACTCATAGTGGCCATGCTTGGCACGGACGGAACGGAGGGGTTGGCGTCCAGTCAACGCAGTCAACGGCACCCCATGCCCGGTTCGTTTCTTCTGGGCGTCAGATAGCAACCAGGGCTTGGCTGTGGCCGTTCGGGTTGTCCATGTGCTGAGGGCGTAAAAGCAGCAGGAAGGAAGTGGAACAAAGCCCAGGGAGCCAAGGCAGGGCCTCAAAGGACACCTCAAGCAAGCCCACCTTTTGAACCACGAGGTGGTCGGCCTTGTCAACTGGCGGTCGCAGGTCGCAGCGCGCCGTTCGGCGCACGGCAGAGCCTAACAGACTCCCAGCCGTGGACTAGGTAGCTTGGGAGCGTTCCGGAGGGCAACTCCGGGGGAAAGTTGACAGGCAGAGTGGTCCTCCTTCGCACCCTGGCGGTCCCTTTTTTTGTTTGGAGGGTGCGTTCCTAAAATGTTACCTCCAACAAGGATTCCCTTTTTCCACTCGCAAGTGGGGTTCCTGGAGGGCAACTGGTACTCATTGTGTTCTCAAAACACTTGTTGGAGATTTGGCAGCGTAAGGCGCTGGATAAAAGAAGGAATGTGCACTCTGCGCCGGTGGTTTGCGGGCTCAAACCTCTGCTCGTAAAGATTACCCACCCCAAATAAAACCTCCAAAGCCACCAAGCCAAAATGCCATGTGGAGGGATTGTTTCTTTTTTCTTTTCAGGGTTTCCGCGCTTGACAGAAGCCACCTGAACCTTCGGAATCGGCCCCCGGAAGCGAGCTGCTCCGAGCAGCTCGCGCCTCCGGAGCTCCCAACTTGGGGAAAACCCCACCAAGTGCCCCTGTCATTTGGAAAATCTGCCGTGTAACTCTTGGCGCTTTTTTTTGGGGGGGTTTTTAAAGGTGGTGGCTCTGTTCGTTCTTAGGCGGCCTCAAAAAACACAGTTGGCGCTCTTGCTTTTTGTCTTCTTTTTGTTGGCTCTGTTCGTTCTTAGGCACAGTTGGTTCAGATGCCAATGTTTGGACAGCCAGCCATCACGCGTGTGCTTCTTTTTGCTGCCTATGGCAGGGGAATTTGCGTGGCAGGGCCCAAGCGGAAGATCACTTAGCTCTCAAGGGCCGCAGAACGTTTTACAGGGCCATTCCTTGGTGGCGAAGCCAGCCATCCTGTTCCTTAGCCTTTTAGCTTTTTAGTGATTAGTGGCAGTTTCCATTTAGCCCACGAAAGGTTAAACTTTTAGCAGGGGATCTGAAGTCGGGCAGCCCAGAAATTCGAATGGCGCCTGTTCTGCGGTGACCATGAGCTTACGGCGAGCGCGGACGAGGGACGCGCCGGAAGAGGGAAAAAAGAGAGCACGCCAGCAATGCCACCCATACGGCCCTGAGCTGGCCAGGCGTAGGCCCCGTGTTGCGTGGTTGGACACTTGTTCAAGCTACTTCTTTTTGGTTCTGTTTTTCCACTGAGTCGTTTGGTCGTTCAATACAAGTGGCTGAAGAAATTAAGCTATTTTCCCATGATCATGACTAAGTTTGATCCCCCATTCTGATCATTTAGGCCTTTGTATTCAGCCATTTGACCACAATCACGACCCGGGCAAGTGAAGATGGGTAAGGTACCATCCCGACCAAAATGAGTCGCAAATGTCCTCTCTTCTTTCCCGGTTCTTTACCTGGTTTTGCAGTAGATACTTTTGTACCGCGAGGTTTTGATTGTGGCCCGGCCTCCCGCCAGCCTCTCCCAACGAACCAACCTCGCGACGACGCGCCGCGTCGGGTGGTTGAGGCGCCGCCGCCTTCGCTCGGGGGAGCTCGAGCTGCGACGGGGAGGCGGTGGCGGGGCAGAAACTGGCGGCACTGCTGCCGCGCCTTGGAAGTCGAGGGAGGGTCTGGGTGCTCGTCTTGTATGAGTCATGGGGCCTTAGGGGAGGGGGAGGGAGCCCATACTGATCAACCCCACATTGATCAACCTTAATAGGGGAGTGCTTTTCCCTGATTTCGGTGAGTGTTCTTCACTATTTGGAGGGGAACCCCCAGAGTAATAAACAGGGGTCAACATTGTTAGTCATGGGGCCTGAAGGTGGAGGGAGGCAGGGGAGAGGCAGGGAGCCTAAACTGGCCCCGCCCCTGTGAGTTAAGATATTTTTGGAGCCCGACATAAATGAGGTCTCGCTTTTGGCTTCCCTTTGAACCAACATTTGAAAGGGTTCTGCAACGGACCCGAAAGGGAAACGGCAATCTTGGGTCCGGGTCCCCCCACGTTTAAGACAACCCCGGATGTACCAGCATGTTGCTTTAAGCATGGTCATTCCTCACAACATGCTCTACAGCCTGGCACCCTCCAAAATATGCGGGGTTTCGATTGAACACGTTTCTTTCCAAGGTTTAAACTAAAACTTGTCCTACATCCTGGGGTGTGCGGGCGGGCCGAAACAGTTCAAGATAGGGTCGTAGGCTCGAAAGGCCAGTCACTCGCTCAAGTTAGTTTTGGTGCCCGGTTCAAAAGCTGGGGGATTGGGGGATTGGGGGTAGCTTGAGGTAGGTGAGTCTTAGGGTAGCTTGGGGTGGGAGAAAGGTAGCTCAGAGGATTGCCAAAGCGGGGAAGTGGCGGGACTGCGAATGCTCAGGCCCTTTGCGCTGGACGGGCGCAACGCCAGCAGCTGGCGGGGCCACCTGCATCGCGTGGGCCACAGCAAGATGTCGTTTGAAGCTGAATTCGGCCCAGCCTTGGTTACTCTGTTGCCCGGTGGTGCCCTTCTTTCCTTTTTTGGGGGGGAAGGGTTCCCCTCAAAACTCAACCAACAAAGAAAGGGTGCCCCTTTTTTCCCTTGGCCACAGCACACACTCTCATATCAATTTAAAGTTGCGCTGTCCTTCAGCCTTCTTTGGAGAGTGCATGCCTGTGTTTGTGGCTGAAACCCAGGGCATGCAAGATGGGGTTGAGTAAACGTGTGCCTGTGAAAGCGGTCTCATTCAGTCCGCTTCTGCTTTGAAAAGACTTGCATGCACGGCTTCTCACAAAGTGAGCATGCAGGGACTTGGTCAAAACCAGGGGCCCTTTTTTGATTCATTGCAGAGAAGAAGCTGCTCCCTGAAACCAGCAGCACATTTGTTATACTAGCGACTTCCGTGTTTGACATATCTCCATGAGTCAACAAGCAACACCTGCGTTGTGCACATGAGTGGAGGGCACACCTTGCCAGTGTTGTCGTTGTGTTTGTTGCTCAGCTCTTTTCTGAGCATATTCCAATGTGTTCTCGCTCACGGATTTGGCTTTTGCAGCTTCTTTGGCCACACTAGCATCAAACCTTAGATCAAAATCATGTTCAAAACTGCTCTTGCACAGCGAACTCCCACCCTAAACCAAAGCGCCACAACCCAAACACCAACTCTATCCCAAATCAACCCTGATCAGTATCCTGCAACCTCTTTCGCTACTAGGCTTGGCTTACCTTGTTAAATCAAGTCTAAGCAAGCTGTGACAAACAAGCAGCACACAGCAACCAACAAACAAGAAGCAAGCAACAAGCAGCACGCCTCAAACAACAGACATTTGGTTGCTAGCGTGCCAAGGGTTTCGCAGTCATTAAGGCCATCTTATGTGACCCGGTTCGTGCCATCAAAGGCTTTACGTCCACACAAACACTGGGGCGCGCGGCCGGCACGGACCTTCGAGACGCCAAATTTATTTGTTCAGATCCTCCAGTGTTGACGCCGGATCTAAGTAGAACCCTTCCTGTTATTAGGGGCGGCACTGCTGAGTGGTTGAGTGGATTGCGCTGCTGTCGGCCTTTGTGCGAGTGCCGGGAATATAGGGGTGGGGGCCCTCCAAAAGCGATGATTCCCCACTCAAACGGGACACCACCCTATGAATCCACCAGGGATTTGTTCATCCAGGGTTCCCGTTGGTAAACACTCGGCAATCCAATCCAAGAACGAGAGTAGCACCCACGATCCTGCCGGGGATTCTTTGAGGTTTGTTCACGCAGGCGACCTTACTCGTCTTCGGGGAGCTTTTGACTCCAAGCCAATCCCCTGCATTTTCGGTGCAATCTGCTTCCCTAAGGCAGATTTGGCACATCAGGTTCAGGGAGCTCCTGATTGAGCCAGGCTGAGGCTTTGAGTCCCTCACCCTTGGGCTGGATGGCAAATGCACCCAGTTGGACCGGAGAAACGCCCAGCCCCCCAGGTGCCTTGCGTGGATGTGTTCCAATCCACCTGGGGCTCCGGCTTCTGTAAACCCTTCTACCGGTCATGGCGGTAGCAGACGCCTCAACTGCTGAGACTTTATAACTTTTTGGTTGAAATCATGGGGTTTTCCACTAACCCCCCCCCCCTCCCCCCAAAAAGAGTGAAGAGCAGTTTGCAGGGGGGTCAACAGCAACCAAGACGCCAAAGAAGGGCAAAGGCCCTTGCCAAGGAGCCATGGGTTGCCCAAGATTTCACGACCTATACTCGAAGCCAGCGGTTCCAAGCCTTGGAATTCCCGTGGTGACACCCCTCCAAGGGGCGATTTGTCTACTTGGCCAATGGGTTTGATTCGCCTGATCCGGCGCAAGTTGAGTCCAGGGGTGTTTCTGCGGGTTGCTCGGGCTCAGTGGTTGGACATTTTCATCCGAGTTCTGATGCCAACCTGTCCTTCTAACAATCCATATTCACAGGGGTCTGTCTCTTATTTTAAGGCTAGGTCCCCCAGCTAGGTGCCCTTTTTTGAGGGAGGGCTCCCCTGCTAAAATAGACTACAGGAAAAAAGTCGGGCACCCTTATTCGAACCTCTCTACTGGAGGACCTAGAAGGAAACCTACAAGATGGTAGTTCTCCTTTTGACTTCCCCTTGAACACCTGCCAACCAAAAGTGCCCAGCCTTCTAGGATTTGATTCCCCCTTCTTTTCAACCATCCCGGCTGTTTCCCCTGTGTTTTTGATGGTTTCCTGAAAAGAAAGATCCCTGGAAAGAATGGAAATGGAAGGTACCCCTAGCCTCCGAAAAAGCGACAAACCGGGCCGTGAAGGGGTGGGTTTGGTCGGGGTGAGGTCTGCTGAGTCTGCTGGACTTCAGCCTGCTGAGCACCAGCTGGAACCGCCTGGTCTTCAGCGGCCCCTCGGGGAAACCAAAAAACACGGAAAAAAGACATGCATCCGGGTGGGTGGGCTGGGAAACCAGGGGAAACGGCAAGGTTTACCATGGATTGTTTTTGATCAAAGCACCCGCCAAAAAACCGGTGGGTTGGGGAAGCGGGAAATGGGAGTTCACACTCGCCAGAATTTCGCTGGTTGGTGGCTTAGATGCGTGGGATTGGCTCAAGCAGCCGGCCCTGGTACCCTTTCAATTTGGGCGGGGGATGAATCAAATTGCGTTTTGCACAGTGGATGGCTAAACATTCCGAAGCAGGGGGTTGAAACGTCCAATCCTGGTGTTGGCGGCCGGTTCTTTTTAGGTTTCAGGAGCATAAGCAGTTCTTTTCGTGCTTCCCCTTGTGACGGTTTTGATAACATCATTTTGGAGTCAGGGTAACCTTTTTTGACTTGTTCCATGTTTGGAGGTTCCAAAAAGGTGAGCTTATTTTTGCGGCAACGCAGAGGGTGAAGCGCAGGAGCGTGCCAAACAGCACCCACGATTAAGACAGATATTTTGGGAGATGAAGCCATAAGAGCCATATTTAGTATGAGCAGACAACTTCTGGGGCAGTACGTCCCCTTGTACCTTTCGGGGGGGCCCTCTATTCCAAAAAGTCATCGCAAGGGCCAAAGTGCCTGAAACAATCCTCCACCCACCCGGAAACTCGCTTATGGAACCTCGGCCCCGTTAACGATTCCAGAAGCTTCCCTTTCACCTCAAACCTCAAAAGGTGGACATAAGCCCCCGAAATGTCCAAAGGTTTTCCAATGAAAGTTCCTCCCGCGGCCCTGCCAAATTTATCGGCAGCATATCCGAGGCTGGCCGCTGTTGGCCGTGCTACACCGGCTCCAGGAGGCAGCCGGAGGGATTTTTGTTTGGCTTTGGGAAGCTCTACGTCCCCCTTTTTTCAGCGCGCGGCAGAGACATGATCTTAGAGGGTGGAATCCTCTGAATTTGGGAAGTACACATTCGGACCAGAAAAGGTGAGTTGAGAGTCGGCCCATCTTTCGGTTTCCCAAAAGTACAAGCACCAGCCCCGGCACCTTTCGGTTTCCAAATTAAAACCGCCCACCAAAAGTCAAAACAGAAGCACCCAAAAAACACCACACGCACACGGGGGCGCTGCTCTTCCCATGGTCGCGCCGGCCGAAACTTCTCGGCCGCGCGTCCCGAGGCCCACTTCCGGGGCGCCGGCTGCGAGCTCGCGGAGGGCTACGGCCTGCTGAGCCGCGCGGCCCCGCGCTCCGTGCGGGCCTTCGTTCGAACGCGGCTGCGGGTTCGGGGTTCGGGTTCCGCTCAGCCGGCCGTCCGGTTGGGCCTTTTTGGCATTTTGTGTTTAGTGTTTGGCGGCTCCTTAGCCTTTTTAGCCTTTTGGTGTTTTTGGTGGCGGTTTCCATTGAACCCCCTAAAAGTTAAAACAACTTTCAGCGGGGGATCCGAGGGCAGCCCAGTTTCCTCGTGGAAGCAAGACACAAATCGCGCTTTCTGGAGTTGCATGGGGGTTTGTGAGGTTTGCTTCGGAACCTTGTTGGGCGATTGAAGCATCAGTTTCCTTTGATCGGGCTCTGTGTATAGCTTCCGCGGGACTTGAATTGAAGAAAGCTTTGCCACCTTCCAGGTGGCAAAGCTGTTCACATACCACGGGAGGAAAGCATAAGGACAAGGGCCCCAACGATGGCTTCACGCCCACTTATCTTGCTTGTCAAAACAGCCACGTGGAAGCTGCGCGTTGCTTGTTGTAAGCGGGTGCTGAGAAGGACAAGCGCACCAACAATGGCTTCACGCCCACTTATCTTGCTTGTCAAAACAGCCACGTGGAAGCTGCGCGTTGCTTGTTGTAAGCGGGTGCTGAGAAGGACAAGCGCACCAACAATGGCTTCACGCCCATTTATCTTGCTTGTCAAGCCGGCCGCATGGAAGCTGTGCTTTGCTTGTTGCAAGCTGGTGCCGACAAGGACAAGTGCGACGCATGTCCGCTTAGACTCGCGCTGCTTGCTTCAAGCCAAAGTGTGCTCGAATGTCTTTGGAAGTTTTGTCCTGCCGACATTTGCCATGTTGCCGTAGTTATTTGGAAACGATGTGTGGGAGCATGGCTGCTGCATTGGATCAGGGAAAAGATCGCGGACATTGCTTGAAGTTGCTTTCTTGGTATCAATCAGTGATCCTTTTTTTTAGATTGTTTTTTTTTTTTGCAGAGCACGCTGTATGCATTGTTGCGCGCGATGCTGCCCAACTGGGCTAACTTAGGCGCCTTTTGTGCTGCACGAGTCATTCATGGGGACGCCTTGCCATTCTTAAGTGGCCATTACAAAAGGGCAGAGCCCGCAGAAGACTTTGGCACAGAGCATCGCATCCGCTTTTTGGATCTGGTGCAGCGGGATGGCCCTATCTCCCCTTGTGGACTAGGCCAATAACTTCCATCCCCGCTCACCCTTCAGGTTGGGTGGGTGTTGGGGGAAATCAGCTCAAGTGCCCCGAGCCTGACCCAAAAGCTGGTGGCTAAGGGTAGACCGTTGGAGTCACTTGGCTTGGCCCGATGGCTCTATCCTCTCTTGGCTTGGCTTCCCACGAGGCCTCCCGACTTTTGCCTCTCTCCCAGCAGCTTCCGACCCCAGGTCTGGCTGTGCCTGAGCCGCGGCCAGGATCTGGTGGCAGAGAGGTCGGGGGAAGCTCCTGCGCTTGGTGCGAGAGATGCAGGGGATGAGAAATGAAAGGACTCCGGGCAAAAGCCATTCAACGGGTGGTGTCTTCTTTTTTTTTGGGGGGGACCAAGGCCTGGCTCTTTTTTACATTCCCTTCTGAGCACCAGCAAGTTTCATTCAGTGGTCCCTTTTTCTCACTGTGGCTTCACAAGGGACATGTAGGGAGCAAAGTCATAGACGTCGGGGTAAGGTATAGCCATGTCCGTGAAACCAGACGTTACTGAGAGTTTCACGCTGGCCCGTTCGCCCACCACTTAGAACCTTTTGATCTGGCCGTTTGATTTAAAGTCCCACCATCGTTTGTTAGTGATTCGCAGACGTTTTGTGATGACGTCACCTTTTGAACACACACACACACGCACACAAAACCGCCGCATCTCCGATTTCAAAAGAATCGCTGCAGACATGGGCTCCAATCGACACCCCTTCAATCCCGGGCTCGTCCCTGGACGTGCCGGAATTGGCCCATCTGGAATATGTTTCGGTTCAGTCAGACTTCTGTTTTTCTCCTTCAGCCCAAGCACTTCAGTGGTTCAGGCTCACGAAGTCGGGGAGTAACGTTGATCTTCAGATTGCCAGGCTCGAGCCTTGCCCGTTTGCCTCACTTGCCCAAAGCAAATCAACCTGTGACCTTCTGGTTCCGTTTTGGGCCCATGTTTAGTAGTGACAGTTTATTTCTGGGTCCAAACTGGTTGCAAATCAGTCCAACCAACACCAAGTGGCCCTTACACGGCATTCCCTGTCATTCCCCCAGCCACGCAAATCCAAGGGTTCGGAAGCCTTGCCCGTTCTTTGGGCAAGTGTCGCCAGTGGTCACCTTTGATTTCTCTGAGTTGAAGCAAGGGACCAGTCCCCACTTTTGTGTTCTGCACCCAGAAGAAGAGTTGAGATCACACCACCATGGGTGTCTTTTGCAGGCTTTGATCAGCAATAGATGGGTTACCAAAAAACCCCATCTACACCACTGAACCATCCAACCGAGTTTGCCGTTTTTGCGTTTTCCTTCAATCCCCGCTTCGGCGTCTTCGCTCGGCGTCTCGGCGCGCGTCAGGTGGCGTTTGTTCGGAGAGTTCCCGGACTGCTCCCAGATCGCCCGGGCGCGGACCTCGGAACAGCTGGTCGTTGAGCGGCTGACCGCGGAGGGGGCGTCCCCCCTGTTTTTTTGCGGGGTTCCTGAGCAAATTGGATTGATTCCCTCCTTCTTTTTGGGGATTTCATTTGTGGGCAAGCCCGCGGGGTTGGCTCCCTTCCGGGTTTCGCTTGAGGCCATGGGCGATGGAGACGGCTGCCTCTTCCTGGACGTAGGCCATTCGGATGTCCATGGATGTCCGCTTTGGGGGGGGTCCAGTCCAGTTTTGTCGCTCCCCAGGTTCGTGGGCAAACGGAAGGTCCAGTTTTGTTGCCAACCCACTTCGGAAGTGAGTTTAAGAGTGGATTCGCCGGTTGGAGGTGTGGCAGATTTGGAGTCTTGGAGCCCCCCCCTTTCTATGGTTCATCTCAGGTCCTGCACTTTTTGGGGGGACCCCCCCCAAATGTCATCCGCTGTTTTTGTTTGTTTGTTCGGCGACGCCATGGGGTTCCTATGAGGCGCCAACCTCGGGGGCTGCTCGCTGCAGCTGGCGCGCCAGGCCGAGTGGAATTCACAAGCCCCCAGGGCGTGGCCTTGCCCGGTCTTGGGGAGTCTTTTTCAGGCCTGGGAACTTCTTTATCTCACTTCCTGAGTTCATGAACTTCAAACTTTCCGCGAACACCATTTTAGTGGTAAAAATAAAGTTTGGACTTTTTTTGAGCCATCCACTCAGCCAGTGAGTTATAACCACGTTGGTAGAACCCAAAGTCAAACAAAATTTTGGGCGCCGCTCGCTTGGTTACGCGCGACAGGCATGTGCCGAGTGGGCAGATTGGAATCTTGGCTTGGGGTTTGCTCCGCAAGGCTTCAGACGAATCGGGGCAGCATCCGCTTAGCACCCAGAACCCCCCCGTTGGCAATTTTAGACAAAGGTCATTGCTACTTAGCTAAGCAGTTGAGTAGGGACAACTTAAACACCTTCGTATCCATCTTAGTTGAAGCAATTTTCAGGTTTTGGGACATGCTGAGTTGTTCAGTGGACGTTGCTTAGTCGTTCAGTGGCCACCATGTTCCTTGCAGTATTGTCGTTCTGTGTTGGGTGCTGTACTCACATGGTCAAGCCACAAGCGGGTCCTCTGCTTTTTGACTCAACCTTCCGGGTCGCAACTTGGGCGCTCAAGATAAAACTCCAACAAGCTTTTGAGGTTTCTTGCAGCTGATGATTTTTCGTGACCTCCCCCCACTTCGGTGGTTTTAACACCCTTCCGGAGCCTCCGCATTCGCAGCTGCCGCAAGTTGGCCGAGCCCAAGTCGCAGTGGCCACTGCTGATGACGAAAACGCAAACTTCTTCCTGGCAAGGAGGCAACTGCACCACATCTGCCGGAAAAAAAGGTCGCAGCCGCACTTGTCAAAAGCTCCGACGCGATGTACCTCAAAAAGCGCCCAAACCATAGATGTCCTTCTTGGTTGATTTGGCTTAACAATAGAGGGCACTGGTTTACCTGGTCATTCAATCAACTACCAAGGCCATCTATTTTCAACCAAAAAGGACACCCATGTCCCAAACTGTCCAAGAGCTCCGGGCCCGAAGCGAGGGCTTCGCCGTGCTGGCGCTGGAGCCGGGGAGGGAGGCCGCGCGCTGCTGGGCGCGGCGGCGGAAAGGAACGGCCTGCAGCGGCTGAAGGTGCGGCAGGCGGGAGGCGGGGGGTCGGTTTGGGGGGGGGGGGGGGAGGCAGGGAGTGGGAGCTGCGGATGCGTTTTTTTCCAGGGAAAACTAGTCGCTTTCTGTGTTCCTGGACTTTGTATACTTTTTCTTTGGGAAGACTAGTTGAGTGGTAAATGAAACAACAACTTTTGTTGGAGGCGGGAGGTTGGGGTCGGGTTGTGGTGTGACCAGTGGGTGAGTTGTCTAGGTCCCCCTGCAATTGGTGCCCTTTCTCACCGTTTCTTTTTTGGTTGGGAGGGTTCCCCTACTAAAATAGACCACAGAAGAAAGGGTACCCTTATTCTAACCTCTTTACTGGAGGACCTATTTGTTCAATGGGGGAAGCTAGTCACTTCCTGCGTTCATGGACTTTAAGACTTGTGGGGAAGACCAGTTTAGCGGCAAAGCCATGTGTTTGTTTGGCCAATCCACTCAGGAAGTATGACTAGAAGCACCCCCACCATTTGTAGGCTTGTTAAAACCGGTTTAAACGGGGGCTGTTCAAAGGTTCAAAGTCAATCCGCAAGATCCTTACCTGGGTTACAAGAAGTGTTGGTCCCTTTGTACTGGTTTGCGAATTGGCAGAAAAAGGCCCCCGCGCAAACTTGGGGGACCACGCGATTTGCCGGCGTCGTTGTCCCACGAAACCAGCCCTGTTGTTCTCAGGTTCTTCACTGTTCAGCTTCCAAACATGTATCCTTTGTGTAGATCTCTTCATCATTTACTTGTTTGAGGGGGGGTTCCCTCCAAAGGAGACGCACCCATTTCAGGAAAGGCCCGAAAGTCTAAGCTTTCTTTGGCCAGTCAAGTCTCGCACAAAACTCAGGAGACTCAATCAGTCAGAAACCCCGCGTCCGTTACATGGGGTTTCCTCCAAAACCATATGATATTTCAGGGTAGGCTAAACATGAAGCAGGATTCTGTGTGCTCTTCAGATGTGGGCCAAGATTCAGCTTCCCTTCGATTCGGTTTGGAGGTAGGGGGTTCCAACTTGCGCAAGAACCAGGGGTCGTCCCCAGCCACTCCGAGCCACCAAGACATGGTTGTCGTTGGGACATATTTTGCATTTTTGCTTTTTGTGGTTTAGTGGGAAATCCCCACTTAACTGCAAAAAAACATGATTTTTTGCTCCCCTTCCAACGTCAACCAAAACGACCTCAAGGATGAATCCCCACCACTCCAAACCGCCAAGGGGTTACCTGGGGCACCGACCGCATCTTCCTCGTTTTCGGCCGCAGGCGGCGGCGGGGGCGGAGCAGGGCCGCGCGCGGCTGCGGTGCCGGCACAGCGCCACCTGCCAGGCGACACCCCGGAAGTCGAGTTTTGTTCTGTGGGCGGCTCGTTTTTTTTTTTTTTTTTTTTTTTTTTTTTTTTTTAATGAGAAGAAAAACAACAAGTAAAGCATATTATTATTATTATTACTATTATTTTGGGGCGGAGGGGGGGGGGGTCCCAGCACATGGTGTCCTTTTAAAGCAAAACAGAACAAGGGGTGGCCTTCCTTTTGGTGTCCTGTAAGACGAACAACAAGGGATCTCCTTAAAAAAGGATGGACCCGTATTGAGCTTTCTGGGTTTCAAACATCACCGAAATCGGCTAATTTAAGAGTTTGCCTAGGGGTGACGTTGGGATTGGAAGGTCTTTGGCGTGACCTCAGGACCCTTGGCATTAGACCTACAAAACGTTAACTGGACGTTTGGCTCAGGGGGGAAGAGCAAGCAGCCCAGTAGTTGGGTGTCCGCCCCGCGACAAGCAAGTGGGTTGTAAACCATGGTTGTAAGGGAGGTAATCCCAGATGCCCAAGTTGCAACCATGGTTATGTCCTACTTACTATGTGGGTATGAACATCCAAGTATGGCCCAAGCCCTAGTTTACAGGTTGGTCCATTCACAGCTGAAAGGGATACACACATACACACACACACACATATATATATATATATGTAGATTTAACCAGCGCTGAAGCATCAACAATTCGGGCTGCTTTTTCTCACATCGGCGCAGTCAGCCTTTGAACAGGGTCCCTTTAGGGATAAGTGTGGGCCAGTCAAACAATCACCTTGTCCAGCTGATTTCGAGAATCCCCTCGTAGAGCAGGTGCCTTTGGGATGCATCCTTCAGTAAACCCTGCATGCAGCTGCTAAGGGTCAGTCAAAGGCTCTAGGGCCCCCTAAAGAATCCCAAAAAATGAAGAGCCAGGCATACCTACACTGGGTCCGCCAGTAGTGCCCTTTTACCCTTGTTTGGGGGAGGGTTCCCCTACTGAAATAGACTACAGAAAAAAAGTTGGGTCCCTTATTCCAACCTCTCAAATCTGGAGGAACTAGTACAAGACAAAGTGCCGCAGCGCCTTGGGGCAAGTTTATTCTCAACTGCTCTTGGCATGTGCCCGAGGACCTCGATCTTAGTTCCGTTCCACACGTTTTGCCGGGGGCTGCAGCAGAACAGAGAAGCAGTGTTTGGTTTTTTTGTTTTGCGAGGGGCTTCCAGCGGAGGATCAAAAAGTGGGACGGTAGCGCATCTTAAAAGGTTGATATCCCACTCATTCTTTTCACCCGCAGTTCTTTTGGGACATGTGCCAACTTTCACAGGATTGTTTTTCTGTGCCTCCGTGTGAAATCAAGGATCCCTGGAAAGATTAGGGGAAGTACGGCTGCATTACTTGTCACGAGTCACGGTGGTTCTGCTTTGCTCAGGTGGTTGCAGATGGACTCGATGCGGAGGTGGAGATGGCGACTGGGCCATGAGAACACGAGGTGTACCATTGAATCCGCGGCTAAGAAAACGCAGCCGATACACTTTCCCGTGCACCGTTCAGGCTCAAAGGGGAGATTTTTTTTCTAGTCATTTGAGCAGGTGAGGAAAGAGGGCGTGGGTTTCCATTTGGTTTGCCTTTAGCCGCCCTTTAAATCAGCTCCAAAAAAGAGCACCCTGAACAGAGAGCTTGTTGGTATTTCCCTTGCATGCCAGTTTCAGCAGTGTTTCCACCTTGCTGTTTGTTGGGGTGGTGACTTGTTGGGGGTGCGATCTCGGTATTACAGAAGTTGGGAAGGACACCTCTTTTCTTTTTTTTTCAGTTGGTCTTGGATGGCATTTCCAGCTTTCTCAACCCATTGACCACCAGACGAGCTCGGCGCCCACGCACGAAGCACGCGACGCGACGCTCGCGTCCCTTTGGCCGAGGTGACGCTGGACGCGTTGACCCGAGGGAGGCCCCCCTGCGCTCTGAAGCTCGACGTGGAAGGCTCCGAGGCGTCAGATGGAGTTGCGAAATGGAGGGGGGAGGGGGGGGGGGGGTGCGAAGTGGCGCATTTCGTTCAATAAAAAAAATCAAGAAGGAAATGGGTTTAATAGTCTTGTAGTTCATTTCCGAAAGCAAGAAACACTTCCTTCAACGCAGGCATTTGTTGTTCTTGTGCTTTGCAGATTCTGCGGCTCTTGGGGAACCTTGGGGGCAGCTGTTTGGGGAGTTGCGTCCAAGAGCAACCCATGGTTGTGGGAAGTTGGGGCTGGGCTCACTTTCTGTGCCAAAAGAGAAAAAGCCCAGGAGAGAGCATGCAGTGCGGATGGCAACCACTTTGGTTTCACAGATCTGGTGTATCACCGACATGAAAGCAGCTTTTGAGCATGCCCTGGAACCCCTTGGCTTGGTGTGCCTTGTTTTCGCACTTGTTTCCTTTGTTGATTTCCTTGGGGCGCGGGGGGTGTTGGGCAGATGAAGACGGCTGTCTTTTCGCAAAGGGCCGCGAACGATTGGAAGCGGGCTGCAAAGGTTTGGGCAGGTTGGCGGGACCTGTGGTCCTTCCGCTGATCCCATCTATAACTCACCCCCCATCAAGTCCTTGTTCGAGCACAGTCGAAGCTTAGGGCCTTAGCACAACAAGAGGACGTCCAGCCCCCTCAATTTTCGGGGAACCTAGATGGGTTGTCTCAAAGAGAACCCCCTGCTCAACCTGGGGGAATATGTCCCTTAGAAACACCCAGGGGGTTCTAGGGATCCCCTTGAAATGGTTGGTTTCTTTCTGGCTTTCCTTTAAATAACAGGGGGTGGGTCCACGTGGTTTTTTTGGACCTCGGCTCCGGTGTCGCGCCGGTGTCGCGCCTGGCAGGAGGAGGTGATTCTGGGGGCTTCGGAGACCTTGGGAAGGCGGCCCAAGTGGGGGCGCCTGGCTGGGGGGGGGGGGGGGGTTTCCCGCCACAAGCTGGTTTCGAGCTGATTGGTTTTACCTCTTGGTTTGTGGGTCCAAACAAAAGGTGGGTCAACAAAAAACAGGGCCGGTTCTGGGGGGGAGGAGGTTTTGGAGGCGGCAACTCTTTCCGGTACTGGTCACTTGCGATCGAGTGACCAAACAAATTCCCAAGCTGTTTGTTTGCCAGCAAAGTGGTGTTCCTCAAAAAGTGACTAAAGTCCATGAACTGTCCTCGTCTCCGTGATTTCCTCGAACCCGAGTGTCGGGATGGTGCCAAAAAACAAACAAATGCCGCTTTCCAGGGAATGCCAAGAAGGGGGTGGCCTCAGTGCATTCAACTTATGCAACCTTGGAGTCGGTTCCCCCCGTTTATTCCCCCCATTCATAGCTCGTCATGCTCCGGGCCCTTAGCGGACAAGCCGGATGGATCCACCGGGACAAAAGTGCTCAAAGACGGAAATCGGTGAAACACGCAGTAAGCGTGCTTCCTAGAGACGTCACCGCACCAAACTGAAACTGGCTACCCAAGAGGCAAGATAAGATTCAACACCACCCGTCTAAAGGGAGAATCTGGGACCCCTCCACTACTTGACTCTCGGTTTTCCTTTTGGTTCCCCTATAAACGCCACCACCCCAGGGACCCGTACCCTCAACCTCCAAAACAGACCACGAGGCACCGCGCCGCGCCACCGTTTTCGCTTTTTCCCGTTTTCCTTTTTGGTTCCCCTGTAAAGCCACCAGCCCCGGGGTGTACCCCACCTCCCAAAAAACGACGAGCCTCGGAGCGAGCCGACCGAGCCGTGCGGCCCAGCCGTAGCGCTCGAGCCTCGAGGCTCTTTTTGGAGCTCCACGCCTTCGAGCTGCGGCAGCGCGGCAGCTCCAGCGGCCGCGTCGTGGACCGGCGGGGCCGTCGGGCCGTCGGGCCGTCGGCCGGGGCCGAGCGCTTCGGTGGGCGGCCGAAGAGAGCCGCGAGTTGTTCAGAGCCTGGGTTTCCCAGCTAGGTGCCCTTTTACCGTTTCTTTTTTGGGGGAGGGTTCCCCTACGAAAATAGACTACAGAAAAAAGGGAGCCCTTATTCTAACCTCTCTACTGGAGGACCCAGGGGCGGTTTCGTTTTTTTTTTTTTTTTTTAATCCCCGGCCAGATTCGCCAGACAGGTTTGCCCCCCCTTGACCTGCCTAGATCCGAATCGACCGGCAACCATTTTGAGTCATGGCCCCAGGTGAACCTTTTACTTCTGGGTTCTTTGGGCAGAGCGTTTTAGGCTCCTGGCGGACCTGAAGTACACCAAGGCTCGACCGGGCGCAGAAAAAGCGGGCGGGAGAGGGGTTCGTTCGGGGTCGCGGAAGGCGGGCTTTCTGCCGGTGGATTGCATTTTGTCTGATTTGATATGTTTGTTTTAAAATTTTGTTTGTTTGTGGTGTTGATTGTTTGTTTTGGTGTGTGAGGTGTTCTGTGTTTGTTTGGATGTGTTTGTCTATTTGTTCGGTTTGCTTGTTTCCTTTGGTTACTTCAAGTGTCTCAAAGGACCGCAATAAGTCAGGTCAGGGGGTGAGGGAAGGTTGGCCCCTGAAGGCTCTATTTGGCCAACTGGGATGTGGAGGCTTCACCATATTAAAACCAAATGGGTGAAAATGCTGCGCCTGCTTTTCTGGTGACTGGCCAGCACTGGAATTCGCCCAAACCAAAGATAACTTGGCATTCATAATATATGTGTGTACATCTATATACAAATATGCATACTATATATGGAACTTTCTCCACATGTTGGGCCCCTTTCGGTTGGCAGTAAAACGGAGGCCAAAAGAAGACCACTACTTGCAAAAAACCCAGGCACACACCCACACACCCGCCAAGAACCGGCCACACGTGAAAAGTTCCGATCACGCGTACCAACCTGCCCAATGGCGTTTGTGGAGAAAACTGGGGCGAAGGTTTAGGTCTGAATATGAACCAGCATCTGAACATTTTCTTGTTGTGTAATTTTCTACCTCAACTTTCCCCCCCCCCCCACAAGAAAGAGGTTTGCTTCCGGCCCATATTTAGCGCACCTTAAAACACAGTTAGCGCACCTTAAGACACCAAGCGTAGTTCAAGGCCGATATCGAATTGTTGATTTGAAAGGGTTTTGCCCTGAAGCCCAGAGAAAGGATTGCAAAAGGGGCCGTTAAAGCCTGATGGGCGACGGCCTTCACCCCCGCCGATGAACAGAGCCGAAGACCAAAGAGGCAAGAAGCTAAGCACGCAAGAATCCCCACCCCGATTGCGACATATGTGGGCGACAATGGCGTGCAAAGGGAAATCGCGTGGGAATCATGCTTATTGGGGGTGCGGCTCCCTAAACATTACTTGGAGGGGAAGGGGATTGTCAAGGAACATGGAGAAGCCATTGGGCAGCCCTGGGGTCTTCAGCCGTGCGTGTACGCGTGGGAAGGGCTTACCGGCTTAAGGATCCGGCGGCAGGCCTGGCAAAGGGAAGTAATTCCAACCTCTGTAGGTACACCCTTTGAAAATTAATTGGGGAAATGACTGGTTACCTGCTATGGGATCCATTGGGAGTATTTTCATTTTCTACCCGCAGAGGTAACTAGAAGCACTGGACTGGGTTTTTCCATCTCTCCAAGAGGCTAAGCCCCTATGAAGCACTCCGGCAGCTCGCCATGACAAGCAAGTGATCAGTGCACGGAAGTCAGGAAGTGCTAGAGGAGCGGTAGGCCAAATTTCGGAGATTTCCGGTACTTAGCACTACTTGGGCGATTGTCCTTCGGATGTTGCTGGCTGGCTCTCAGTTTTTGACAGAGGTTTCGGGACTGCCCGTCAACCACCCAGATTTCCTGTGGGTGGTTTGTCGGATCGGGTGGATGGATCCGCCCCATTGGTGAGGTGGAGACTTTGTTCCCTGATGCCTGCCTGGAGAGCGGGCCTGGCGCTCAGGAGCGGATGGAGACTGGTGGCTCACTGAGAGATGAGTTGGGTGTGGCCAAATGAGTCACTTGCTCAAAGCGCGGGGATTGATGAAGGTTAGTAAGGGACGCTCCCAACCATAAATTGCTGCGGATCCGGCTTCTTAATTATTTACATGGTCTTGGGTGAACCATTTGTGTACCGGGTTTTGATTATGACTCAACTGCGTTGGTAGCCTCACTCGCATGCAGGGTTGCAGGCCCAGATCATCCCCTCTAATTTCAGGAATGCCTGGACTTGAGAGTCACTTTTTGCGTTTGGACTTGACCATCTAAGTCAAGCCAATAGTGGACTTTTTGTGGCGACGTGGGCTTGTCCAAGCCTGAGACTTACAGGGTCGATCGGCAGGGAAGGCGGGAATGATCCCGACAAGAACCTTCGATCTCGGTTTTCTCTAGTCTATACTTGATTCCTCTTGGGCATTTGGGCCGTATGGGTTGCCTATGGGGATGCTCTTGGGATTCTTGGAGGTATGACCCAAAATCGGCCAGTGACAAGAGTGGCCCTTACCTTTGGCTCCCTTGGTTCTTTATCACCGTGTAAGCCACAGTTTTTGATGTTTTTGTTCATGGCCACAGCGCCAGAATGAAAGGGCACCCTTTGGACAGAGGGCGCAGCTCCCCATTTTGGTTTCGTCAGCTGGCGAAATTGTGCCATGCAGTTCCGCCCCGACGCTCGCTCCATCAGAACTCCAGCGGGCGGCGTCATCGAGTCATCGAGTCGAGTCGTGCCGACGCGCCGAAGGCAGGGCGTGCCGAAGGGCAACGGCAGCTACCCGGCCTCGCGCTGGGACTCTGCCGAGGCCTTTCTGCCGCCCACCACAGAGGCGCTCTGCGTTGAAGTCCGGACGGAGGATGTGGCTATGATTTTCTAGAAGGGAGCCAGCGCCTGAAAGTGGTTGGTGGACAAAACCCTCCAAATGAACACAATCAAAACCCGGGTAGACTAAAGCATAGTAAGAGACAATCCCAGCCATAAATGGGGTGCCTGTGAAATCTTCACCAGGTTTGGGGTACCCCATTTTAATACCAGGTTTTGGTCAATCTAGGTGAGAGAGAAGTGTAGCTTGTGCCCTTGCAAAAAGCTCTCGCCCCAAAATGTCCTGTGATTGCTCTTGTGAAGGGCGATGAGCTTAAAAGCCGATCGGAGAACTGATAGGAAGAAAAAGGAGATACCAATGACCTGGAGTCGTGATGACTTTGGTCATGGTAAAATCTTTGATGCATTTTGCTTGGATGTTAGGACTTTAACTGTTTGCCAACTACTGGGTTTTCCATTAAACCACACAAAATATAAACTTTTAGCAGGGGAGCAGATTTCGCAACCGAGGTAAAATCATGAGGCCAGTTGGGGGTAAGAAGAAATGGCCGAGGGAAAGTCAATTCAACCATCCCGAATCACCATAGAATTGGAGGGGGTGGTCTGGTGAATCGGGGGTGGAGATCTGTCCGGGAATTTGCTGAAGGTCCTGAAAGGGGATGTTCAAGGTCTCACTTCCCGAGTTGAACTTTAAACTTTTCGGATTTGGACCATTTCAGTGGGAAATGAAAAGCTCAGACTTTTTTGGCCAGTCCACTCAGGTCTAAGGCTTTCAGGAACCCCGCCCTTTCAGAACAGGCAGTTCCACCAGAAATTCGGATTCCTGGTGGTTCGGCATGCCAGTTTCGTGGCAACAAGCACCTGGGATTCTATAACTTCAGGTGGGGTCATGAAACCACATTCGCCCGTGAATATGGTCTCAAAGAGAAATCGGGGGCCTCCAACATGGCAACCCTCAAGAAGCCAAGCGCACCCCCCAAAAAAGAAGAAGAAAGAACGAAAGAACACCCACACACACACACACACACCCATGAGGTGTCCTTGTGGCCCCCCCTTTTCATTTTAAAGCCTCCCAAAAAAAGCGACAAAAAACCGGCGCAGCCGCCATCGCGCAGCCGCAGGCGCAGCCCTGCGCCTGTGCGCGCCGGTGCTGGCGGGAGCTGCGCCCAGGCGCGTCGGAGTCTCGGTGGTTTGGGGAGGTCCATGGCGAAATGCATCTACATTGTCCAATTGATTGGGGAAATGCATCTACATTGTCAAATTGATTGGGGAAATGCATCTACATTGTCAAAAATACTGGGGAAATGCATCTACATTGTCAAATTTATTGGGGAAATGCATCTACTTTGTCAATTTGTTTGGGGAAATGCGTCTACATGGTCAAATGACTGGCCAAAAGATTTTTAACCTTTCGGGCAACAAAACTATCAACACGTCTACCACATGTTCATAGTTTGCCCACTAAGTCAGGTGAGTTCCACCTCGTTTTCCATGAAGCCACAAACAACTCGATGGACTCCGAAACGGTCAATTCCAAAATGCCCCATGCTGTTCTTCGCTCATTTATCTTTGTCGTGTTGTTCTTTTTCTGTTCTACAAAAAACTGTGTGCCTTGTCTGTGTTCTTAATGTTTTGCAAAAAATGGGGGTTTGCCATGACATTCCGTATGCTGTCCTTTGCTCATTTATGCGTGTTGTGTTTTTCTTTGCTTTTTTTGCATTTTTTCCAAAAAAATGCTCCCAATAAATTTGACAGTGTAGATGCATTTCCCCAACAAATTTGACAATGTAGATGCATTTCCCCAGTATTTTTGACAATGTAGATGCATTTCCCCAATAAATTTGACAATGTAGATTAATTTGCCCAGCAAATTTGACAATGCAGATGCATTTCCCCAATAAATTTGACCATGTAGACGCATTGCCTCAACAAATTTGACCATGTAGACGCATTTCCCCAATAAATTTGACCATGTAGACGCATTTCCTCAAGAAATTTGACCATGTAGACGCATTTCCCCAATAAATTTGACCATGTAGATGCATTTAGGCCCAATAAATTCAGTTTTTGACGCTGCGCCTGCGAAGGGTCGCACCGATGCTATTATGAGCCTGCACGCTTATTGTGAACGGGAGCGTGGCGAGCAAATGGCCAGCAGGTCGCCGAGCGCAATTTTTTTTTGACCTTAAACAACGGCGCAAGAGTTTTCCGTCTGTTTTCTGTTGAAGCCAACCCCCAAAAAGGGGCCGCCTTGAAAAAAGGCGGACCCACATGGGTCCGTTTTTTTTTTTTGGATGGTACCCTTTTCATTGAGGAGCCAACAGGAGAAACCACTCGAAATGTGGGGAACTCCAATAACAGGCCATGGTCAGAGATGGTCGTCCACCTGGTAGGGATCCTGGATCCTTAATATCCATGGTTTCCTAAACGGGCATGTGACCCAATCGGCCATATTCGAGTTTTGACCCTGGCGCGCACGTTCCCTTGGCCGATCCGTGCCGATCCGATCGGTGCGCCAGGCGAGGCTGCGGGCTGTCGGTGCTGGGACTTCGGCGCGGGGAGGTGTCAGCTCTACAGGCGAGGCGAGCGAGTTGAGATCCGTTTTTCGGCTTGGCTGATGGGGATATCTTGGGCTCTCTTCGCGGAGGGAGCAGAGACAGAGAGGGAGAGAGAGAGATATATACATATATATATATATATATAATTAGGTACCTGTATGTTGCGAGCCCGGTTTTTTGGATTTTGCTGGGCAGATCCTCTCGGCTCGCGGGTGGATTTATCCCGCAGAACCCATCGGCTTAAAACGCTTGCAAGACCAACCTTCCAGAGGTCAACTCATCGGACCGAAGAGGGATTCATGGAGTTTGTTTTCGGCAACCCACGCCCGAGGTGAAAAATTGGATGGGAGCAAGTTCAGCTTGGAGAGACCAAGCCAGAAATTTGTGTGGCAACGGTCCACGGTTTTCCGTTTCTGAAAGCCTTGCCTCTCCAAAACCCCGGCTGAACCGACCAATCAAAAGCTAAAACCCGAAACCAACTCTAAGCCGACCCAAACCCTCAACCGACCCCAACCACGAAATTTCGGGAACCCACATGGTTGTGGTTGGGAAAACATTTGTTTAAAACATTTTTGCTTATTGTGTTTTAGTGGGAAACCCCCACTTAAGTGCTAGAATGTTAGTTTTTTGCTCCCCTTCCAACGTCCACCAAGGCACCCTGGTCCCCACCGCCGGGCGCCTGAAGCGCCCACCCGCTCCGAAGCCGCGAGGAGCTGCCACCCGCCGGCCCAGCCCATCTCGGAGACGGAGAGCTTTGCGGGGGAGTGGAGCCATGGCCAAATGGCAGTGGGTCAAAAATAGGTACCCAAAATGAAACTCGGCAAGTGGAAACATGGATTAAAAGACCTGCGGTCCAATGGTGGCTTAGCTCTGACCCATACCCAAATTAGGAAGGAAAACAATTCCGGCCGGACGGGGATCCAACATCTCCTCCTTTTCTTTGTCACTCGGGATCCAGGGTCACCCTTTGTGTTTTCACTCCCAGGGTTCATGGGCTTTCATGAGTCATTTTTTGGGGTTTGGAACTGGTGCAGTGGCAAATTAGAAAGTTCCTATACTTTTTTGGCCAATCCACTCAGGAAGTGAGCCTTGGGTGGTTTTCAACTTTGTTTTCCAACGAAAAGGTGCCTTAAAGGAGACAAGAATCCCTTGAATGCCGGGCCAAGGTACTGGCCGCCAGCTGTTGGAGAAACATTGAAAAACACGGCTTGGAGGGACAAACTTGTGGAGCAGGTGCTATTCATTGGGTTGGATCTTTAGCCTTTCGCTTTGTTGGGGCATGATGCTGGGCAAGGCGGTTTTGCGGAGCATTGCCAGTTGCCCAGGAACTTAAACCTCGTGCTGTCGGCGGGCTCTCCGGCTTCGGACAAAATGGTTTCGCGGCTGGCGGCTGGTCGCGCCTGTTGCGTCCAGGGATCGCCTCAGCTGTAAAGACCCAAGGGATGCCGCCCAAAGGGGAACGCAAAGGAACCACCTTGTGTTCTTGGTTCACAGGGTAACATACATGTTTGCGTCTTTCAGCATTTATGCGTATCTTTTGTTAAGGGGACCCATGTTTGGAGTTGGTGTAAAGGCACACTTGCAGTAAAATGAGGTGATGGGAACGTGCCATCCGTCCGCATCCGTCTCGGCTTCACAAAGGGCTTGCCCTGTCCAGACCTGTGCAAAAGTAATGGACGGGGCCCTTTAAAACAAATGCCACAAGACTGGGATGTCAAGTGAGCTTTGTTATTTTTTTTTTATCAGTGCTTAGGGCCATGTGGGGAACCCTGGCCACACATGGACAACTTGGCTGGGCCGAGCGGACCCCCTGGCAAGTGACAAAAGCCACGGGAATTTGTAGGAGTTCCGTTGTGATGTTACAGAACGGGTTATTGCGCCGAAACCCTTGCAGGCAATTTCACTGAAGAGTTCTGATGGGGCTTTGCAAGGATAGCGAGGACTGCAGTGAGAGCCACACCGGGCATCGACACGTCCCTGCTGAGGAAAGCAAGCGAGACCTTTCGGGAAGGTCACTTTTGTTTAGTGGTAAGCAAAACGTTTGCTTGCTGTTTCTGACCTCCACTAAGAAAGTGACTAGAACTGCAAGTGAGTATGTTTTGAACCTTGCTAACTTTTGCACGAAGAACACCATGTCTCCCTTTTGGCATCAGCTTAAAGACCAAGCTGAAAAGGGCACCGAGCCTCGAGAAAAACGAGCGGCCCTCGCCATGGACGGAGATGTGGAGCTGCCGCAGCTGTCGGATGGCTATGAGGAGCTGGCGCACCCACCCCTGGCGCCTCGTGAGAAGTTCGGCTTTTGGGGGGGCTCCCTAAATGGGGAATTTGTGTTTTAAGGCCACCCTGTTTCGGGTGCGTTTGAAGGAACACCGCCATTTCTGGGTTTCCCCCTCATACCCGCAGATCGCCTTTTGTGTCATCAAAAATGTGAGTTCCTTGCGGGGTGAGGTAGAAGACTTCCCGAGTTCATGAACTTTAAACTTTTTGGTAAGACCATGTTAGTGGCAAATATCTAGTTTAGACTTTTTTTGGGCCATCCACTTGACTCCCACGTCCATGGCCAGACATGGACCCCAGCAGTGCCAGATGGTGGTTTCCCTTGTTGTGCTGCCTGCCTGTCCCATCAGAGATCCCCCCATTGCGATCAACCAAGTTTACCTTCCAAAGACGGAAGTGCACATAGCCTGTTGGGAAGACTGGTTGCCTTTTGGGCGCTGTTTGTGCACTTCCACATGGGTGTGGCTGGAAACGCATGTGCCAAACAATGGCACCTCAATGGAGCTAAAGACTAAGCCTGGGTAACATAAGCTTTTAGTTTTGAGCACCCAAGTGTGAGAGAAAATCGTCAAAAAGAGTTGAACACTTGGAACAAGCAAACCTTAGCTTCCTTTGGGGCAGCAATTCATTTCATATTGGCGCAAGGGGAAGTCGCACCTGGGGTCCTCGTCGTGCGGTACCTACCGTTCAGGTCCCGGAGGGCCGCTCGCTCTCGGGCTCGGGCGGTCTCTGGCGCGCGGGGGCGCGGTGTATCTTCTTCGACCTCACCTACATGCACGCGGCTCGGCAAAGGCGCCCAGGCGTGCGGTAAAACGGCAAATTTGCCTTGAAGCTCCCATCATGATGCAATGCTCGGCCATGCGGGAAGTCGCAGCTCCTAATGTGTTGCGCGAAATGGTACCAACATATTCAAAACACGTTTTGGGTATGTACTCTGCACGACCCCGTGCATAGTCATTTTGATGTCAATCGAGCGCCGAACCGCCTGACATCCGAGCGCGGCTACTGGGGGAGGGGGGTCCTATTGGCACAATATATTTTGCTCGCAGGCACCTGTGGCAACACCGAAGGATTTCCGGGGCCTGCAGGTTTTGGGATTTGGGGGTGTCTTTCTTAAGCCCCCCCGCAAAATAAAAAAGAAGAAGAAGATAATCTTATGTGGTTTTCTCTGTGGTTTTCCTTGACACTGCAGCACAAAAAGATGGGCACTTTCAAAGAAAGACGCACCCACTTGGTTTCGTAGACGAGTTTAGTTGTGAGTTCAGAGGCCCATGCGGAACCTGGTCTCTTCGAATGAGTTTGTGCAGTTCGGAGGAGTCAAGCAACTTGAAGTCCCTCTTTGTTTGGGTTCTCCACCGAGCACGGCCAAGTCTAAAACGGGATCCCGTTCTTTTCGGCCAGGGTCACTGGGCTGTAAATCGAAGACAAACCGGGGAAGTAGGCTCCGAGGCGAATTGGAATGATTCACGGACTTTGCAAGTCCAGCCCAATTTCACGGCCCCCTGCCTGTTTGGAGGCATAGCCGTGCCGAAACGGCCCAGCCGTGTTCACAGGGCTTTGGTTGAGCGGTTGAGCCGGGCCAAAGGAGAGTGGCCATTGAAGGTTCGGGGGGCCAAAGGTCAGAGGGGATGGTGTTTGGCACGGGGGGCTTTGCAGAGAATAGATCTTTGATTCGCGGGTCGGCCGCAAAACCTCCAAAAAGTTCGATTCTGTCATTTGATGAGCTCGATAGAGGAGTGGGCAGTAAAATGGAGTACCAAATCTCGACTGCGGATTCATAAGACTTCGGGATTTGACGGAGTGCTTCCCCCAACATCTAGTCTAAACATTGGAAGAAACCCTATTTCAAGAAGACACTTCGTTGAGCAACCGGGAATCAGCATTAATGCACACGAGCCAACGCACCATCGTGACAAGGGTTGGCATACGAGTCATTAGCCCCAAGCCACCCATTCGATAGCCCAAACTCGCGTATGTATTGAGATATAGCCCGCCCCCCCTCCCCCTTGCGTGCCAAAACAAAAGCCTCCTTCGTCGCAACAACTGACGACTTTCTACAAGGGGATCCCCATTTCTGGACACCCCCCCCCCCCAAATGCTCTTGTAAAGGCCAAAGGGATCCCCATTTCTGGACCCCCCCCCCCCCCACGAATCCGACGAATCCAACGATGTATTTTTTTGCCTGAGGGCCCGCTTCGGCGCCGATTTTTTTTGTTCATTGCCATCGGGGGGATCATTGGGCGGCGAGCCCCGGATGAGGTGTGGTCCAAGTTCCTCGCCTTCCTGCGCCTTGGGCGTTGGATCTGCCATCTTCGTTTTGGTTTTCAAGTGGCGTGCTGGGTGCTTTCTCGGGAATGAGAAATGGAGACCCAGGCTTCGGTCTTCCTTAAAGGAAACCACAAGGCATGGCTTAGATCTGGTTTAGATATGGGTTCTTCCCTTCCCTGGTTCGCCAGGCGGCTAAAAGGAAGCCACGAGTATGGGTTTTGGGTCATTCCAATTCTCTGGCTGAGAAGATGAAGCTTTTTGGTTGGGTGCCAGCTAGTGCTAGTTGGATTTCGGTCTTGGACATGTTACGCGATCTTCCTCAGGCGCACCGACAGGTTTTTTTTTCTCGGCAGAGGGCAATTGGCATCAAGGAACGTTGAGGCATCAAAACCGGGTGAGTGGAGGCCCCAACAATACATTGAAGAGGAGATCTGCCCCTTTTCATTCTTTACCATGGGTTTTGGGTAAGCAACTTCAATATCATGGTTTTGAGTTTGACTCAGTTCGGTTTTGGGACCAATTTCAGTGATACCAAAGGATCCCGGTGAGTGCCCGAGTAGTCCCTTGAGAGCAAGGAAGCCTTCATTGGTCTTGACATGTTGGTTTCCACTCAACATGTCCAAATGCTCCCATGTCCTGACTTGGAGCCGTTTGTTTCAACAAGACTGTGGATCCCGAGGGCCGAAGTTGGTTAACGTTGAAAAGCAGTGGCGAAAAAAGAGGCTTTGCCTGGAAGTCTCCCGTTTCTCCTTGTGGGAAATTTCACAAGGAAAGTCTGCCCCTTTGCTCCACCTTTGGTTGAGGGGACGTATTTTGGGTTCAAAGTGCCCCTGCAACCCCACTTCAGGGATTCCACCGGGATCTGTTGCTTGGAGCTGTTGGGAGATCTCCCGACTTGATAAGGAGGTGGGGGCATCACGTGGCCAGTTGCACATGACTCTCTTGTGGTGAGTACTTGCTTAGTTTCTCATGCTCCCTTCCCTTTGGGGAAGACTGCTGCAGTGGAAGTGTTCCCAAATTGCCAACAAGAAGGTCCATTTCCCAAAAGGTGAGTCCTTCCACACCGATGTCGGGGTTCCCGGGGCGGGAGTCCAGCCGGGCGAACCCGGTGATTTCAGCAACCGCACCGGGCGACAGCCGTTTTGGAACCCATGGGCCCATGGGGATTCGATCTTTTTCCCCATGGGAGTGAAGGCGGGAATGAAGGCGTTTCTTGGCCCTTTGGCGCGGCCCATGTCCTCAGTGGGTTGGATTGGAGGTTTGGGAATGCAAACGCGCGGTCCTTGTAGAGGTCCATTTTTTCGAGGATGAGAGGGGGGTATCAATCTTCGGCTAGTATTAGCTTTCAGGTTCGGATTGCGGAGCCGTCCGAGGATCTTTCGATTCCAGTTGTGGAAAACACGGGGTAGGCGTTTATCTGGGCGGGGCGGGGGGGGGGGGGTTAATAGGGGTGCCTAGAAAGGTTGGTTTCCTTTGGGCTTTCTACACTTTGGCGAAACTCCCCTCTCTCTGAGTCTGGGCAAGGTGCTTCCTGAACGCCACGCTGTTGCTGGGCGAGGAGAGTTTCTACTCGCTGCTGCTACTTGGCCTTGTTGGAGCTTCGCCCAAGCCGAAACTCTCCCGGAGTCCAGAAAACGAGCTGGACGTGTTTCTGCTTCCTCCAGAAAACGAGCTTTTTTTTTTTTTGGGGGGGGGGGGGCGGGGGGGGTGGGGAGTCAAACAAGCACGCAAGCGCACAGCCCCTCATTTGGAAGACTACTTTCACGAGCTTGTCTTTACGAGTTAGTCTCTTTTAAAACTTTTCTTTGTAGCAAGGGTAGGCTAAACATGAAATGTAGTATAGTTTGAACATATGTTATCATTTGTGTACCCTAAATGTGCTTTGAATAGGGCACCGCCTCACAATTGGTTGGTGCACCGGTAGACATGTATGTCCACCATGCGGGCTCCCCCGCTAAAGAGATCACATCTGTATTTTCGGAAGAGACCCCTCGCTTCCATTTGCTTAAGTCCGTTTGCTTAGCTCCCTCCCTGGGGGTTGCTGGACTTGATCCTCTTGAAGGAGGCCAGTTTAGCGGCAATTCACTCGTTCGGAAGCAAAGCAAAAAGCCGCCCTCACGGCCAGAGAGCCCCCCCCCCCTTTTTCTAGGGATTCCATTTGCCTTTCCTTGGAAACCCAGGCATTTGTTGGCCATGGTGGTTTGCCAACAACATATTGAGAGGAAACCAAATGAACCAGCCACAAAGCACCAACAACATATTGTTTTGGTTACCTACTCGAGTGGTTTGCCCACTGATCCACCGGGTCCTACCTCAACGCAGCCGGGGCTCCGGAAGCTGAGGTCTCAGCTGCCCTCCTCCTCCAGCTGCCTGCCGCCGGCTCAGCTCAAGCAAAGGGCCACGTGTGGCCAGGGCTTCCCGTGACGCTTCCTCTTTACGCATGCGGCTTTGTCTCAAAATAGGGATGCTAGCGCACCCCCCCCTCAAAAAAGGACAACCAAAAACATGGTTGTTTCGGAATTTGGTTGGTCTCAAAGTAGGGAATGCCCCCGCAAAAACATACACAAAACAATCACATGTTGTTTCTCTTTGGCTTCCCTTTAACACCACAACAAGAAAGACACCCAAGCCACCCACATGTCTTTCAGGGTCGGCGGTAGGACTTTCTCTCTTTGAGCCACTTGGTGCTTCACCTTTTTTCTTTTGCAGGAGGGCGCACGCAACTGGGTGCTAAATCGCCCACACAAATATCAATTTCTCAAGGGAGACCAACAGGAGGCCGGGCAACTTGCTCAATTTGCCTGGGACTTCTCATTTGGGTGTCTAGGAGGACCCCAAAATTGGTGGCGTTCCCTTTGGTTTCCCCTCAAAGCCACAAGAGACAGAAGGAAAAAAACGTGGTGCCCTCAAAAACAGACGTAGCCCCAACTTGGCATCCGAAAGGGGCGATACCCCGGAGCTGGCAAAGGCAGAACCACCGCGTGGGCTTCTGCGACCAAAGCGGGGAGAATCGCTTCCATGACTCTACACGGGTCGAGGCAGGGAACATCCTCGTCTCTGAGTCTGATTTTTTTGTGGTGGGGGGGGGGAGACGCATCAACCAAAGCTTTTCATTAATCAACAAAAGCTTGTTTTGAGGTTACCTAACAGGAAAGCCTCACCAATTTGGGGGGTGCCCTGGGTTAAGGTCAAGGCAAGCAAAATTTGCTGAGCCCTTGGTTTGGGGGGGTCTGAAGGGAAAGCCAAGTGTTTGGGGCACCCGCTTTGAGAAACACCCGGCCTGTTGTTCTACTCCTTTCTTCCATTTGCTTAGGTGTTTTCCTTTGTTGGTTTAAGAAGGATTTTATCACGACTGGGAAAAAATATTTTCATTTTTTTCCAGGGGCCTCAAAACCAAATGGAAGCTTTTGCTCCATTTTTCGTCAAGGTCTCAAAGGGTTCAGCTTCTACATCCAGATCCTTTGAGAAGTTCAACGGGCCCCACCACGTGGTCGGGCGGCTTCCCTTTGATTCCCCCCTTAAAGCAAGGGGGGTACGCAGGATTATTCAATGTCCGGTTGATGTATACCAAGGGGGGTCATATTTGACAGGGTTCCCTATAGTTCCCCTTTGTGCTGGCTTAAATCTCACCATTTGGGCCAGTTTAAGCGAGTTTCCTTTTGGCTTGAAGAGGAAATGTTGGGAACCTTCTGGGGTTTTGAAGCGTTCAGCTGGTGTGACATGGCCACTACCCCCAGGAGGTAAACAAACCGACAAAGTGGGTACCCTTCATATGGCTCAGCATATCCCATTAAACCCCGCCGGTGAAAGCCATAGAACTCATGGCTGGCAGCAACTCCGCAAGCTCCAATTCGACCTTTCGCTTCGAGGAGCGGAACCTTGAAGAGGCTTGGGTCTTTCTTTCTGTGGGCGAACGTCTTTGTTTGGAGTTGGTAGCCCCTTTTGGTTCTCCAGAGTTTGGTACCCCCTTTGGTACTCTCTTGGTAGCCCTTCAAGTCCCTGTTGGCTTCCTGTTGGGTTTCCCTTTTGCTTGGTTTCAACGGGACGCCCAAAAACGGCCGAGGCCGAGGCCGAAGCTCCGCCCTTTTCCGGGGCTCCGAGCCAGCCCGCCGCGGCCGCCGAGCGCCCAGGTGGTGCTTAGCCCCGTGGAGAGCGAGAAGCTCCAGTTGGAGTCCCCATCCGTGTGGACGCTGTGCTTGGTCCTGGCCCCTCGGCTTTTTGGACCGCCGTGTTGGTTTGCGGCGAAAGCGGAAAGCGGATCGAGGCAACACTCTGACCAGTGGGCTGTTTTTTTTCACTGTTTTGGTCCGTAGGGGGGTTGATCAATATTCCTGTTCGGGCCCAAAAATGACTATGGGTAACTTTTCCCGTGTGGTGACAGTCATCATTTTTGCTGGTCTCCCGAAGGGTCACCCCATGTAAAGGACCTTTTGATCAACCCGCATGTCTAGTCGGGCTCACAAAAAGCGATCGCCTTTCATGTCCAGGTCCCAAAGGGGCAAGTTCCGGACCCAGCTTCCGACTATAGTTCAACCCATTTTTTGGGGGTGATTTTGAACATTACGTTTCAGTCCTATAAGAGAAAACCCCAATATATATATATATATATATATATACGTTTGGATGCGGTCGAATGGGAATCCGGGTCTGTTCAGTCTGCCTTCCCACCCCAACGATTAGAATTTCCCAATCCAAACACCAAAAAGACAAAGAGACAAAGCCTAGCTCCAGGTTCGGGCAAGTGATACGTTTGTTTGTTCGTGCTGTTGAGCACAGCCCCCCATTCCAATTTTTTGTCGCCCTTGTATTACCTGGCTTTTCTTTCCCCCGGGGATGGTCATCTTACTACCCCCTAGGAACCCCAGACCTCACCATCTGCCGCCTTTTGGGGAAAAAGGCCCACATTGACTCGGGTCCAAGAGGGGCCCCACCCAAGGGCCCCAACTGGTTCGGTTCCTCACGCCGTCCGGTCAAGCCACCGGGGGTTCCCCACCCCCACCAGAATTTCCCCACCGGGCCGCAGCGAGGTGGTGGCCTTCGCGAACTCCCGGTACGTGACCAAGCTCCACCAGGCCCTGGGGTTTTTGATTTTTGAGGATTGCGAGCCGCGAGCGAGCCGCTCTTTTTTTTGGGGGGTTGCGGTCATGGCACGCAAAAAAGATGAAGGTCCTTTGCTTGGGGCTCCGATTCGGAGTCGGATTTTGGCATTGGCAGATGGAGTTTGGAGAGAGAATCCAGGGCTCCATGGGTCTGGCGAAATAGCCAACGTTGCCATGGCACCTGACAAGGGCTCCCTCAAAGAGGAAACTGAACTTCCATGTAGGCGCCCGCAGGTGCCATGTTGGTGGGAGGAAGTGTATTCCCCCCAAAGTTGCTAGCTAGGGGAGCTGGAGTTCACTCGTATTCTTTTCGAAAAGTCTGTCCAGACCCTAGTTAGCAACCAGATAAGTGCTACCGAGTGCACCCCCGAGTGCACCTGGATGGAGCGTTTCTCAGAAGGCTTCTGCCAGAAATTGAACCTGCAGCTGGTCATCTTGAGGAGGGGTTTGAGACAAATTCACAAACCCACTTTGTGTAGGCTCTACTTGGCGCAGAGTCATGCCACATCAGGCTGGTTCTACCCTCTTGTTTAGTCTGGGATTGAGGTAAGCCCCCCCCAAGAAGTCAATTGGTTGTGTTCACTGGTCCCCGACAGCTTCCATAAGTATTGTTTGCTAGGGTTTCCTTTCAAGACAAAAAAACAGAAGGGCTTCCTCAGCAAGCACCTGCTGATTCACAATGAATGTTCGGTGCTTTGTTTCTTTGGTTTCGCTTCGAAACACAACCAGAGGAATGCCAACAAAAAAACACATTTCCTGAATGACTGATGGCTTTGCGTAAGGGGGGGGGGGTCTGGAAAAAAGAACCTATACTCCCTTGGCTTGTCTTAGCGGAAGTCAAAGATTCGGGATGTCGATCGAGTCTTTTCGCTTTTTGGCTATGGGGCGGTCAATCCACAACTCCCAGGTTTGGGGCGACCCTGGGAAGGTTCCTTTAACCGGGATCCGGAATACTCCTGAAAAACCGATTTTGTTGGGACCAATTTCGCGATACCAAGGGAAAAAAGCCCTTTGAAGGGGATGGAAATCCTGCTTTGGCATCACCAGAAAGAGTGTTGTCCTACAAGCATGGGATTGTTGTTTCAAATAGGCCTTATACAATGTCGAACAATTCCCCCCAGAACGCGAGGAGTGACATCACTGTTCTCGGCATGTTTTTTGGTGGTTAGTTTTTTGGTTCTGTTCATTTTTGCTAGCATACCAAGGGTTGTGAAGCTGAGCCAAGAGCCGCGCGTTGCTGAGGGCTGCATCTTGCCTTTGACCCTGCTGGGTGCGGTCTTGTGCCTCACGCACACCGCCACCACCGTAATGGATCTCTCCTACTGTGGCTTGGCGAGAATCAGCGGTTGGTTTTTAGTGTGGTCAAGAAGAATCCTCCGTTCAAAGGGGTGTGGCTCGGTTTTTGTTCTTCTTCTTCTCTTACAACCAGACCTGTCCCCTGAAAGGGAAAGCACACCCTGTTTAAGCAATAGCTTAAGCAATATTCAAACAAGCAAGTTTGTGATCGATAATGACAACCCCGGAACAATAAACCTCGTGCATTGTAGGGCGGTTCCCTTCGCATCCTGATTAATCAGCTAGTGGTCGATTAGTCCTGAGCCAATGATAATGTTTACACCCGGGTTGCTGTAAAGACCCTTTCACAAGGACAGGAAGTTGGCTGGAAAAGGATATCAAAGGACCCTTTCATCATTTTTTTTCAGGCGGGCAACCCCTGTGTCTTCGCACAAGTGCCAGAGACCCGCGTTAGAGCGCTGTGTTTCAAAGGGAAACCATATGAAAAACAAATAAAGCGAACTTTGCCCGCCCCCATGAAATCAGGGTTGCCCAAGGGTAGAGGCTTCGACCCATGTGAAGTAGAATCCAAAGGTATCCGTTCATGTCCCTTTTAGTCGGAGCGACCCTGGCAAATTGGCACTTGTTGGGAGTTGGGGCCCTTTTTCAGGTGTGTTTGTTTGTTTACCACGATGTTTGAGTCAAAACCAACTAAAAGTTTGAACGTGTGGTTTTGGACAGCGGGGGTGTGGCCGAATTCTTAGCTGAAGCTGAAACACGGTGGTTGTCATGTTCCGCTGCAAGGCCTGGCTAGAGCCCCAAGCGGGAAAGACAAGGTCCATCAGGCGTCCCAAGCACCACGCAAATACCTGGCTCAAATTGATTCCCGGACGAAATTGCTTTGCTCGCCAAAGAGGACATGGGTTGAAACGGGCTGCCTGCTCATCCCCAAGCCATCAATGTAACAAGAATGTTAAGGGCCAAAATCTCCTGGGCCTGCGCTTGCGCTCCAAGCCCAAACTTCAAGCCTTTTGGTTTTATCAATGTTTGCTGTTTGTGCTGTTTTTCTGCAGCCCTCAGAGCCATGCCTTCAGCGAACGCAACTTTGGTTTGAGTTTGACCCCTCAAGCCCCCTGTCAATTCAGGAATCGGCTTTTTTACTTCCTGAGTTCATGAGATTTAAACTTTTCGGAAAGAACATTTTAGTGGTCAATAAAAAGTTCGGCTACCGTTTTAGGCCAGTCCCCCAGTAGTGACCGTTTGCCCTTTTTTGGGGGAGGGTTCCCCTACTAAAATAGAGTACAGGAAAAAATCGGGCACCCTTCTAACCTCTCTACTGGAGGACCTAGCAGGACCATCGGCTTGCCTAGCAGATTTCTGTTGCCTTCGAAGACTTCAGGCGGCAGTTCCTCAGCGCAGCACCCGGTGGATTGGACCGCCCTCCACGCGCGCTGGGGCAACAGGCGGCGGGAGTGGGGGGGGCCCGGCGACGAAGGTTGATCTGCAGTTCCGTCGCGTTTGATCTTGGTTGTTTTGTTTTGTTTTATGTGTTGTGAATTGTTTTCTTTGTTTAATTTTTGATTGGGGCGGAGATCCCTTTCAATTCGCCTGCCAGAAGGAAGCCAAAGGCCGCCTTTCTTCCCGAGGCCGCTGGGTTTGGGCACACGTCGGCCCCGGATGCTTTTGGACCCTGGGGTGATTCTGAGCACACCACGCGACTGATGCCGAGCTCACCTGAAGGTGTTTGGCTTCCTTTTCCAGTTGGAGCAGACAGAGGCTCGAGGTATCTCCGATCAAGAGGAACGCCCTATTCCGACAGGTTCCCCAGTCATTCGACATTGATGAGCCACTCGCAAAGGCCACCAATCATGACCGTTTTCACCATTGTCATCCCGTTGGAGGTGGAATCTCTTTCATGCTGGCCCTACACCTAGGCCTGTCCCGAATAAATAAATGAACGCGATAAATGAGGGCAGGCGAGATGTGACCGATCGGCTGATAAAGCCGGGTCGTTCCGTTAGTCCGTCCACGAGATCCTTCTGCCTTGTGGCTTCCTTTTTTGTGTCCCACGCGATCGGGATGGGACACTTCGGGATCCATTTCCCCCGCTTGCGTCCGGCGGCGATCTCGGGCCTCGGGCCTAGGTCGATCACCCCCGGTGCCAAGCGCGTGGCAGAGTACTGCTGGGTGCCGCCGCTACAGGCTTCAAAGGGCCCGAGGGTGTGCGGGCTTTGCGGGTGGTTTGGGGTACTCACTTCCTGAGTTCATGAACTTTATTTTTTGGGGGGAAGACCATTTTGGTGGGAAATATGAAGCTTGGACCTTTTTTTGGGCCATCCACTCAGCCAGTGAGGGTATGGGGCAGCGGCCCGAGCCTCAGGCGCCGGCGCCTCTGGGGGAAAGGCCGCCGCCACCGCGAGGGCCGGAAGATGCGCACCAGGACCGGCAGGAAGTTCTCAGGCCGACCCGGTGGGCTTACCCTCCAATCACGGAACCTCATAGGAGGCTTTTGGCAGACTACTGTCCTTTTGGGGAAGCCCCCGATCGTCCACTTCCACAATTGTTGGATAGAAGGTGAGGCTTACCATTTTTAAGGGGCCTCTTTAAACCTCACTTTTAAATTGGGGGGGGGGGTTCAGGGGGTCCCTTTCCAGGGTCGCTTGTTCAGGGCTTCCCATATGTCCTGGTATTCGCATGGTATGTTCAGGGCAAATTGTCACTTTTGGGTTCCTGTTTCCCAGTTCAGTGGCACAGTCTAGCTGAGCAGTCAGTATTTTCCACCAACTCTGTAAAGCAAAAGGCTACCGCAGGGGCAGGAGACAGTGAAGATTGACAATGGCCAATCTCTCTTTTTTCACCCCACGAAAAAGTGACGAAAAGAGTACATCTCTTGTACCAGGCCACTAAGCAACTGGCTTCTGGAGAGACATTCGAGAGCTCGGTGGCTGAACTTTTCCGGGCCCTCTGGTACAGGTTTTGTCGGTATTTCCCCATGGACCAAAACGTGGTAGTCCTTTGTGCTATTTGCAGTTAGCAGTCCGAAGGGAAATCAAACCCTTTGCCTCACTTTGCCGGGTTGGCCACAAACGTCTGAACTGTTTGTCCATTCGCAGATGGTCTTCCCATAAATGTTTAGCAAGAAACTGGGGCAGGACCCGAAGATGAAAGGTGGACCTGGTTTGTTGCCCTGCTTTGAAGTGGGGAGGCTTTCAAGGCAAGGCCGAGGCAGGATTGGGAAGGAGGGGCCACCGGCGGTTCGCTGGAGTTCCCCTGGGAAAGTTGTTTTTGTTTTTCTGGTGACTTCCCATGAAGTTGCCACTTTGTAGTTCCAACAAAGGGGGAAATGGAGCCCTGCAACCCCGGCCCCAGGATGTATACGGCCCTTACATCCCATGTTGAGCTTTGTAACCCAGCTGATTTGTTTCCTTTCCCAGGCAATTTTTTGGGACACGAAAACATTCGGCATGTAGAGCGCGAGGACTTGCACATCAACATGACTCTCTTCATGCGAGACGCTGGGCATATGTTCGGGTGTTTGGCCCACGGTCCGGTCTGACGGTCTTGCGATGCTGAAGGCTGCAGCACTTTCCGTGTTGTTGTACATTTTCGCCATGGCCCCAAAAGGATGTTGGGTGAAAGTAGGTGGCACAACTCACCCATCTTTAGACTTTCACACTTTGATCCTCTTTCCAACAATCATGGAACGGGACCGGGGTCTTACCCACAACAAAATGAGTCTTCCAACACCCTCCTCAACTTAGCTAACCGCAAAGGTTGGTTTGGATTGGAACTGGGCTTGGGTCTGAGCCTTGGTTCTTGTATGAGGTAAGTGAAAAGCTGGGCCCACCTCAGGGCTCCAAACCACCAGTTGCAGGGAGCTCGATGCGTTTCTCGGCCGGGGGCGAAAAATTCGGGGGCGTCTTTTTGGCGCCGGCTAAGGACATGTGGCTGCTTGCCAGCATTCAGCATTCAGCTTGTGCTGATGGCATCCGGTCCAAGGGGGGGGATCCCTACAAGACCCAAAGGAATGTCAGGGAACCAGAACCAAGCCTAAGGTTTTCAACTACCCCCCCTTTTACGCTTTTACCTATCCCCCCCCCCCCCACCTTTTCGGGATTCCAGTCCGGGCGGGGAAATCTCGAAGTCATCCCTGGCTTTCGGCGTCAAGCCGCAAGATGGCGTTGGACACTCCTCCCGGACCTCCAAAACCAGATCCCAGAGAGCCCAGCCTCTTTTCAGGCAAAGTGCCGCTTCCCTTGACTTCAGATGTGTTTTTTGTTGCCTGCAAGCTTGTTATGACTGGTGATGTACTCGTGATTCTTCGATGGGTCGTGACGCCTCAAGCACGTCGTGTGTATCCCTCGGTGTCCAGGACGGTTTCCACTACCCCTTCCCCCAACCATTAAACCATTGGCGTATGGGACAAATAGGGTATACAACCATTTAACCATTTGATATACTCTTCTTTTTTTCCTAAAGTCTAAAGTAGTGGGGGATATACTCATTTTTTTCTGGGGTAGTTGGGGGGGGGGTAGTGAAAGCCCTTTCAGGGGTGGACCCAGAGTGGTGGACATAGGGCATTCGCTTTCCGTGTTGACAGGAGGGCCCTTTCAAGCGGCGTCATACTGTGGATGGCCCAATTCACAAATCCTGCCTGTGAATACTGGGCTAGACCACCTGCCAACTGGGTTTCACGGTCATCTGCGAGGATGGCAGAGATGGAGCGGTCAGAGTTCGCGCTGAACTTTGCCAACCAGAGCCGGGTCACCAGCTACTGCTCTGAGGCGGGGTACCCGAATGAGAAGAGAAGGTTGCCAAGGGTCAGTTGCAGCCAGACCCCTCTTGAGTCCTTGGGTCCACCCCTTAATGTTAACCACTGGTTGATTTTGATCGGGGGGTGTCCCCTTTTAGCTTTTAGTGGGGATTCAGACCACTTTTGGAGGGAACACCCCCCCAAGAAAAACAATGGGACGGGTAAATTAATCCTGGGTCAACACTACTCGCTTGCCCAAAGGTGTTCGCCGACCTTTGATCTTTAGTCTCCCCTTGTTGGTTCATGTTTAGTCAAGGCTCCCAACAGGTCCCCAAGGGGCAAATGAGCTCAAGCATTGATTGCGACGCAGGTGCCGGCAGGCAGAAATTCGGGTCCCTAAACTTCGGAACGAGAATGCTAATCAGAGTTGCATCCTCAAAGTGATACCCTGAAACAACCGGCTCTTGCGCATCCGGATTCTTGGCTCGCCCCCGTGCTTTGTTCTTTTTTTTTGACGAAGCCTACCCCACGATCTTACTGCTCGGATCGTCCTGGATCGGTTCCCGGCACCACTGGGAGGGGTACCTGAGATTTCTGCGCCGATTCTGTGAGGCGAACTCACCTGGGAGTAAATGAGCTCACTATGATGAAGGTATTAGAGATCCCTCACGTCAGGTTTTCAAGGTTTTCAAGTTGTTAAACAAACGCATGTTTCCCAGTTTCAGACAAGGGTAGCGCACGCATTGCATTTCAAAGTCGGCTTCAGTCTTTGGCCAACAAACTCTGTGTGTGCTTATTGTAACGTATATAAATAGATCCATATCCATAAAAGTTATTCACTTTTAGCAGGGGGGCAGAGTTTGCAACGAGCCATTCGGGCAGGTGCTGCAGATGCATTCCATGGCCCAGTGCCTGCGCTGGCTGAACTCAACGCATTCGGGCAACCGCATCGAGTGCGAGGCGCGTCCCCTTAAAGAGGTGGTAGTATCAGCTTTTTGCCCATTAAAGGTGAGTTTCCTTTGGTAGGGGGATGTTTTAAGAGGGAAATATGGAAAACCCTGCTAAAGCATGGTGGTAAAAAAGATGGTTTTTCTGTGGCCACTTTCTGTGATATTCGGGAGCCTCCTTCAAAGCGAGACTTTGCCGGGGGTTCACGGGGTAATTTGGTAAAATCTGACATTTTTCAGGGTTTCCGCCATTTCCTTTTTTGGAACCTCCGAAATGGCAGTTTCCAGGGAAACCACAAGTCAATTGCAACTTTTGAACCATTTTCCGTATCCCTTCACAAGGAGGCACCCGGGTCCCCATCTGTTGATAACCCCCAAGTGATGATGGTTGAACAGATCAAATATCCATTGTTCAGGGTTGAACGTCGACACCAACTAGATGCGCAGCCCGCTTATAGCAACTAGGTGACATCAATGATTAAACGTGCGCCAACCCACTTTTGTTCTCACTTTGACCTGGGTTGTACTCTACAAAGTATTTTTTCCCATCCAAGTGCCCCCAAGCCTTTGCCCCAACAATTTACTGCGCAGAAACGCATCGCGTCGTAAGTCTGTGAGGTGTCAGCAAAAATCGACCGGAAGTTGAGCGACATCCCGGATCCCCCGTCGTTTGGTGAGCTCTGGGTCGGTTTGTTGCTCGTAGCTGGCTGGGCCATGACGGTCGGTCTCATTTTCTGTTTTTAAGGTTCGCTAGATTTGGACCAGAATCTAGAAACATGCTTGCTTGGACAAAAGCTCCACATCGACTTCCTCTTGCATTGACTTCCTCCAAATCCAAGCGCAGAGGACTTGTTGTTGCAACCCTGGTTGATGGCGAATTGGTGCATGCTGAATTGATTACTTGACCGCTTTGAATTTCAAGGGGTCCGAAACTGGTTTAAGCCTTTGGTGAATTCTGAATGAAGTTAATTGACCGCTTTTCATTTCAAGCAGCTGCACTCGGAGACCGTTGGGAACCCTTCGGCGTGTGTTGGCGTCGGTGAAGCCGGGCGCAGGACGGGCAGCTGCTGGCGAGTGCCGCTGCTCTGCCCGAACTGCAGAGCCAGATGGCCGCATTGAAGCGTGGCCCGCAAGGGGGCGTGGGTGGTCATGGATTTGGTTCCGTTTTTTGGGGGGGGGTTGTCATTTTTTTGGGAGTTTGGCTGGTGTTTTCTAGGGGGGTGTTATAATAAATTGTTCAGAGACTGGAATTGGTGGGGTTATCATTTTGAGAAACTGGTTGATTGGTGGTTTCCCTTTCAACCCACTACTGGAACGGTGAGTCTAGTGGCAAAATCAGGTTGCCCGTGTCCCATGGCAGTACTGGAGAGTGGTGCCATGGCTCCAACCGCTTTGTTTCTGCGCCTTGGGCTCAACATGTTGGCTGAGTGCCCCTGGCCACCAACCCCAAAAATGGGCAAGCCCCAACTCGAGAGCAGCTGTTTGTTGTGAAGCCCATGGGACGCATGGGGCTGGAGAGACGCTCGAATCCGAAGCGGTCGGCCCAGCCTCGAAGAGTCGGACGTGAAGGTGGTTGGTGCCATGGTTGGTGCCGAGCCAGTTTCCGCAAAAGCCGTTTTGCGAGTAGATTTCTCGGTCGCACTCAGGTGTGGTTCTCCCTTTTAATAAGGAGATCCACTATTTGTTTGGTTCCTCCGACCATTGGGGTCCTCTATGCTTTCACTGAAATCATGATCACATTATTTTGATGTTTCTGGGGTTAGCACAGTCAGAAAATGGAATTTGGAGTTGGAAACTCCCGGCGTCCCCTAAACCCAGCACGTGGGCGACTTGGATCCTTGTAGAATCCCCGAGTTGCCCCCAGGCGTACCCCGCCCAGAACCCTCCGAACCCGCCCATTTCCTCCCCGCTCCCCGGGCCGCTCCCCGAGGACGGGCGCGGGCAGCGACCGCGAGCAGCTCCAGCAGCTGCTGTTGCTGGCGGACCGCTGGGCTTTGGAGCTGCTCTCGGCGCGGCGGTGCCAGGCCAAAGTCAGCTGCTTGGCGCCGCGAGGGCGAGGGAGAGATGGGCGAGGGCGAGGCCCAAAATGGGCGGTGAGCGCGACCGTCCTTTTTTAGGGAGGTGTTTCTTTTGGGGGTTCCCTTTGACAACCATTTGTTTGGCAGGGCCACCCACAAATATGGTTTTCCTTTTGGCCTCCCCTGAAACCAACTTGCCAACTTGGAAAGTGTGTCAAATTCAAAACACCCCCCCATGTCGATGTTTGTTGCGGTTAACACTTGTGTTAAAAGTAACAACCGATAGCGGAAGGCATTTGAATCACACTCAGATTCGAACCTTGAGTGCCTGCAGGATGACACTGCTTGATTCATGCTCCGTTCGCCATTTTGGCGAATTAGCCAAATTTTTCTTTTTCTTTCCGACCTACCTGCCCTGCCTGCTCGACCGCCATGACTGCTCCAGCGAATTTCGCATCCATCGTGGAGGAGTACCAGCTCATGGAAATGACCGAGCTCGACCCGGATTATGAACGACTGTACCGGGCCCTTCAAGACCATCTTTCGATCCTGCCCGAGGCGGTCGGTCCGGGCAACATCTTGCAGGGCAATCAGGTCTGCAACCATTTCATCAACCATTCCGGCTGCAGGGGACGTGCACCTGCCTCTGCCCACCAGTGCGCCTTTTTGCATCCGGAGTTCGTTGATGCGCGTTGGATGCCGCGAGACAACATTTGTTACCGACATCTTCGACAACAGGCCCGACATCCAGAAGGCTTTTGCGACAGTGGTACCGAATGCCGCCATGTTCACAGCGACTCAGTCCTGCATGGTGACCTTCTTGCCTGGCTGCGCTTCGTGCACCATGCCAGACCCAACACCGGCGTGGGCATCCACTATGACACAGCCCACCGTGAATGGCGCTTTGTGTCCAGGCGGGAGGCCTTTGAAATCCTCCGCGACCACCTTCACGGCGAGTGGAACACGCCCATTCACCACACGAACGTTCGGTACCCCGATCCGTGCACCTACCAGATGCCATACGCGGTACCACGTGGCCCGCCAAGCACATTGAACCCGTCTCGCCAACGGAACAACACCCCCGACAGCAGCGAGGCCGCTCCACACAACCGGGATACTCCCGAGCTATGACACCACCGCGGACCGTCAACTTCGCGACACCCACGGCTCGCGACACTCCCAGACAGGCCCGATTCCCGGAGGCGACCACCACATCGACCGGGCCCGTCCCGCACCACATGCCTTCACCACGCCCGCAACCCACCACACCATCCAAGGCGGCACCCCCCACACCATCCAACCAACATCACGACTTAGTCCAGTGGCTCCAGCCGCCAGGCATCGACCGTGACGACAGCACACAAGGCCTGCTGTCAACCCAGCGGGCCGGACACATCCGCGCGCGGGTACACGAAGATGCCACCTTCCTGATCAATCCGGAACTGCTACCGGAATTCCCCCCCGTCCTCGACCACATCGGCTTGCAATGGCACCTGACCAACTACGGCATCTTCTCGCGCACCCCCACCAATGTGTACGGCAATGACTTCGGGGGCCTTTTTCTTGTACCCGTGGAACCAACTACGCAGGTCACACCTCTCAGGAGCCTGCTGCGCTGGATTATCCAGCAACACGTTCACCAACAACTCCAGCTGCTCAACAGCGCCAACCGGCAGCACATGCTACAACAACTGACCTGTTCCTGGCTTACCTTCGGGAGGCAGCTCTGTCGCGCCTCCCGGCGAGACCCTTTTGTGGACAACATGGCAATCACCTTCGGGGAGACCATCATTGAGACAATTTCCAATTTCCTGACCCCCGAACAACGCACCATGGCGACCATCGAGGGCATCCTGCTCGGCCCCGACGGACACCTGCGCTTCAACCGGGAGCTCTAAGACTGAGCAGAGCCAGGACTCCCGCTACTGACCAGGCGGCACCGAGGAGCCCCCAAACCAGCTACCCTAAGTTGACCCACCAAGTCCATGTCCCGTGCGATGGTGGGCCAGCAATAGGGCGATGACCCTCATACCGCACAGGTGACACCCATGCCTAGGCGACCGCCTGAGGCCCCCTTTTCCCGAAGAGAGATCCATCTTCGGACCGCGCAAAAGCGCTGAGTGCCTCGAGCCCGGGTCGACCCTCTTCGTCCCCCCTGTTTGATTCGAGAGGATACCCCTTGACAAACCGACCCACTGCTGAGGCCCATTCTGCGGTGACCAATCCCCACTCGCCTGCCCCGAACCCGACCGGTCTTTCACCCCACTTCGGATCCCCTGTGGATTACCCTCGGTTTCTTCGGGTCGGATCCCTGATGACAAACTGGCCGACCCCGGTCACCCTCACACCGCAGGGAGTTGGTCCTACGAGACAGCTCCACCCCTCGGGATGACATTTGTGCCGGTGTGGCGTGTCATCTAACACGACGTTTGTGCCGGTGTGGCGCGTCGTATAACACGACGTTTGTGCCGGTGTGGCGCGTCGTACAGATCCCCCCCATCAACGGGCCATCCTTGGACCCGAGTCACCAAGACACTCCCCCCTGGCCCGACCAACCCCCCCCCTTGACTCACACCCGGCACACTACCGACTCCTGCGTGAGTTCGGCAAGCGCCACCTCCAATTCCGAAGGAATTTTCAGGCTGGCTTTTGTGTATCCGATATCGCACCCCCTTCGCACAACATGGCACTTCGCGAGACCGACGCAGTCTGCGAGCTCCTCCTGCGGTCCTACAACACCGGCGTCCTCTCGAGGTTCCAGACCTTCCGCACCGAGAATCCCCGCCTCTCCACCACGGACGCGATCGACCTCTTCATGGAGTCGACCAACACCGAGCCGGACACACGGACACGCTACCTGCTGCTGGACTGGCACAACCTGAATCCAACACCAGCCACACTGCAGTGCTCGTTCTGCCAGATCCCATACCAATCCCAGTACATCATGCCCCTCTGCTTCTCAGAGGAAACCGACTGGCGAAACAAGTGGGTCGGGGCGTGCTACGGGTGCGCTACCTGCGACACCAGTAGCGTGCCATGGTTCCAGTTCGAGGAGCTCCTGGCCGACCCGAACTCCCTGATTGCAGAACACGCACCGTACAACACCATCGCAGAGCACCCCGACCTCGCGGCCATGATCAGCGACCATACCATCGCCCCACCGACCTTACAGATTGCGGTGCCAGAGACGGACGACGCTCACGACGCCTACATCACCGTGCACAGGTGGGACCAGGTCAACCGCCGCTGGATCAGGGTACCAGCCCTCGACGTGAAGAACCGCCGGCCATTCACCCTCGAGGTGTTCAGCAAGCTGTGCCGACGAGCATGGCGACGCCGCTTGGACTACATGACCAACAAGGCCGTCGGCACCATCCGCACGAACACCCACATGGACATGATGGACTCCTTGCGCGAGATCCACCCCGGAACCTCCAACAACAACCTGCGCCGCCTCATCAGCGACCACTCCAAGTTCCTCGCCGAAACCATGTGCCTCGACCTCATCAACCTGGCACCCGAGGACCGACGAGACCTATTCCTCATGTTCCACAAATGGGAGAGGCAGCACCTCACCGAGGCATTGCGCGCAAACAGCACCGGGACCCTCCTTGAGTTCTTGGACTCTGACGACTATCCCACACACCTCACCGATTTCATCACCCGCGTCCTCCCGTCCACCGACGAGCACTTTATCTGCCGACGTCAGTCGTGCAAAGCGGTGGTACATTCGTCACATTGGCTGCGCGCCACTGCCAACATCACCGAGCACGGCCAGTTCTTCTGTCCCGAGTGCCTCCAGCAATACCACCCCTGGAAAACCTACAGTGACGCCAAAGCCGCATCCCGAGGGGAGGCCCTGACCGCAGCCGGCCAAGACGACACAGAACGCTTCGTGCCGGCCCAGAAGTGCCTCGTGGTACGCGCCACCGCTGGAGCACACGAGACGGACCAATTGGCAGAGGCCATCACCGGCGACGACGACCGGCGCTACATGCTCTACCTTCTTCGCTGGGAGGAGGACACGACCGGCAAGCTCATCCAACAGATGAAGGTCCACATCAACGAGATCGCATCCGACCTGCGACAAGCCAAGGACCCCCGCGCCTATCTGGCCGACATGATCATGAACAACATGCAGACGGCTCAGAAACTGCCATACATGCACAGGACCTTCTGGACCCAAGAGAAGCTGGAGCAAGTCGCCCAGCGCAACCTGGGACGCATCAAGCCACTCCGAGTCGACCTGCTCCCCAGCCAGAAGCGACAACGCCACCAACCCGCCACGCCCTTCTACGACATGCGGCGCTATCGCTACGACCCCAGTTCCACCCGCATCCTTGAGTCCTCGGACCTCGCCAGAGTGATGGGGCTGTGCTTTTGCCGCCTCAAGCTCTGGACCTGCCAAGACCTCGAGGGGGCGGACCGTCTCAACCACTTGAGCGCCCTGTGACGGACCTCGACCAGCACCGCAACCACTACGACCCGAAGGGCGTCCGTGTCCCGCGCGAGCCCGGAGGGTCCGACCAACGCGGTTGCCTTCGCACGACCCATCTTCCTGAACCTGCCGCCGAAGTGCAACCTCGTTTGGCAGTACGTCAGGACACCCGTGCAAAGAGCAAAAGGCGCACCATGTGTTTGAAGCCAAACACCCCTAAATCCCCCCGAACTTTTGCTCACCCTGATTGTTTGCATTGTGCTTTAGTCTCCACGTGTGGCAAACCTTTGATACATTTGACATAGCCATTTTTGGCCCCTCTCGGCCCTTGATACAGATCACCCCGAGATGACGTTCCGTGATATTCGAGCATGGCTACACCAGCGGTCCTTGCTGGCGATCGCCCCGCTCGTTGCCCTAGCCGGAATAGACGACTTGGCGACATTCCGCAACATGGACCGGGCTGCATTGGTGCGGATCGGCGTGCCACACGACCTGATCAATCGACTCCTGGGCGACGACCAACTGGTCCTTGACTACATGCCCCCGGTCCGGCGCGACATCCAACCATATCACAC